GCTTCTTTCTCGACCCTCTTTGCCACTAGAAGATTATGAAATTTATAAAATATTTTCCCAAAGATTTTTCTCGCCGCGAAAAAGCAAAAAATCTTTGCTTTCCTGCCAAGTGCTAACTGCCGTGGGGGAAAGGTCCGCGATGTACTTAACTGATTTCCGAGAATTTTCACACAAACACAGCTGCACAGGAGGGTGTCTCTGTGTGTGTGCTTGGAGCAATCAGTTTAAAGCTGTCAGGGCAGCGGCAAGGATTTTCAATGAGGCTATAAACCGGAAACTGCTGCGAGTAATGCGACGCAGGATCCTCCTGGCAGGAACATCGTCATGGCCATTGCCAATGCTCGTGTGTGGATTCTTTAATCGGAGCGAATGCCCTCGAAAAACACACACTTAGCTACATCGAAAAAAAGATAGTTTGGAACATCCATAAAAAAAAGTTCTATGGAAAGTGCTATAATTGTGATTGTGATTTCACCAATATTAACCTTGACTTAACCGTAATAAGTTTATGAGGGTACGGGTCACTGAAACTGCAACCTAAAAAATATGGAATCTTAACTTTTCTACAGCCTTCTACATAGTTGAAAACCCTCTCTATAGTTGAAATTGTGTTAATGACATTAAATAGTATAAAACTTATCTCTATTACTTCAACAATTCTTTAAACGGAATTTAGTATGTGTATTAGAAATTATTCGGGTGATATGTTAATATGTGATATGTGGTTTAAAGACAATAAATTATTTTTCAAACAATTCTTCTAAAACTGTTTGAATTTTGAGAAACCAAATTTGTAATTTATTTAATTTTTTTTTTTGGTAGGAAGGTGACATTTCTTCAAGTTTTGGGAAGTGTAGTGCTTTGTAGCTCGTTTTGGAAGTCATTTTGGGGCTTAAAAGGCGGAGCTGAAGCACAATTCCGCTAGTTACAGTCCCGAACTCCCCAACAACTTTCGGCTCACTCTATCTGTCCTCCCTTTTGCATCGAACGTGAGCCGGCGCCTGGAGCATTTTAGGCTCATCGTCGTCGTAGTCATCCTCATCTTCATCCTCATCCTAGTCGGCATCATGGCCATAGTGGGCCACTCATTCAGTCAAGAGCGGGGAAACGGCTTGCATTTGTGGTCTGGATGAGCCGATTTTCTGTTTTCTATTGCGGACGGCAAAACGTTGACTCCTCAAGTTGTTATTTCAACTGTTTTTGCAGAAGCCTCTTTTCGAAGAGGGTGTTGTTATTGCTATTTGTTGTAACGCTGCTTGAGATGTCAAATAGCTGAGCGGGCTTGCAACAACAACCGCAGCAGGAAGCACTTCAAAATTGAAATCAAGCATTGGGGCGCCAGTTTCTCAGTCGCCGTCAACTGAGACGCCAACGCAGCAAAAAAAAAAAGAATCAACAATAACAACAAAAGTGGCAGCAACATCAGCGGAGAACAAAGGTCCTCGCCTTGCTATTTGCATATGAATATGGAGCACTTGGAGGCAGCTTTTGGGTTGTTGCTTCCAGCCAGCAACAAGAATTACAACAACCACAAACGATTTGCTGTTTGGCATATGAATAAACCAGCAACAACAACAAAGATCCACAAAGAAAACTTATTGCTGATGCTGTTGTTATACCCTTACCAAAAAATGGGGAACTATCTAATAAGAAAACAAATGGTTCTCAGTGTGCTTTGAATATTTAGAATAAGAAATTTTATCTTTGAGGCCTAGATTAACCTATTTAAAGTTTAATTAAAAATGACTGCGAGTAGTGAAGAAATATCTGAAATATTTTTTGAAATTTTAAAATGAAGCATTTTGTTTTAATTATATAATTTGAAAGTAAGTGTTAGGAATATAAAATTATATTCAATATTCGTCTGATAAAAAAAATGTACTTAAATCGAAGTTTTTGTTTTTTTGTAATTGTAATTACTACATAAAAAAGTTTAATCTTAACCGAAAGGGTACGTAACTCTCCGATTTTCTATGGTAAAACCCCTCCCAACTCGTCTTGGTTGTTGATGATTGGGATGTTGTGGGTTGCCCCCATAGCTTATGGTGAACCTGCAGTGTATTGCCGGCGGCAACAATAACGCTCAACGCTTGCTGCCATTTGTTGCTGTTGTTGTTGCTGGCTTTGCCAGCGGTGGGCGCTAGATGGCGCCACACGCCAGCGAAAATTGAATAAAGGGCTCGACTTGAAGGCAATTGCCGAAGTAGGCAGGCAAGCGGAAAGCAGGAAGCTATACCAATAACAAACACACATACGCAAACTAACAGAAGAGACTCCCACACACATGCTGAGTTTATGCAGAGCTCTTTTCGCCAACAGATTTCAGAAGTGAGAGCCTTTTCATAAATTTCTGTTAGATAAAGTTACAATTTTAAAATTAATAAAGTTATATTATTAAGTTACTGATATCTGTAACTGTTAACCATGTACCTAACATGAAATAGAAACTTATCTTGCAAGATTTTATATGTATTATTTGCATCCGCTTTAATAGAAGTCAACTTAGATTAGTTAACAAATTATAATAGGTTTGTAAGAATGCAATTCTTTTAAATATTTACTTCGTTAGTATTCGGGAAGTTCTAATTCGTTGCAATTCGTAATTCGTAGGTTAACTTTTTTATTTATTTGTTTATACAAAAAGATGTGAATTATTTTTGTGGAATAGCTATTCTTTCCTTTTAGTTGTGCAAACCATAAGCTGTATGAAATCTACCGCATAAACGTGGTGGCACACACCCACACACTGGCACGAAACAAGGAAAGTTATGTAGTGTTCTGCGCCATGTTCCTTCGGATACCTTCCTTCTTAGGTTTTCCTTTTTTTTATTTTCCCCGTTTTTGCTTGTTTTGGGTTACTTTGAATTTAATGGAAAATTTATTGACGACATGCCGCTTAGTCGTTTGACTTGGACTTTTTTTGCCTTTGCCTTCGAGGCACCCACCCACCCACAATTTCGCCATTTCCTGGCCCCGCCTCCTCCGATCCCATCCTGCTGCTCTGTCATGTGTGCAAAGTTTTCGCATTCGGTTTGCTTTGGTTGAATTTCATGAACCTGCCCATGCCCTGCACTCTGACTGATTCTTCCAAGCAATTGGGGATAAATAGTTGATGATTGTGTGTGGTCGGTGGATGGGGGGAGCGGGGAGTTGGCAAGGAGACTGGGAAAAAATCAGACGGTACTGATGAATGAGGGATGACCGCTCGATGTGTCTCGGATTGATTGATTGTCCCTTGCAATCCAATATGTTGCAGGACAGCATTTAAATCGTTTCATGCGGGTGGTTCGGGAATTACAGTAATCGCTCGCCATTCTTAAGGATATTGCCAAGCCTGCGGCGTTTTTCCAACTGCTTGACAATTTTTCTCAATATAATTTCGGTAAACGAAGACTATTTGTATTACATTATATTGTACATTATTATTGTACATTATATTTTAAATAAAATAATGGGAAGAAGGGATTAAGAATTAAACATTTTAGTCATCGTTGAAACTCAAAACCAATTATAACAATTATATTCCATTTAGCATTGTAGCTAAATTACTGTTCTTGTTTATTTAAAAAGTAAATATAAATAAACAAAACTTTTAAATGCTTGCCAAATCGATATGTAAATATCAACAAAAGCTTAAGTTTAGAACCCACCTATTATATAAAAACATTAAGTCATGCTAAAATTTGCGGACCTTGCTAATATGATTTAAATGCTGGTAAAATATTGTTTTACCAATTTAAATTTATTATTTTTAAAAATCAACTAGATTTTACATAAATGTAAATACCTATATGTTTATGTCTGCGAGCAAAAGCAGTAAACTTTTTTATGACCAGTACGCATGGCTTGCTTGCCCAACATCAAACGAAAAACTTGGAATTTTTTATTTGAATTTGTGAGGCTTTCAAATGTTACATTAAAAACGTGGGAATGCTGCAGATGACTGACGGAATCGGGACGGCATAATATCTGCCTAGAAAAATACAGGTGACTTCAGAATTTGTCATATAATTGAACAGCTTGAATCCAATACTCCTACAATAAGATAGGCCAACGTCATGCCTTTGACTTGTTCACTTACAATAAATTAGAATTATAACCTCGCTTAGCCAAATCAACGACGCAATAACCTCGCAATAGCCAGCGTACATGCAAGGGGACTATTCTGGAATCCTGGGAGGTTTAAACGGGGGTGTATCCCCCCAAAAAGCAACCCCCAAAAGGCGTAGAGCAGTTGCCGAAAATAAAACATTCACAAAAGCCGCGGCAAGGGGTAGTTATCCTGGCAGCTCTCCTGCCTGACGCCACAATCCTCAACGGAATCGTGCCGCGGAAGACCGAAAAACTTTTCTCGCGTGTTTTACCAACTTTAATATTTCATGTTGCTGATTTTCTTTATGGGATTTGGCCGTGGAAATCCTGGGGACAAACACCCAAACGAACCCACACCTAACCAATCTCAACCCCTTAAAACTCAACAAGTTTTTTTTCTTCATGCTATCCCCTGAGAGCCTTGAAAGACCTTTGGAGTGGAATGCGGACACGCCTGCCATGTTACGCCATTAGTTTATGATTATTGCCTGAAGTTTTGTGGGACCCCAGTGGAGTTCCGACTGGCAGTTTGAATCAGTGTTGTCAACTATTTTAAAACAAAAGTTAGCCAAATCGGGCAATGAAATAATATAAGTGTGACAATGAGAAAAATTTAAGCAAGGATGTTTTACACTAACTTACACTTCTAGAAGAATGTTAACCATATCTTTGGCAATGCCAAAATATTCAAAAAGATAAGTCAAAATATTCGGCCTAAGCTTTTCTATAAAAATCAGCAAGGTACTTTAAAATACTATATAAATATTCAACCAAATAATTTGAGAAATATCTGAAATTCCAATTGTCTAAAAGCTTAAATATATTTCGAATTGGCCAGAATAGGAGCCAAATTGGCAGCACTACGAGGAATGCGGAGTGTGAATTGTGACAGAGTTTACAACACTCACCTGTTGTCGACTCCTTGGTTAGTGTCAGTCGTCCATTGTGGTCGGTTAACAGCAGCAGCAGGATCTCAATCAATTGAATCACAAAAAAGCGTCGATTGTAAAACAAAAACATTGCAATCCGACGTTTGTTGTCACCGATTTTCGGCCAGGGCTCCTTTTTGGTGGCCCGACCGCGATTGTAATTATATATATCTTTCTATCTGACACGATTATTGGAACGTTAGCGAACTCTTCACGCTTCCAGTCAATTCAATTACCAAGAGCATTTTCTCATTTCTGCTCTCACTGCGATGTTTGGTTTCGGAAATGGACGGAAATCGAGGGAGAAATCAAATCACCGAATTTTATTTACTAATCTAATGCACACACCCATGCACACATACACACACAAAAGTATGCTAATATATTTGGGCATACGCATAAATATTTTACGCGAGCAACAGTGCGTATACGCAATTTGTTTAATAGTCCGCACAAACATGCCGCCAACACGATGGCCCGGCGCCAATGTCATTTGTTTGTCAGCGCTCAAATCGGGAAATTGATGAGGTGGGAGGACAGTGAAACCTGCCATTTGGTAAATCAAAACACCACAAAAAATACAAATTTTAAATTGAAAATTGAATAAAATGGTGCCAGCTAAATTTTAAATTTGATTGATTTTTAAAACAAATTTGTTCCCTTCAATTTTAAAGCACATGTAATATTGCTATAAAATAAAATAAAGCTTTACAAGCGAAAGTCTAAGTTTGAACTTATTTTTAATATTCCTTTATTTACTTGATTACACTTCTCAAGCCATAAAGTTTTTAGAAAGTTTTCCGAAAGCCAACCAAAGTTGTTTGTTCCTTTGGTTTTTGTTGTCTTGTAAACTGCAATTCATTTTATTGGCTAACCTACATAGGTTGAATTTATTTTCATTTTTAAATCTCTTATAGCGTATTCTAATATTATTAAACCTCCCTTCTTTTTTTTCTGATTAGTCGGGGACATTATTAAATCAGACATAATACAAGAGTGTAATACAGAAAATAAAAATACTTATTAATCAACCCATTTTGATGAGCAGTTTTTAAAACTCACTTAGAAATATTATTAAATATTAATATTGGTCTAAATTTTTTTTTTAAATAAGTAGAGAACAATTTTAGTAAAAATTTTCAGAAAAGTAGAAGCGAAAAGCATCCCTTTGTCCTGGCAATGTCTGATCCTTTTCTTCCTCCATTCAACATCATCCATCATCCTTTCAGCGCCCCTAAATTTGGCCTGGCTTTTTGTGTGCGTTCGGATTTAAGCTGCGATAAATTCGCAGATTCTTCGGCTCAGATTCTTCGGCTGCCATTACGCACTCATCACCATAATAATGATAATAGTAATAATAATAATAATGATGATGATGCCGGTGATGATGCCACATAAAAGGCGGCGGGGCCCATTTCAATTTCAATTCCACAAAAGGCGCGTGTATCTCCAAGATACATTTCTATCTCGAGAGCGCGAATTCACGCGGCAAACCAAAGCTCGCCGAAAAAATCGCATAAATGAATGCGAAAATATATTTCGGCGTCGTTGCCGTTACTATTAAATTGTTGCTGCCTTTGCTATTTCAACTATGAAAGGTTTGCAAAAAGTAAAGCAAAACGCAGACAAACTTTTATATGTATGACAATTGAAAAAAGAATTCAATAAATCAAAAGGAAAAAGCAAAAAGTGTTTGTGCGAATTTAAGCTTTGCTTTTTGTTTTGTATACACAGAAAAATACGTGATACATGAATAATGCTAAGTCGAGGTACATTTTAAGGTGTTGTTTCTAAGATAACATATTGGAATTTATCAATGAATTTATACCACTCTATTGAAATGTTGTATATTCGTTCTAAAATTATTTTCAATTGTTATATTATCATTTACTTATTTCTTTCTGTGTGGAATGGCGTTTATTTGTTTACATCCGAATGATATTAACTTTGCTTTGCTTACATTTTTTTTGAAATATTTATTAATTAAAGTTTTGGTAGATAAAACCGAATATTGGGAGATAAGCAAAAAAGCCGGCTGAATAAAGAAAATCATATTGGGGTAGTTGTTGTTATATAAAACAAATTGTATGCGAAATTTTTGCACAAAAACACACAGATACGCGGTCTGCACACACACAGGCACAGAATCAGGCGCTCAGGAAAACAGAGAGCGAAAGAGAAGATGAGATTGACGAGGGGAGGATGGGGGATAAGGAGAACAAACGAATTTCAGCAACGACGCAAATTTCGATTTCCTCGAAATTTCTACCTTCTATTATGTTCGTTCCTCTCCCATCTTCTTCTTCTCGGTTGGGCATCATATACATTTTGTTTGCACAAAATAAAAAAAAACACAAAGAGGCAAAAAAAACACAGAAAAGAAGAAGCAACAGCAGCGCAGCTTACTAAGCTTTTTCTCTGCCGCCGTTTTGCTCCTTGTTTTTGCTACGCTTTCGCTTTGGTTTTGCTTTGCTTTTTGCGTTTTTGTTTTTTGGTGTATTTGCTTTTTAAGTTCCTTGCTTTTTTGTGGGCGATAAGAAGCAGCAACTACTGTACTTGTTATTTTTCTTTTGTACTTTTCCTCTTTTACATATTTCATTTTTTGTCGCTTTGTTTGTTTGGAATTTCTCAATTTTCAAATACACACGCACTTTCTGCTTTTTTGGGGCTTTACCATCTTCAGTTTCTTGTTATTTTCCCCTTTGTTGTATTATGTCATAATTTATATGCCGCCCAGGACTAAACAATGCCGGTATTTCGCACAATTGATAAAGCCAATGAATCACATTTCGTTTTCATTAGCCCCCAGTTCTTGTTGTCTCTCTCTTTCTGCACCGGCTCCTGTTGCCTCCTCCCCCTATTTTTTGTTTGCCACCTTTGTTGTCTTTTTTGCATTTCCGCTTTACGTTTGTATTTTGCTCGCGCTCACGCACTAACACACACACACTATACAATGTTGGAGCTGCAATTATTGTTGTTGTTCGGCTTGTTTAATTTTTGTTTGTCACACACTCAAAGTCGAGAGTATCATATAGCGAATTTACAAGCGCCGGCAAAATTACTCGAGAAACCCGCGCGCAATTGCACAGAGCGGCGCTGCAAACACGTCTAAACAATCCAAACAGTTTGTTCTAGAGGTGGAGAATCTTTGATGGCCACATCGATATTCCAAATGTCGATGATATCGATGTTTAGCGGTGCCTATCGGTGTTTCTCCATCGCTAACGAGTATTGAAAATCTCACTCCAGTTCTTAGGCAGTCTGTTAGTTTGCAGTACCCTTTCTTGCGCGCACTCTGTTAACTTTGAAGTCCAAATAAAACGCACTGTAAAAATGTTTGCTAGGGTAACAATTAAGGAAGTTTAAAGAAAAAAAAAGAGAGTTTTTCATTTGTTCGATCGAACTGGAATCGAGTCCCATGGTGAATTTCTGCAGCTGCACTGGTCGCTCTCATTTCGGATTTTTTGGCTTATGGGGAATGTGGCCGAGCGACCGAAATGGCCTTATGATTTTGCTTTGTTTACAAATATGTTGTTATTGTTTTCCTTTGATGAGCCTGAATTCAACGTCCACACGGGGCTGAATTTAAAGGCCACATTTCAGTTGGACTTGAATTTGATTTCGCATGAAAGGCAACAAGTGGGACGGAATTAAATTCCTTATGGGAGTAAATTTATATTTTTTTATGAACTAATTTTAATATTGGGCCAGGCAAAATTAAAATATTTTACATTTGAATAAGAACACTTAAGGGGGTCTTCTAGTCTAGAGGATTTAATTTCGAGCTTTTTTTTAACAATTTTTTTTTAACAAAAGTGTGCAACGCAGTGAAGGAGACATCTCCGACCCTATAAAGTATATATATTCTTGATCAGGATCACCTCCTGAGTTGATATAGCCATGTCCGTCTGTCCGTCTGTCTGTTTCTACGCGAACTAGTCTCTCAGTTTTAAAGATATCGAATTGAAACTTTGCACACACCCTTCTTTCCTTTGCACGCAGTATATAAGTCGGAACGGGATCGGACGACTATATCCTATAGCTGCCATATAACTGATTGATCGGAAATGCCATAACTTTGGTGTTTGTAAAGTTAGGAAGTTAAGATTTTCTATGGGTTTTAGTTTTGATCAATCTGACCTACCGAATTTCATGAGAATCGGCCGACTATATCTTATAGCTGCCATATAACTGAACGATTGAAAATGCCATAACTTTGGTGTTTTTAAAGCTAGGAAGTTGGGATTTTTTATGAGTATTAAGAATGCATCATATGAATAATTTTGAAGAATATAATTTACAGAATATTCTGCAAGGGTATATCAACTTCGGCTCCGCCCGAAGTTAGCTTTCCTTTCTTGTTTGTATTAAACTTAAGTTAAATTTCGGGGAGCGTAACTGATAGAATATTACGTATAAATTACATTGCCTTAATCAGCTATCCCCACTCCATACAATCACCTTTAAGCGATTATTTAGTAAACTATCTAATTATGGAAAGGAAAATCTTTCGATTTTCTTAAACTTCTAGACTAGAAGACCCCCTTAAGGATGGTATGGTTAATTCGGCCAAAAAAGGCTTATTTTCATGAATCAAAGTACAACATTTAATCTATATTTTCACAAATTTTCATCGAAAAAAAATAAATGAGCAGCCAAGCTCCGTAGACTAGTTTCTTACTCCATGTCCAAATCCTCTAGTCGGCAGAGGAGGCATATGATCCGTCTTAGCAGATGATCCTTCTTAATGCCTCTAGCTCGCTTGTATCCGGCTCCAGCCTAAATGCTTTTACCAGCAGTTCCCCAGCCAAAGAGGACCACAGCCCAGTGCTTTCGAGGACTCCGTTGTTCGCCTCTTTCAAGTCGAACGGCGTCGAGGATATTTAAAACATAAGAAAGTCAACTGAATTATTAATTTAAACAACGGCTCCAAAACTGTATGACCACTTTGGCGTCCAATAACGCCTCGCAAAAGAAGCCAGAAAGCGCCTACATTTGCGTCAAACCCAAAAGTGGCCACACTGCCCGGACCGGAAATCCGTGTGACGCCAAATTCTCCGTTTCGCCGCATTTTCCGCGATAGAAAAGTCCTGTGGTCGGGACCAACCTCAGCGCAGGAAACGGAAATCATACCCTCAAGACTGCCAACGTTGCCCCCCTCAACGCCTTCCCGGCGTTGCCAGCCTCCCCATCCCGGCGTTGCCACTTATATGTTGTGAACAGAACTTCTCGTGAACCAAAATTACAAGCGACTGTTACCAACAACACCTGGTTCGTATCTCGGCTTTGAACTTTAAATTTTGGAATTTTATTCTGTTAATAACATAAATTAAAACATGACAAATTCGGATAAGAACACAACTAGCAGACATAAGCTGATATATCCGAAACTAAGCTTTCGAGCTTTTATGTTTCAACTGACTATGGCTGAGAGGTCCAAAACTATTTTTCTAATATATTAAATTGAATTTGATATTAGGAAAATAAGAATTAATTTAGTTTTTTCACCCATCCAGCATTTTAACTAACGATCGAACTAACTATCGAAGCTTCTTTCTTTCTTTGGACTTTTGGCGCATAGTATTTTGGTTTCTTAAAGAATAATTAGAAAACGATATCCTGGTGTTCGTATTTATAAATTATTAATTCAATAGAATTCGAGCTTTGACATTGACATTTTCAAACTTTGCGACTCAACCGATAGACCACATGGTTGCACATATTTTCCGAATTTAAATTTAAATCAAGTTACCCATTACAATTAGGAACATTCGTAATTTTAATAAATTAGACTATTAATCAATTGAGGAAACCGAGACCGCGACTGTTAAGCGGTTTAAAAAACCGCTTCAATATTGCCAGATCTGCATGGGAATTAATCGATGATACTCACATTTGCGTTACGAAAAATAGTACATTTTAGACAACCAGATGGTATATTCTTGTCAATTCTCCGCGGTCACACTGCTCGAAACGTTGTTGTTGCGCGCGGGCGGACGACGAAATCGTGAGAAAATTGAACGAAAGCCACTGGAAAACACGGATGAAAACAACGGCGCATTCGGCTCGTGATTTCGACCGCTTTTGAGTGAGAAAAACCCGCCTGTTTTTTTCTAACTGCATTTTAAAGCGTGCGTGTGCGTGTGTGTGTGCGCGCGTGTACGTGTTCGATTCGTTTGGACGCGCTTTGCAATTTCTGTTATTCTGTGTGGTTCCTGTACTACAGTAAATACTCGCGTAAATAACGTGCGAAAGCGTGCGAAAAGAGGCATTAAAGGAGGAAAAACGCGAACTCGCTATCTCTCTCTTTCTCTTTTTCTCTGATTTTTCGCCGCCTAAGACCAGCATTTTGTTGTTGCGCAGCTTGCAAAAATGTGTGCGTGATTGTCCTGTGTTTGTGTGTGTGTGTAAATTCCAAAACATACGCCGCTGCACAGTGGCACAAAAATGGGAAATACCGCATAAATCAATTCTAATATCAATTCCCGGCTTTAATTTTGTCTTGGTGTGCGTGTCTGTTTGGGTGTGTCGCATTTATGTTAATTTTCCGATTAGGGTTCATTCCATTCCTTCATTCTATACCTGTTTGTAGTTAAAAGGAAGCAACAAATGCGTCGCGTTGCCAACTACGTGATGCAATGCAATTTATGGCATTCCAACAAAGTGCCAATTATAATTGATTATTATTCATTATTTCGCTTATTACCCACACAAACGCCTTTTTGTGCGTGTGCGTGTGTTTGTAAGCGGTTCTCTTTTGCTCTCTTACTCTCTCACTCAAACAAAACTCCAAAAGCAACAACAAAATGGCAAGGCCAGGGGCAACAACAAAAAGTCTTTCCTCTTACGTTTTTTTGCCCTTAATCGAAACGCAACGTAACGCTTAACGTAACGTTTAAATGAATTACAAAAACATAAATAAAAGTTAATATTAATTGCAGCGAAAGTTGTGTGCGGCCAAAAAATGTGGGCGAAACGTGTGCGATAAGTAAAAGCCCGTTTATAAAAGTCTGCAACTAAATGCCCACCAGTTGGCCAAGTTAAGAGACCATCCTACGATCAAAACGACATAACTTTATAAGACCCCAAATAATTCGAAAAAGCCGGCAAAACGACGTCCAAGAAGAAGCAGACGCAGCCGACGCGGCCGAAGACGAGCAGCATGTTTAAGTGCATTCCCATCTTCAAGGGCTGCAATCGGCAGGTGGAGTTCGTGGACAAGCGCCACTGCTCCCTGCCGCAGGTGCCCGAGGAGATCCTGCGCTACTCCCGCACCCTGGAGGAGCTCTTCCTCGATGCCAACCACATCCGGGACTTGCCCAAGGTGAGTGTACACTAAACAGGAGTTACTTTCAACGAAAGAAAAAAAAAAATCCAAATGCAGTCAAAATGAAATAACACTCTTTGGTTTAAAAAAAAAGCAATATTGGTCTTATTCGATATTGGTTCACCGACTAATTAAATCAACAAAATTATTTTATTAAAAATATTTCAACACAAAATTATTAGAAAAATATATTGATTTCGTGCAGGGTTTCATAAAATATAAATTTTTTTTATTGTGTTTTTTTTTTGCCTTGGCCCTTACGATTTATTAAAAAATCCTATAAGGCGACAGAAATCTCAAACAATTATTACATTTTTCTTAAAATGAAAATATTTTATTAGTAGGCATAATATAAACTTGTGTATAAATCATTAGAATCATTTTATTCTAAAATTTAGAAAATTATTATATTTTTATCTCTATCACTTAACCCAATAATCGAACTCTGCTAAAACTATAACTCGTCTTAAAACCCTTTTAACATTATAATTTAACATCAGGACTGCCGATCTGACCATAAAAATGTTTTTTTATTTGATTCTATCAATGACAAAAAAACTTTTGTAGATCATAAATGGTTAATGGTAATTACGTTTATAAATATTAGTAGTACAAAATTGTTAAATCTATTCAAGTCTTAAAACTATTATCACTTAAAATTACAATAAACTAATGAATTTCATAAATAAATGAATCCACTTTCTTGTTATGATAGATATATTAATCAGTTAATTTTAGGCTTACAATTCATGTTAGTAAAAACGAAGAAGAAGTTTTGTGGCTTTTATAAGTTGGGCCCGGGAAAATCGACCTGAGCTGACTGAATCTTAAACTTTGACTGCTGGGTGGTGCAAACTCGCAAATGTCATAGTTCAAAGTGCGTGGGAAATTGAATAAATTTCGCAGCGTCAGGTTTGGTTGGAGTGAGACTAAAGATAGTGGGTGGTAAATGAAAACTTAATATTAATAGATGCACTGTTTATGTTAAAGTATATAGATACAGAGGTGGCTTTGGAAGAAAACAGGTACAGCGAAATTTAAATATACAAATATTAAAAGTTCATTTCAAAGGAATTTATTTATATAAATGCTTGCAAACAACTCCAGAATATAGATCAATTTCCAAGAATCATAGCGATAAAGGGTAAATACCAATATTGGTATATACGATTGAACATTCGAAGAAGAATTGTTTGATCTGCTCAAACCCCCTCGTTTATCTCTTTATCAACTTTATACAACGGCCTTGTCTGAAGGAGATGGCATTACGTTGGCAAACTTGTCCCACCAAATGGCCCTAAGCTCAAGGGGTTGATGGCTAGGCACGTAATTTGCATCCCCGGGTGCGTTGACCCCGCCCAGGGCCATTCCCCCTCCTTCTTCCCCTTTTTTTTCTTCTGGAAAAGCCACACTCAGGGCCATTCTCCTTTGGTCAGCTATTTGCTGGAGCATCGGCCATTTACCGAGACAACAATTACGACAAAAGAAGCTCCCTCGGCCGAGCGGAAGTCTTTAATTAATGCGAGGAGAAACGGGGGAAAAATCGCGATGTGGACTGAGTAGTTGCTTCTTTGACAGTGCAGTCATAATGGAGAGTAGCTGCATAATTGAATCTGCAATTACGCAACTGGTGTGCCGGCAGTTGATGATCAAAGCTCCGCCAAGTGCAGCATTCTAATTAGTGGCCAAGTGGCCCTGATAATAGCCACACACAAATTGGGTGTGGCTGCGGCCGCATTCGCTTTTCCAAATAATTCCATTTTGGCTGTGAATAATTCTGTCGTGGTTATTTATTTGGATTTGCCAGCGGTCTTCCGCCGCGAATCACGCTGGTAAATAAACAAGTCAGACATAAACAGTAGTAGTATCTCGTTGTCATAGCAACAAGTGGTGGGCGGAAAAGACAGCATATATCTCCGGTTGCAGTTACAATTCATTTGCGGTCAGCCATGAGAGTCTTCTTGAGTTTTCCTACCGCGTTTCTCCTCCAGCTTTGATCGAGCTGCCTTCCCCTTAGCCGCACTCAATAATGAACTTCTAATGCAAATTTGGAGCAGCCACATGTTGCAACCGCAGGAACAACTACATGTTGCTGTCGGGCAGCAACAGCAGCAACTACAATGGACAAGTAGTCTCCCATATAATGATGATGTTCTGCTGCCGAGTTCGTTTGAATGCTAACCCGAATGACAGCGGCGGATGTGATTGTTGCTTTAGTTTAGCTTCTGCTGATGGAATCGCTCTGCTCAACCCTTTCTGGATTGTTGAGAGCGGTACACAATTTCCGCGTTGTCATAGCATCGACAAGAAGGGAAAATACACGGAGAAAAAGGAACATTAAATCATCACGGCTATCAATTTATAAAAAAGAGGAATGTTTAAATTTAAAATAATAATAACCTATTGATAAGATATGTTCGATAAGTTGACTATGTAGTTGTAAATATTGTAAATATTTGCGGGGCTTTACGATAAATTCTACGGAATTTCGTTGTTTTATGACTAAGTGTTGTGACTATTTGTCACCAAAAATATTTCCAATAAGGTAGGAGATTATGTAGTTAGTTCAGAAATTGCTTTCCTATGTCAAAGTATATATAGATTTTTAGGGGTCTTAGGGAATTTATTATTTTCTAATCAAACCTATTATTATATTTAAATGATAGTGAAAGAATTTATTTATAGTGTAGTAAAAAAATGTTTGCCTCAATTGAATCGTTGCTAACTCGACGACAATCTGCCTCAATCTACTGCCATTCGTTTGCTTTCATCAGACGGAGTTGGCAATTGAATGGGAAAATGCTGCTTTAAATTCAGTATTTTCCACAATCATTTAATGGTTCTCCCCGTCCTTCCTTCTATGCTTCTATTTAATTGGTAATTTGCATTATGCAACTGCTCGATTAGGGCTCTCTCCAACGTTGAGTTATTATGTAGAACCTACCCCAAGGAAACGCTGTGGACACAACTCGGGCAAGAAATTGGCTTCTTCAATGCAAACTTACCACCCAGACCCACAGCCGTTCACAGTCAAAACCGCTGGCCCCATTCATTTGGGCCAATTAGTCACGCTCGGAGATAAGATACCGAGTAATCACCTTATCGCCTGGCATTGCCCCAATGGGCCTGAGGTTCAACCTGCTTAGCAGACCACCTACACCACCACCTCCTTTTGTTCGCTTTTCTGGCTTTCGAAACCTGAAGCGGAGCAGGTGCCTTTTCGGGTGGGGGGGGTTGGCTTGTGAAAACTTAACCGGCAGTCTGGCTATTGAACACACACAAAGAGCCAGAGCAAGCGGCAATGACATCATTTGGTAGTAATCGCGTACCTGACACAGCGAACTCGACAACAGCTACGAAAACAGCCAGAAAGAATCTAAAATGGCGGCACAACGCTTTTAGTGAGTTTTGCTAAGTGAACGCAACACAACACTACTCGTCGCACAACTTGCCTTAACACCTGCTGGTTACCCCAAAAAATAAAAAAACCTATAGCAAAACACAGATTTTTCCATTTTTTGCTTATCAATATATCTTTGGTGAGCCTGGGGTATCCATCTTTTTCATTCATTGGGATGTTTTAAGAAGCTTGGAACTACATGAAGTTTCCACATGAAATTTAACTAATTTTTAGTTTATTTGTTCAACTATAAAAAAATACATACAAACGGGAATATTTTGATGTACAGTGGCGCGTTTAACAATACAGTACGCTTAGAGCAGGAAATAATATCATAAAACTTGATGAGATTTATACCGTTACTAAGTAAGTTACTTAGTCCATAAAATTAACTAAAATTGATTTAGTGTCAAGTTCTAAATAACTAAAAGGAAATGAATACTGTAAAACTGAGATGGGGATGTGTAAATATCAAGTTAAATGTTAATTCGAATGCACTAAAATAATTATTAAGATGGGCCTTCCTCTTTCAAGTTTGAAAAACTAAATGGTGATAAATAGATACAACAAAAAATACATATAATACAAAACCTAGCAGTGATTTACAGCGGAACTGCAACGAACCAGTTAATGAATCCATTAAAAATAAAACTAATTTAAAGCCATTCCATTTCGCCAGTTTGTGTGTACTTAAACAAGCATTTAAACTGTTGTACCACCTTTCTTTGATTAAGTGTTATTCCGATTTAACTGCAGTTATTTTATAGCCTCGAGACGAACTGTACTTCTCTTGTGGAATTTTTCATTCGATTTGTTTTGAGTTTTTCATTTCGTTTTCGTTACACTAAGCCAACGCTCGTCTCTCGCATTCCCCACCGCTTACCACTTTATTCTAGCCACTACTGACAGAGCTTGTGGAAACCGGTTTGCCTATAAATAAATAAATGTTTTCCACTTAATTGTTTCTGAAGGCTTTTGTATCAAACATTTCGTTTGACCGAAGCTGATCATTTTGTTTGCAGCTGTTTAAAAAATTATTTAGTGATTTTAGGCAAAATACTTTTTAGTGGTTTTATAGTCGAGATTCCGCAAAGATGCCGCTGAGATTTATGGCGTTTGATAGGGTCATTCTGTTGCAGTTTCTGTTTTTGCATCTAAAAAAGATACTACATTTTCCAAGCAGCTGTTTGGAAAACGAGGAGCGGTTAAGTGCTTTTCCGCTGACTAGCAGTGGTTTTTTTTTATCCGGTGGCTGCATCGTCTGCAGGCGGCCATAAAGAAAGTCGTTGGTTGGTTTGTTGGCATTGGCATGACAAATGCACCAAGGCGCACACAAACACTCACTGTTCGGGGCTGCAATGTTGGATAGAAAAATGAAGATGTACAGATTTGAACAGGCGCCCAGATACACGAAGGCAGCCACTGCGATTCCGACTCCGATTCCGATTCCTTCTGCGGATGCCACTGGAGAAGCTCGCAAGCTCGTGTCTTGTTTGTTCGACGATTACACATATTTGTATATTTTTCGACTCCTCTGTTGCTGTTGCAGTGGAAACGGCAACACCAATGGCAGCCATTTGTATCTGTTCACAGAGAGAAAAATGTATGAGAAATATTGATTTTAACTTTAAATATAATATAAAACTTATATAAAATAGTTAATTTCAATCTATGATATCTTTAATATGTCATATCTGTATTTTCCAACATTTAATTTGGTTATTAAAAAAAAAAAATAAAATAAGCAGCAGTTGTGATTGAACACGTAATTTTGTTTACTATAGTCAGCCAATAAATAAACCTAAGGTGAAGATGAACAAGTAAAAACTTTGTTTTTTTATTTTTGTTTAAAATATTTGAAAATAACGTTGTGTCTGTTCCACAATTTTTTTATATTTTAACAGTTTTCCGCCTTCAAAAAAATAAATTAGGTTAGAAATTAATCAAAAAGTGAGGTGAAATTTAAATATTTGTCGTAATTCTTTTCCGTGTGTGTCTGTATCTCCAGTGCGGCGTGAAATACTAAACGTAGTCACAGTCTTCAGTTCCAGCTCTGCACATAATTGCCGCTGTCTGTCTGACTGTCTGTTTTGTTGGCTGTTCTAGCTCAGCTGGTTTTGGCGGCTGTAGATGCGTCCACTGAGATATATATCTGTGCCGAAAATGTATCTAGAACCCGTTTCAGAGCGATTGTGTGGCTTATTCTGGGCGCCTAGTCATTTGCAACATGCACACACCACTCGGCAACTGCGGCTATATGTCTGTACGTGCGTACTGCCCGCTGTGTGAGTGGGCCAAATGTATCTGGCTTTCAGATTACACTTGCAGATACTGGGGCACATTAAAAAATTGCTGGCGGGCACCGAAGCGCACATTTCCATACCCCACACAGGTCATGGTTCAGTGCAGTTGCACTGGAATCTGGTGGATTTCTGGCGGATTGGTGGATTCTGGACGCCATATTCAGAGCCATCAGAGTCTATTAGGTTGGCTTTTAGGCAACGCAAATTGGTTTTCCGGCCAGGCTTTTAACAATGGCAAATTGAATTGTTTTTGTTATATGTAGCAGAGCTGCTGTCCGAGATAAAGTGCCCGGCCAGAAATCGAATTATGCACATGATGCAGCTCAAACAGCGAGCAACTTGTCTGCTGTTTGTGATGCAACCGCTGCGAACTGCTGTCTCGATTTTGGCCTGGCCAAAAGCCAGCTACTGCCACTTGCTGTGCGCCTGCTCCGACTAGATACAATAGTAAAAGTGTGCTGCCGAGTGAGTGAGTGAGTCTATGTCTATATGTGCGCTTGAGTGGCAGACAAACTGGTAGTACTCCATAGTTGGTACTCTGTACTCTCTATACTCATGGCTATATATGCCGGCCGGTCTCTGCCGGCCGGTAATTTATGGCCAAGATACATACAACAAGCCCGAGTTGCAGCGTGGGCTTTTGTTGGCTGGGTGGCTCTCCCCCTTTTGTGCCCAGCACTTGGCGAAAAGTTTACAATTCACATTCATTTTTATTGTCGTCATGCCTTGTCCTCGTTTTTGTCTCTCGGCCATTTCACCCCTGCTGCCCCGCTTCTTGGCCAGCCCCCTTTGGGCCATTTCATATGCAAGTTACGTTTTTTTGTCGCTTTTCTTTTCTGTCTTCCTGCATTTTTTGCCCCTTTGTCGCGCTGACAGTTGCAACTTTTTGACGCATGATTTGTTGAAAGGCTTTTCGCTTTTTCTGTGCATAAATAGCAAACGGAATCTGGCCATTGTAGGTGGCCAAAAGCAATGCAGCTGACACTGATGGAGCCTAAGCCGCTTTGTCTTTAAAATAAAAGCCCCTTGTTCATTGTTGTAATAGCCAGTGGTTTTTCTGACATTGACTTTTCTAAACACTTCTTTGCACTGAGGTACATTATTTACTACCTAATTCTTGCTCTTTTAATTTGAAACTGTTTGTTTACTCAGACTTAATTAATTAGACTTTTATGAAGTAGAAGATTTAGTTCCATGTTGATTTTCTTTTGGCAAACTACAAAAGAACATTTTATGCCGATTGGACCAAAAATAGACGAGACGGTGATAAAACCGATTTAAAGGTGGAACTTTTCCAAATCAGTTCTGCCAGTGCTTTGAATCCTTTTTTTTTTTATAAATTTTAATGAACTTCCAATGTCATAGGTTTTTGTGGAAATTGAAATTTTAAAGCTGTGTAAATCATTTTTGAGTGATATTATGTGTTTCAATCAAAATGGATTTTATGGGTTGCCGTTCCCAGAATTCCTTTCGATTTGTACAACCGTAAATGCCCAAAGCCAGTGTGTCTTGGCCGAGGTGCGGAATTCGCTTGCTCAGTGCCCCAAAAAACTGGGTCAACAACTCCAGCACTTGGCCAGCACACCAGCACTTCTATTGTCATGTGGGGCAAACAAAGAACACAAAATATAAAAAAAAAATAGAAGGAATTTAATAAACTTTACGGCCACAACTACGAATTATTTTCATTATTCTGGTGGCGACTGCTCTTTTGGGTTCGCCTCAAGTAAGAACCAACAACAATGGCCGATAAAAATCGCGCTGGCAGAACAAAAGCAGCGAAGTCTGCTGCGGCTGTTAACCTTGAGGTCTATGACTCAGTGAGTCAGTAGGGGGCGCAACTTTCTTTCCAAAGATGAGTACACTACTCCACATTGCAGGAAGGTCAGGGTATGGGTTTTGGGTATTGAGCATTGGGCATTGGGCTTCCCTTCACTTTGGAAAGTCCGCATGGAGTGCCAACATAATTTATTTTGAAATTCGAATCTAAGTCGTGATTTTCATAAATGAATTGTTGGCGACATGTCTCTGTCTGGGTCGAAAGGAAAGCTAGATGGCTGGGCGAGAAACGGAGGAGGATTCTAATGGTAAACTGACTGTTTGGACGGGTCACGGCACTAACAAATGACAACCCCTCGAAGATTTATGACCACGAAAACTAACTAACTGAGTTGCAATCCAATGCTGCCTTTTGTTTCGAAAGGCTGCCGAGTCGTGCTGAGGTCTAAATCTTGTTTCTTCTCTCTTCCGTGCTTGCAGAATTTCTTCAGATTGCATCGCCTGAGAAAGCTGGGACTGAGTGACAATGAAATTGGCCGCCTGCCGCCGGATATACAAAACTTTGAAAATCTCGTCGAGCTCGATGTTTCACGCAATGGTAAGTCAAAGTCCCCCATTAACATGCAACAAGTGCCCATCATAATGCTCTAAGTGACATTGATGGACAATGGCTCTGGTTATTTTCGATTTTGCTGTTTGTATTTTTTTTTTTTGGTTAGATGGACAGCACGTGTCCGTTGATTGCAGAAATTGAGTGACGGAATGGGGGAGGCAACATTGCAGCTTCGATATATCCATCGAGTGTCACACGCAAATGCAGCTGAAGTGACAACAATTGCATATGATAATTGCATCTGTGTCATTGATTGCATTGGGCTTATGTATCTGCGGTTGGGGCTGATGACCCTGCAACTGAATAACCATATCAAATGACGCATTCAGCTTTCTCCCATGTTGTGGGCTGATCAACCTAATTATGGAAAATGTCGAGTTGTCAACCTACGTGGTTATTGAGTTCGATACTTATTTCAGTGTATTTCGATAAGTTAATTAATAGTCAAAAAAAAGGCAGAGCATTTAATTTAAAATAATAGAATAATTAGAATTTCTGACCTTGAAAAAAGTTTTAATTTTACCAAATGGTAAATATATTCAGCTTTCAGCTAGAACATAGAGTTGTTCGTAATTGTTTAGAATAAAATACGTGAGCTTTCGGCTAGAACATAAAATTCAATATAAATTCAGATTTATTATAAACAATTTAGCAAACTTTATTATTGCATAAAATTTAATCGATATCTTAACTATTTGATTTAAAAAAAAATAAATCTTCAATCTAAAACAACTTTCTCGCCATTAAGTTTGATAAAAATCTATTCCCCTTCTCTCACTGCATTGTTCTGTTTTTCCATTAAAAGTGCTCTTCCTGTTCTTTTATCTTGTTAAATTGCTTTGTATTACAGACTTTCAACGACTTTAAACTCAATTTAAGTGCAAACAATTGCATTGTCTTATCTCTCTTGGCGCATGCAACATCCGTATTGCCGCTGTTTTTTTAATGTTTTCCTACAAGTTGTTCCCCAAACGAAGAAGATGCAGCTGGCGTTTTTAATAACTTTTCCTGAGCAAAACTTGTGCCGTATACGCACACCACCCGCACAACCGCCGACTCAATCAGCGGCCTACCCCCACATATGCATTTTCCGCTCAAGCGAGCATAAATCCGTAAACAGAAACCCGTAATTGGAGTCAAGTGCAGCTCTCCAAGCAACGCGGCGCATACATATCATAATAAATGGAAACAAAATATATACAGAAAATAACTTGAATAAGTAAATATACTGCATGGGACGGCACCGGCACCCCGCTTTAAAAAATTAAAACCCCTCCACTTGACAATTTCCATGGCAACAAATGCTTTACGAATACCGTATATACTCGCTCATTCATTCACAGCCCCCGATGAAATATTATCGACAATGACGTCGTCGGGGTGATATCCATTTCCGTCCAAAGGTTTTCAGTTTCACTTGGTCGCAAAACGAAAATCAGCAACTTTTTAAGGCTACCGGACTAATGCACGGAAGAAAAATAACTTAAAGTGATGATTATTTAATGAAAAATTGTCTATTCTTGTCTAGAGTAAAGAATATAAATTTATTATTAAGTATCAAAATATTTACACTTTATTTTGTTTCGTTTTATGTTTAAAAATGATCATTAGTTGAAATTGTATTTAGCGTGGCTTACATATTTATTTTTCTGTGCATTTGTCCAGGTTGACTGCACTCATTACCTGAATTTTCGCAGATTTCAAAATGACTTTGGCGGGTCGTGTTTGGTTTACTACTAAAGCTTGTTGTTTTGCTGATTATGCAGTTTACTGTCGGCAGTTTGCCGTTTATACACATGACCCACAAATGACCAGAGACTCACAGCTTATGGCCAAGTGAATGGGTCCAAAGTGGTTTGAGCCAGCATTTTGCCATTGCTGTTGAAATCTGAGCTGGATTTTCCTGGCTCTGGGTGAAAGGCCGCCCACGTTAGCCTCAGTTGAGATTATCCGCCTGGCAGGAATCGGTGATTAATGGTCGTTAAAGAGCGATAAGTCGATCAGCGAAATATTAAAAGATCTCCTTAGTGTTGCGGGCTTTCTATTTGCCCAGTGTGTGTGTGGGTGGCTCCTCCCTGGGGAAAGCCTTTCACATTCAATTCCTGCAACGCTCAAGAGCATATTTTATTGGTCGCATTGAACCCGCTGGGCAAAAGCTACAGCACAGGTGCCATAAAAGTTCGCCGCTCTGGCGTACCTTTCTATGTAATTTCCCATACACATTTTCCTATTGCGAACCGCAGAAAATTGCAGTTCTCAGCCGTGTGGGAGTTGCACATTTTTCCCATTTTTATTTTGTATTTCTTCTATGTTGGCTCAAATTAGCGAGCTCGATTTGGTATTCGGCTGTATTGCCTTGCCAGCTGTAGTTGCCACAACAATGGAAGTTAATGCCGCAAATTTTGCTAGTGCAACAACACAACTACTAAAACAGCTGCAACAACAACCAAACACTCTCGACCGACTGCACTTGACAATAGAATTTTGTACGCGACACTGGCGACATGCATTTGCCACCCGCGCCAGTGTTTGTATGCAAGCGGCGGCTATAATAACAATTCTAATAAAAACAAAAATTCTCCTGGCTAACCGTGGGTTGGTGGACTGTGGGTGTACTTGTGCTTGCGTTTGTGGGTGCGTTTATATGGACACAGCTGAGCTGAGAACAATAGCATCGGTGTGAGATGGAAATAAAGCGGAAAATTGTCAAAAACCAATCTTTATTCATGCATATGTTTAGCAAATAAATACTAAAAGGAAGAGGTTCAGAATATAAATAAGAATATATTTTTAAGTTATAAAAGAAGAAAATTTAGATCAAGTATTTTTTCGATCTAATCGTCAGTAAAGTAGTAAAATAGTTTGATGTCAAAAAAATAATATACAATTATATTTTAAAAAAATTATCAGGTTGCAATGTTTGCATAAATTGCAATACTAAATAGTGAAAAACTACTTCAAGCTTTTCGAATCTGATTATGCCAACAGTCAATTAACCAAACTAACTAGCACGTATTTGCAATTACACACTGTGAATAAAGATTAATTTAATCTTCTTAATCGATCGGTTTCAGGCCGGAAACTAAATGCTATAAATTCAGCCGCCACTGTGCTCTCAAGTACAGGTGTCATTGTTAGTCGTCGCTGGTTCTGCACGTAAATCATTATGACAAGTTGACCCGCTTATAAAACGTAAGCCAAAAGGGCTCTGCCGGCGTCGCATTTTTTTTATTTTTTCGCAAACTGCTAATTGTTTGTTTATTTGCTTATTGCGTTTTCTATTTCCACACTATATTTGCCATCTTTTTTCGCTGCCATTGCAGTTTTGACGTTTATAGAGAGTTTCTTTTATGCCGTGTTTTGTTTATTAAATAACAAACAATTTTATGTTTTTCAAAGCGGTGCAGTTGGAAGCTTTATTTGTATGAGTGCGTTAGTTTTGGCTAGCAGCGAATAACAAACAATAGAATGTGAGAATTTGTCGCTGGGCTCTAATTTTTGGAATGGAATGCCAACCCGATTAGGTTTTGCTGTGCCGAAGCGTATAGATTGCATGAAAAAGGGGACATTAAAAATATTGTACATTTTTTCTGATTTATCCAGCTGGAATTTCACTTTAATATTTGTTTTCTATTTAGTTATTAGAGTGGAAATAGAGACTTTATCAGCTTGGGTTGTCAACATTGCTGTTCTCTGGGAACTGTGTGCCTAAAGCTGATTGAAAACTATCGGAGAAATGTCTGAAAGTTGAGCCACACAAACTCAAACTCAATTAAATGCTATTTGAAAGTCATGCCCTTAGGCCCTTATGGCACTTGTTTCCCCTTCATTTTTCTGTGACAAAATGTGTGTCATCTTTTCCTGCTGCCGCATTTGTTGTTTCCGTTGTGTGTTGCAATTGAGGCGTCAACTGGGTCAAAGTTAAAGTGCGCGCAAAAAAAAAAAAAAAAAAAAGAATCGCGGCGCCTCCGTTCGAGTGGCGTGCTCATTTTGTTGTTCTTGGAGACTGTCAGAGCTTTGGTCCCCAGGTTCCAAGTGCAGTCACTTTCACACACAGCCTGGGTACAAGTACAAGAAAAAATAAGCCGGAGACGACCCTCGACAAGGCATCAAAAGAACTTAGTACACTCGAAAAAATTACCGAAAGTCTCCAAAACAAAATATAACAAACACAGTTTAATAAAATTGTATTAGTTTCTTGTTTGTATAAAAAAACCCAAGCACCTGTACAATTACTAAAAATAATACTTTAAATTTATGGAAGCTACATTTTACTTTAACGAATGCCTTGAAAAACTGCGCAATTCAAGCGCAAGCATTACCTTTTGCATTATATTAAAAATACAATAAACTAAAGTAAAGAAAACTTACTTAAAATTGTAATTAATGATTGTGATTCTAAAAAAATATTTCGAATTTGTTATCCTGTTAACGAGAATTTCCATATATCAGAAAATTTCTTGAAATGTAGAATTAGCGCGACTTCAAAATTCAAGGGCTTCTTCGCAGTAATATTTCTTTCACTGCAAGAAAAAGAATTAGTAAATAGCGAGTGGTGGAAGAAAAATCGGGGGCAGCGAGAACAAAGCCAAAAATCAAAGCTTTGTCGTGGTCTTGGACCAGGCCATTAGCGTCCATGACTTTGTAGGAAGTTCCCCCCAAACAGCAATTGGCCCAAAGTCAAAGCGAAGCAAGAGCGACCGCCAATTGATGGGAACATTTCAATGTACTCTAAACAAACAAACGAACTGAAGACCGGACAGTCAGACACACAGTCGGACAAGAAAGAATTGTATAATTAATAGCATTAAACAAAAACTAAATCAAAATGTCAGGGGTAAAATCAGCTCAAATTGAAAAATTATTTCTTCTCACGTTGGGCAATTTTATTCAATACTGATGCCTTGCCCTCTGCTCTACACATCGATTTACACATACCGATTTATTTCGATCTTGTCGATCTCTGGAGCTGATTGACGTCACTGGGGTGAGCAATTAAAAACTACTCGGCCAGCAGGCAGCAGTCCGACGAGCTTGTACAAACAACAAATCAAAAGTGAATCCTCCCGACTTGGCAACAGCCACAAGCCAACCGAATTGAGTTTGCGAAAAGAATAAAACAACAAACAGAAATGTTGCAAACAAATTTCTAGCGTGTTGTGCGTGTAAAAACGGTTTGAAACTTCCCATGATTATGAAAAATGCACATATGGTTGGCAAAGAAATAAGCTTATCTGTAATAGTTTAACAAAAGCGAGTTTCGTTCACTAATTATATGGATTGGGGTGGCTAATAATTAATATTTAATGCTATAATTATTTTTCATATTTACAAAAATGGTTTCCGAACTATAAAAGCTTACCTTTAGTTTAACAAAAGAAATTTTCATGCATAAATTGCACGGATTAGGCTGGCAATTAGTTAATTGAAGAGAAATTTACTAAATGACGCAGGTGGCCAAAGGTTATGACTGGATTTTGATTAAATTAAATACCCCGGGAAATTAATTACCAACTGACTTGTTTTTGGGAAAGCCGACGGAGGCTTAGAATGTCAATTGCAGATGCTTACACTGTATAAAGTGAATGCTTTTGGACGGACGCATCTGTGTTCGTCTTGTCAGGGGCTTTACCGAAACTTGTTGCCTGCCTAACGAGCGTAAAACAGTCATTAAATCTGCCAAACCACCCACTGCAAAAGTGCCCTAAGCTTTGTTTGCTTGCTAATTGAATCTGAATTAAAAGCTTAAGTTGAATACACTCCATATGCGGTCGTAAATTCAGTTTTAATGCAGTTTAAAGGCACCTGTTGCGCTTGCCGCTGTCATCATCATCATTATAGTCGCATCTTTTACCACAATTAAGAGTGATTTACTTATCACAATCTGGGCAGCCCCCCTCTTATATCGTCTCATCCCATCTGAGCTTCACTCAGTGCAGTTCAGCATCTTCTGCAGATGATGTGGCAATCATCCCGGGGTGCCATCAGTGTTGCAACCAGGGATTACAAAGGTTTAGCTAGACATTGCATCAATCAATTGCAAATATCTACCAAAAAATAATAAACTCTTTTTATCTATACATAAACGAATGTTTTTTTTTTATAAATTAGTATTATTAATTCGATAATCTTCATTTTATTTTAGAAAATTTTGAATACTTATTTCTCTTGTTGCATAACTAATTTCTATCCATTCGAACATTAAAAACTCAAGGGGTCTTTTTATATGGCAAAATATAATTTTTATTGGATAATATTAATAATAATATAATATTTATCTACCTAAATACCATAAAGTTTTAAAACAGTTAAACGTTTTTTAATTGAAAAGTAGATTTGATAACAGATTGATAAGGCAATACTTTAAGATAGCCGAGTGCGACTATTAAATAGCTGAAATGGCAACACAATAAAGCTTCAGCCCTGTCTGTGCCACCAAAGGCGACGCTCAGGTTGAACGAGAATGCTGGTGGCGGAAAGCCATTTTCCCTGTTGACGCTTAGGGATTTGCTCTTAACAATGGCAGCCTTAAAATTGCAAGGATGTCAGGATGGCGATGGCGGTGACAACAAGGGCTGCTTGTTTCCCCTAGTCTGGAACCTTTTCATCATTTTGGATGCATGCAATAACTGAAATGGCAACATGCCATGGAAACTCATAATGGATGCCGAGTGCTGGGGATTAAAACGTAACCGAGCCATTGAATCTGGGATTTTACTCCCAATGATGCAAGGCAAATTGAAAAGCCCTGGATGGGGTTTAATATTTTTTTTTTCTTCTTATTCGTTTTCCTTTTTTGCTCTCGAGCTCGTGAAATATGCATCCTCGACATCATCTTCATTAAATGCAGTTCGCATTGAGGAAGATGTATGGCGGTGACCTCGATTTGTATGCCCATTCCTCCCTCCCACTTTTCCCGCCCATCAGCTGCTGGTGCTGCTTCTTGTTTCTGTCTGGGTCGCCTTGATATACTGACAAATTATTTCACATTTCACACAAGCGTCAGAGCAGCATTTTTGTTCGTTCAATGACATTGAAAAGAATTTTCATATGGGTTTTTTCCCAAACCTCCCCCTCCGGACACGCCCCCTTTGTGATGTCGTCGTTGTTTGCTGACGTTTCGTTTCGCTTGGCTTGTTTTATTTTTGATGCTTTTCTTTCGGTTTTTTGGCACAGTTCTTCTTCATTGATCTTGTCTGGTTGGTGAAATTTATAAGCGCTATAAATGCGAAAAACAAAAATGTTGCCGTATTGTTCCCGATTTGGGCTCTATTTTTGGATTGCTCTCACTTCGTAACGATAAAATATGATAAACAAATTAAATAAATTTTGGGGCATTTTCCGTTTCTTTGAAGGGCACCGCCTCGCCCATGTTGCATAATTGTACAAATTGATTACAATTCCGTTTCTTTTTTCTAACTATGCTCGGCACTCCCAGCATTTCCTCCAATTTCCCGTCTCCAAATGAGTTTCCCAATGGCCCAACTGCCCCAATTTTTCCCAACGGGTGTGCGGTGTGTGTGTGTTAAAGGTCAACGAATTGTTTGTCACCGTCGTTCATCTAATGACCGCCAACTGTGCCGCACAGCTGAGCATCTTGTGATGTTTTGTGGGGCTGCCATATGTTTCCAATTGCCTTTGGTCGCGTTTTTCTGGGTGGGCGGAGGAAAAGCGCCGTGCTGCGTCCATTTGTCTGCAACTGGCGGGATCCAATTTTGAGTGTTTTGCTTGACGGATTGACGGATGTGTGCGGCTGCTGCTGTTGCTGCTGTGGCGACAGCTTTTAGGCCTTCTAAAGGTTAAAGAGCACCAGCATATAGGCAAGGATCTTGTTGCAATATGGCATATGTAGTTGAACCTCACTAACTCGGATTTAACAAACAAATAAACAGGATTGGATAAAGTCTAAAGTACCATTAATATTATACTCATTGAATTTTATTGCATTGACTTAAACAGAAAAGTTAAAGCTGATTCATTTTCAAAGCTTATTCTAAAATAAATTACAAGTCATTTTATAAATTTTTTGGTTTTTAAATGGTAATGTTGTTTTTAAATTAAAAAAAATTACTTGAATTTAATTTTATTTTTTCTCAAACACCATTAAATAGATTTGATGCTATCTTAGAAGTATAATTTCTTTAACTTACAACTAAGAACCACACCTCATAGGCAATCTCTAAAGCACTATAAAAGCCAAAAACCCTTGTTGAATTCATTTAGAGCAGATGGTGTTTCAAGTTGTTCAACTGTAGTATCTATAATTGGCCAGTGCATTCAAGGCCATGAACAAGGCCTGCTATTGCACACAATGCACCACAATGCCATGCTGAAATACATAAATACGAATGTCAGTTTATATTTTTATATAATTCTTAATTAAATGCTGCTGCAGCTCTTCGTGTCCGTATTCTCCGTCTGCTCGTTTGTTGTTCTTGCTGTGGCAATGTGGCAATGCATTTGCAAATAAATAGCTTATCGGCGAACTGCCACAACTGGTGACATTCCCAGCAAACGGGGGTCCATGACTGGCCACATCCGCCGATTGCCACGAGGCCACAGCCGCGTCCATTGTTGGCCCACACAACTCGAGCATGTCCTGCCCCAGGACTCACTTCCCCCTGATTTCCGTGCCTGCCTGCCTCAATGCCTGGATGTTGTTGGCCTGTCGCGGCGAGTTCGCGTTGCGGGTCCCACGTGTCGTATTAGTTGGATTGAATGTGGACACATGGGGCAAGTCACCCCGCGTTGACCGATGACGATGTTTCGTTTTTGTTCTCTTTTACCGGTAGGGTGGTGTACAAGTGTTTTCCCCATGTATCTGGGTCAATTTAAACTGAAAAGGCTTGAGGCCCTCCAGCTCCCACTGCCACCTGTCGTTTTGCTTTTGCTGCCAGTTTCGTGGTTTTTATACGAGGCTCTCGTGGAAAAGCTTTTGTGGGCGTGCTGGTAAACAGCACACATACCCGTACAACTCCGCCTGTTTTCCCGGGTCCTTTGCGTGCGCATTTCCGCTTTGGCAGCTCGAAATTTATTCGATCAACAAGTTTCGTTTGTCATTTTACGCTTCGTCTCGCTCTATCGGACCGGGGCCAAACAATAATAACGACGAAAGCCATGGCCAAAAGAGGGCATAACGACGAAAGCCATGGCCAAAAGAGGGCATATATATACATATATGCAAATAGTTTTTCCAACTTTCGTCTTATCGATAATTCAGCAAACTGCCAAAAGGAAAACGTGCGGTTTAAAACCAAATGAATTGATAGACTATGACAAGGCCATATGCGGAAATCCTTCGTTCAGTGAGTCGCATGGAATATTTATAGCAGATTTATTAATATTTTAACGCGGCCCTTTGGAGCAATTCATGCGTGAGCAAGTCAATCAGCCGAGCAGATAGAAATGTGTAACCCGATAACCAACGAGCTTGGCTTTGGCTCATTGAAAAGCCGTAACAGCAATCAGTAAACAATACGTTTTCTCTTCTTCTAGACATACCCGACATTCCCGACGACATCAAGCATCTGCAGAGCCTGCAGGTGGCCGACTTCAGCTCGAATCCGATACCCAAGCTGCCCTCGGGCTTCTCCCAGCTGAAGAACCTGACCATCCTGGGCCTTAACGACATGTCGCTCACCACATTGCCAGCGGACTTTGGCAGTCTGACGCAGTTGGAATCGCTGGAGCTGCGCGAGAATCTGCTCAAGCACCTACCCGAGACAATAAGCCAGCTCACGAAGCTAAAGCGACTGGATCTGGGCGACAACGAGATCGAGGATCTGCCGCCCTACCTGGGCTACCTGCCCGGCCTTCACGAGCTCTGGCTGGACCACAATCAGCTGCAGCGACTGCCGCCGGAGCTGGGACTTCTGACCAAACTGACCTACCTCGATGTGTCCGAGAATCGGCTGGAGGAGCTGCCCAACGAGATCAGCGGTCTGGTCAGCCTGACTGACCTGGATTTGGCCCAGAATCTGCTCGAATCGCTGCCCGATGGCATTGCCAAGTTAAGCAGACTGACAATCCTTAAACTGGACCAGAATCGATTGCAGCGCTTAAACGACACGCTCGGAAAGTAAGTATATTCTTTAAAATATAAATCTGTTAGGGTTTCTGTAAACAAGTTAGTTTAAGTTATTTTTTCCAATTTTTGACATAAAATTAAACACCAAAAATCTAATATCATCGAATATTATAGGAATGCAAAATTCCATAGCTGATTTAATATATTAAAATAATTTTTTTTTTCTGATATAAAATTTTATTATTTAAATATTATTATTTTAAATATTTTCCTTTGGTTTACCGGTTAAGTTCGCAAGCTAAGGCAATTTTCTTATCTTATCTTGGTTTTAACACAATATTGGCCCAAACACAACAAAAACAATTTGTATATATGAAAAACGCATTCAGAAAGAGAGGATAGATTTGTAGATAGAAAGATTTTAATTAGTTAATAAATTTGAAGATGCAAATGTAAGTATATACATACCTAACTATTAGCTTTCACTTAACAACTTTTTAACTCGACCTAATTGATTTCTTTTTTTTTTTTAAGCTGTGAAAACATGCAGGAGCTTATTCTCACAGAGAACTTCCTCTCCGAGTTACCAGCCTCCATTGGCCAGATGACCAAGCTAAGTAATCTGAACGTGGATCGCAACGCGCTGGAGTACCTGCCCCTGGAGATTGGTCAGTGTGCCAATCTGGGCGTGCTAAGTCTGCGGGACAACAAGCTGAAGAAACTGCCACCGGAGTTGGGCAACTGCACCGTACTGCATGTGCTCGACGTGAGCGGGAATCAACTGCTGTATCTGCCCTATTCGCTGGTCAATCTGCAGCTGAAGGCCGTTTGGCTGTCGGAGAATCAGTCACAGCCGCTGCTAACTTTCCAGCCCGACATGGATGCGGAGACGGGCGAACAGGTGCTGTCCTGTTACCTGCTGCCCCAGCAGGAATATCAGCCAATTACCCCAGGTGAGTTTGGATGAGTCAGCAGAGCAGTGAATTTCTCAGTGGTTTAACCCAGTGGCTAAAGGTTGCTCCATATTTGGCGCTGTTTGCTCATGGTGGGCCGAATTTGGCCAAGTTATGTGCGTTTATCAGCACCTGACATAGATTCCACAACAGCCCCGTTCCCCCTATCGTTGTGCAATATCTTCAATCTATGCTCGCGTTTCCGCGATAAGATAAACCGCAAAGTGAGCAAACATTGCCAACAAAATGAGCGCTATCCAAGTTTTGTGCGATGTACATGTGTGTGAACCTTTCACTATCTTTCTGGGTGAACAAAACGTATACAAAACTCTTAAATTCAATTTAAATTTTATTCGCCCGGCAAGTTTTCACCTATTTTTGTGATTAAAATTAACTTCTAATTGTGCTTCGGCAAAAGGACTTTTTCCATAATTGTGTTTCATACTGATTTCAATTATTTTCTTTGCATTCCGCCACGTCACGCGCTCTTTCCAACATTGCACTCTACTCACCCTCTATTTTATGTTCATCCAATCAAAGACTATCCACCCATGACGCTTTATAGATCAAGCGAAAAATTCGATTCAACGGAATTCTTCAGTTATCAGCAAAAAGGTTTGCGTTGAGTATTACCTTTTCCGTATCAATAACAATACACGCTATATCTGCCTTGTACAGTTAACAAGTCTGTATAGTAGAGTTGGCTCGATTTGGATTCTCGAACTACAAGTTTACGCTTGGCTTTAAATTTTTAAAAATTTACCTTAAAGTTTCATTACTTTGAGTTGATACTCTACTGTATTGGCTCGCCTCATGTTTGTAGCATGCCCGCTCAACATATGCATGTTCGCTTTGTTATGTATAGATTATATATTTAGATGCTTATTGGTCCAAATTAAGTTCGAGTGTTAAACATAAGCAGAAAACTAAGTTAAATTAAATTAGAAACCATTATTTAGAGGAAGTGACTAAAATGGAAATTGAAGATAATTTTACAAATATAATATGATATAAGAGAACACCACACCTTAAACTACTTTCGTAACCTATTCCGGTTGACATTTAACAGACTGAACTCTGTTTTCTCGGGTTCTTCTTAGATAGATGATAGCATCGAAGCTCCCCAAAACACTTTTGGTTGGAAGCGCATCTTGGCCCGGCCAAAAGCCAGTCAGCATTGACAATGCTTGTTGAGTGTTTGAAACAAAAACACTAACCGGTTTTCCACAACGCCAGCCAATGACGTCATGACAACAAGTTGTTTTTTTTTTAGTTGGGTGTCTTAGGACAAGGCGTTGGCTGAAAAACATGAATATATGTGTTCTATGCATGAGTGAATACTCTCGCACACGCAACGTATTGCGATGGATGATAAAAGTGTGTTCGATTTGGCTTGTTTGATTTGATTATGTTATTATTTTGTGTTTATACTCCATTCATTTGACGGCTGGGGCTGAAAGTATTCGCCTCATGCGTGTTTCCCATCGCAGATCAGTGCCGCTTATTCTATTGGTTCCCACACACCCAGAATAAAAAACCACTTGGGCTTGGGGAATGGGGAATGATTGGGATCTATTTTGCCCCCGAATTGATCAGTTTTAGCTGCCTGTCAGTGGCAGCATGCCAGATCAAAGCGGCCAAACAAACGATTTGTTTGTTGTAGGCTGCAAAATGCCAAGATCCATTACCATTTAATTTTCCTATCCATTTTCGTTCTGTTCATTTGGGGCACTTGAGTGATGTCAACGGTTGTGACGTCACGGTGGGAATGAAAGGCAGTAAACCTAAAAAAACTGGGGCAAGATCGGCAAGGAATGTAATTATGTGTATGACGCTGCGTTGGTTAATAATATTAATCGTCTGGCTCTTTTCGATGTGGTACGTTTGTGTATGGCACCAAAACTAACTGTTGATTAATGGCCTGTCACAGAGGCTACAGTGCAACCTGGATAGGTTGACTTCGAACTACAAGAAACTGGTATAAATTTAATTTTAATTCGTGGAGTTCTTTGAAGTATTTCACTTATTGGATAGAGAAAAATAAAATGCATTTGAGTTTATTTTACAAATTACATTGTAATCAGATTTTAAGTATTGTAGAAAATTCCTTACGGTATTTAGAAGTACATTACCAAATTAAATTTGATAAAATTCTAGTCCAAGAAGTTTGTCTGTAAATATGCAAATGAAATAGCCTTGAGTTAAATCCGTTTATCACCAGTTCTTACTGTGACATTCTCTGATTGAGTGCCGCATGATTCAACCTGTATTTGTTGTTACCGATGTTGCTATTGTGGTTTCGGTTGTGTGGCGTAGTTGCCTCCCAATCGAAATGAATGTATAAGTAGATATTGTAACTGTTACTTGGCTTCCAAACGAGTTTCGGCCTCTTCGTTTGCCTATAAATAGCTTATATCATCAGCATATTTGGAGAACCAACTTGTCTGGTAACCAGACGACCAAATTGTTTGACTTATCATTTCGCAAACGATCAATGGTCAATGACGGATTAAGTGCACAAAGCGAGAGCACAAATAACACACATAACTCAGCCAATTTAGACGAATGTGTGAATAGTTTCAAGATCAAACTCGTTTTATTGTTTTCCCCGCATATCTTACAGCCATGTAAGCTGTGTTCAAATTATCCAATTAAAGCCGGTGACGGTCATGAGACTTGGGCACCCAGAAAAACAAGAGGAAACAATTTTGACAGCGACGACGCACCCCACGACATGGCCTCTTGTTATTATCATTGCCATTACAAGTCGTCTGCCATTTGCATAAATCTTCATCTTTACTTAACTCGGACTCCCCACTGGCACCGAATTTGTTTGTTTGTCTATGCTAAAATCGGTAACGATTGTAAGTTACGACCGCGCCGGACATTCGGCAATTGTGCATGCAGCTTCAGCTACTTAGGGCCTGCCAGAGGCACTTCCTGCCTCGAAAACAGCGATTTGCATTTGTTTATGGCTGTATAAGCCATCCCCTGCACTTGCTGCGTAGATAGATTGATTGGCCAGTGGGGTGGAGGGTAGAGGTCGGTCGGTGGTGATGGAATCTGAGATTCTGGGGTCCCCTGATCACCCACACATGTTGCAACTTTTATGTTGTTTACATGCCGAGGTGCGAAAAATTTACGGCGCACACACTTCTCATAAGCGCTTGATGGATTAGCAAGTGGACGGACTGGATGGTTTGGTCCGGCAGACCTGACCAAAATGTTTACGCCCGGTGGCCAAAAATAGTGGTTTGCCCCTTGTAGTTCGTGGCTGGATTTTAATGGGCAGTTTATTTATTGATTTGTGCGAAACCAAAATCGTAGACCATTAAGCGTTTTGAATATAATTCTGTTTGTATATAATAAATATCGTTGTTTGCATATATTTCATATATATTATATATCCCAACTACGTAGTAAATGTGTGTGCATGGGCATGCAGTTCACTAATCTCTGACCATTTTCGAACCCCAAACACCTCATCGCACCGTTGATTTATATGCTAATGGAATTCGTTTTATTTGCCCCTGAAATAGCCCGCGACCTGGAATCGGATTCGGAGCCGTTCGAGGAGCGCGAACCGTCGCGCACCGTGGTCAAGTTCTCGGAGGAGGCCACCCAGGAGAAGGACACGCCCTTCGTGCGTCAGAACACGCCGCATCCTAAGGATCTCAAGGCCAAGGCACAGAAGCTGAAGGTGGAGCGCAGCCGGCACGAGGAGCACGCCAATCTGGTCACGCTGCCGGAGGAGGTGAGTGCTGGATTCGATCCGAATGCCAAGCTTCTGCTGTGTTTCCATCGCTAATAGGTTAAGGCGAAGTGGAAGCATGTACTTTCCACCGCAAATATACGATTGTTTTCATACGTTGTTGTGCTTCTTTGGCCAATACTAATCCTAGAAATAAGGCTTATTGAGTAGAAATAGAATATATCTAACCGGGCATGATAGAAATATTGGTTGGTTTGCTCCAAGCTAATTTACTGATATTTATTTACGTATTTATTTGCTCATATTTTTAAATTTTTATTTCGGTAAGTCCAATAGTGAATAATAGATTAAAATAGAATAGACCTTACTATAAATCGTTAAAAAACAGGAGTCGTAGATGTCGTTTTAATTGTATTCATTTTAAAAAAGTGTCATTTATTAGTAAAGCAATCTATCAAAACTTTTTTAATATACGTTTTTATGCAGCTACAGGCTATGAATATAAATAGTTATGTGGGCGGAATACGCCCACAAATTAATTACACTGACTTATATTTATTTTACAAATATAAATAAGTATAAATTAATTCTTTACGCATTGGTTTTGGAAATTGTAAAATGTAGAATGTATATGTAAGGTAAATACAAAATTTCCTTTTCTTCCACAGAACGGCACCAAAGTAGCAGAGACTCCAACCGAGACCCGAACCATTACAAATAATCACCAACAGCAGGTGCAGCCAGTTCAGCAACCAATCGTTGGTGTAAATTCCAAACAGCCAGTAGCTGTGGGTGTTGTCTCTCCAAACACAGCAACAGTTGCGCCACCAACTGTACAGGGTGCCTCAGAGGGCACCAGTACCACCGCCAATAATGTGAAGGCAGCAACAGCAGCCGTGGTTGCCGAACTAGCAGCCACTGTTGGTACCACCGATGAGGGTCAAGATGATGATGAGCAGGAGGATGAGTTCGTAAGTTTCTGGATGGATAAATACTACACAATGTTCTACAACTTGCGTTTTTCTACTCCTTAGGAATCCGATCGCCGTGTAGGCTTTCAGGTGGAGGGCGAAGATGATGACTTCTATAAGCGACCACCCAAATTGCACAGAAGGTGAGGCTATTAAATAATACAATTAATAAAACCATAGGTTAAGTTAGGCACTTTGTTGAAATCGGAACAGGAGATCGCTGGACCTTATTTGGGATGTTATTATTATTTCATGCATCCTTTATCCGTTGTTAGTCCTAGCTACTCCAGTTACCCATTCAATTCTTAACTAATTTCCACTTTTTGTTTCAATCCAGGGACACCCCGCATCATCTGAAGAACAAGCGTGTCCAGCATTTAACCGACAAGCAGGCCAGCGAGATCCTGGCCAATGCCCTGGCCTCCCAGGAGCGAAATGATACCACACCGCAGCACTCGTTGTCCGGCAAAGTGACATCGCCCATAGAGGAGGAAGAGCAGCTAGAGGTGGAGAGGGAACAGGACCAACAGCAGCATCCATTCGACTCGTCGCTCTCGCCCATTCCAGCTGGCAAAACAGAGGCTAGCACCGACCCAGGTAAATATCGAAATTGTTTCAATTAATTACATTTATATTGCTCTATCTCTGTGAACTGTCTCGAAAATGGCCAAAGTGCTTTGGGTGCAGCATAGGATAGCTTGCATCGATGGCAAATCGATAAAAGGCGGGCGAGGACTGGTAATTTTCACTCATTTGCCAACTGGCTGACCTAAAAGGGCAGATACTGAAGTGGAAATTTAATTGGCATCCTCTCAGTCCCCCTTCGATGCAGAGTAAAACCACAAAGAGACCACCCATGACCCCTTTAAATTGTTTCTACTCTCCACACGCCATCTAGGCATAAATACATTCGAGTGTTTTTGGGTACTTCCGACATAATTATATCAACAAAGAAAGGGTAGAGAGCGGAAGAGACACGCGATTAAAAGCGCGTTACACAGGTGTAGAAACTGAGTTTGGCTTGTGAAATATACGCAACAGTTGAGCACAAACTTGGCCTATAAATAGGAACGGCACGTAGTTTCCGCTTATCAGACAGCGATATCAGCTTGCAAAAGCTGATAAAAGTGAGCCGTAATAGTGGAAAAAGAGTGCAAACCTCACTCGAAAAGAAGGGGTAAACAAGCAGAGAGCCCGCCGAATGAGGCGATAAAAAATGGTGCAAATGAAACTGAAATGAGTTGCCTCATTATATATTTTGCTAGGGCTGGCTGCTACCTGGGAAAACTGAGAGTGAGTAGAGCTGGCAGAGAGCTACGGAGAGACCAGACCGAGTGCAATTGCCAGACTTTGCGACCGGGTCTGGGCGCTTGGCCCACTCGTCGCCTGCTTTAGTCATTCTTCAGTTACGCTTGCGTTTTGTCAACGTCGCGAGAGACGCGCTACATTCGTCAGCAGCTCACCGTATATTTGCACTTATTATTATACGCTGCTTTTTGTTTTTTTTGTTTTATTGGCATTCAAAACAGAGAGCCAGTTATAGCCAAGACCCCCCAGATCTTGCACAATAACAATAGCAGATGCTTCTCACGCAGTTAGCCGTACCTTGACTTAGTCATAAAACGAAAGAAAAAATAACATTTCATTGTTAAATACTTCTCAAGAAGAGAGTGTGAAATGTTTTTGTTTCGATTTCAATTTGTTCTGCTTACGTGTGTTGTTGTCTTGGGGCGCATATTGTTATCGATTTTTGTCTGCCGTCTGTCATAATTCTTTTATGGAAAAGACAGGTGGCAGCAGCAGTGGATTAGTCGTCTGGAAAGTTTCTCACATTGCGCATACGCAGCGTATGATGGCCCGAGGCCATAATTGAATTTCAGCTGCACTTCTCTGTCAATCCAAGTGCTCAAGGCTGTGCCGGAACGGTATGAAATCGCAAGAGAACCCCCAGGCCAAATAGCCTTTCCTATTTGCATTTCGGCTGCAGTGCATATCCCCGAAAATGAGCTACTTGAAAGTAAATTTAGTCTTGTTTATATAGCAAGCATTGCCGGGTTTCTGTTGGATATTTGCAGATGGCAAACATGAAAAGTGTGCTTCGGTTCGGTTCGGTTGCATGCATATCCGGTTTCCGGGATTTCGTTCGCCTTTGCACAGATTTTTTGGTTAGATATTGCAAACGCTTCGGCAATACAATCAACATTTGCACAATTCCTTTGACATTCCTCCGTTCTTGTCCTATTTTTCTTTTTCTTTTTCCTTGCTGGGTCCGGGCAAACAATAAGCTGCATTTGCTGCACATTTCCTGCAGGGTTTTTAAAGTACAGAAACCATCTTTTGAACTGTGTGGAACAGAAAAGCACCGTCCGAGTCGACCAATGTTGGCCAATAAATAAACCGTTGATAAGCTCAAGGCAATGGCATTCATTATTTATGTATTGTATCGTTGATTGCATGGAATTCTTATTGAATTTTTCCCTCAGAATGTTTCGTGTTCGTCGATGTGTGCGCATATGATTGTTTGTCGGTTTCCCGGTTTGTTTGTTCAGTGTGCCCCCTTTTCATCACTGATGTAACAAAGTACGCATTATTATTTGCTGTTCTCTTGCAGCTCTTGTGCAAACAGCAATTTAAACTATTTGCAGTATGCACTCTTTCTATCATGGCCATCAAACAAACACGATTCCGGCTTGCCGAATATTTAAGTTTTGCGCCCGGAATAGCCCTGAACTCATGGCGCCGGGCCTTGTGCATTTCACAGTTGCATGCTAAGTTTATCGCTTAAACCGCCACTCCTCGGTGGGAAAATTTCCCACCCCACGTCCCGCTGCCTCATCACTCGTGACAGTTTCCCCCCTCTTCAAAAAACCCCGTCTTCCCTTTTTCGCGCGAGAAACAAACAAAAATGCAATAAACGCCAGCTGCAGCGGAGAAGGGAAGCATGTTCGGGTCAAAGAATTTCAGTGCGTATTTTTCCAATATTTCCGCCGCCATGTTGATAGCATGGAAATGTGGAAAATTCGAGTAATTGTCGCAAGAGAGGGGGTGAAGAGTGTGGTGACTGTTTCAAACCAAACCGAGCGAACATTGGTTTGTCAACAAACATTGATGCGGGAATGCGACCTGAATTGTTTGCCCCCAGCTTGCAATCAAAATGAACACACGGTGTGGTGTGGCTTTCATTACCAAAACGGTGTTCCCGCCCATGATATCATCCTTTTCGTTATAAGCACATTAATCAGCCACGCAAAAAGTGCCACAAAACTATGCTGCCTACTGATAGCAGGAAATAACGCATACGACAGGTGGACCAAGGTCATTAACTACCCACTTGACTTCGCTGTACTGGGTTTGGTTCGCAGTTGTAATGTTCGTATGTGTCCAAAAATTTCGTAATGATTCACAGAGCTGCCTTATCACCAGTTTGTTTTACTACGGTTTCGCTTTGTGTTTCGTGTTTTTTTCCCCCTTTTTGGGCCTTCTTGTTTTGCTTTATCACGTTGGCTTACGCATTCCAAAGTTTGATTAGATAGCAGTGTTGTGAACGCAAACCTTTTCTCTCTTTGGCAAAAATGCTTCATTGCAGTGAAAATCGAAAGAGAACCGTCAGTTTGTTGGGGTGAGCTTAGCGCGCCGTTGTTTTTGTCGGGATATTTCAGAGTTTTTTATGCTCCCATAAAAACTTTGTTCATTAATTTTTGTCGCCACATTTAAGCGGACGTCGCACGGTCGGTTTTGTTGATTTCCAAAGCTTAACACTTGCAATTTGTCAGAAGCGGCAGCATCGCTACCCGCCGTTTAACCTGGCCGGCAATTAATCATGGAGGCTTCCAGTTCCCCATAACTGTAGCATTTTTCATAAAAAACTGCAGAAAAAAAAAGAAACAAGTGCAGCTCACGTGACATCGCAAAAAGGGCTTTAAGTCGCTTTAAGCGCATTCGATTACTTGATCTCTTGCCATTGATAATGTCTGGGTAATTAAAATCGATTGATTCGATGCGGTCATTGCCTCAAATTCCACCAGAGTGGAGAGCGAAATTTGCATGAATGAGTAAAGTTCTGGCCCCAAAGTTTTTTTTCGATTGTCATATCGAGTATGACAAGTTGAAGCTTCAGGAGTGCTATCCACATCTTGACCACAGATTGCCATGAGGAAAAAACAGAGGAATGAAATATGATTTCAGCCTTTGGCATGTGTCCATGCTGTTGGCTAATTTCCCAGGGACTGAGTCTCCTTCCTTCTGGTCATTTACATATAAATGACAAAACAAAAAGAGACCAGCAGACAGGCGAAAAAAACGTCTGGGATACTCCAGAATACCATGCCATTGATTCGGAATTTGGAATTTGTCAGCTACCAAGGAATTCAGATTCATAACCAGCGTGCAAATGCTAATGCATTCGTGGAATCATCATTTCTTATTGCCACCTCGTCGATGACATTTTACGAGCTGCTCTCGTCTTTTGCTATATTTAAATTTTTATATGTTTATGTTTATGCCATTCATTTTACGGGGAAGGACAAAACGATGGTCTTATTTCGAGCTCACCTCATTGAGCTGCACGCGTGGTGTCATCGTAAAATGCTTAAATGCCCGCTTAAGTGGGTGCCGCAAAAAGTTCGCAGGCACTCTGGCAATCAGTAAAATAAGTCTGATAAGAAATATGAGGAAAACAAATGACTTTATGCGATCCTTCTTGCAGCTCCTGTTTCGTATTAAAGCTTCACTTCTCCCTTCGCTCCGAAGATTGCCTACATTCCGGCGTCCTCAGGAACCGGAATAAAAACACACAGCACGTGTCATTTGTTCTCCTCCCCGGGAAAAATCTTATTTTGTTTTATGGCTTTTTCTCTGGTTATTGTTGCCCCTGACCGTTTTTCTCCCACTCATCTGGGTGAAAAGCATGAAAAGATGGCTTTATTCTGAGCGTATGCATGTGAGGGCGAAATATCCATAAAAATGTCTTTCGGTTACACATTTGTCCGACAATTCTGAGAGTTAAATTGAGAATGAAGGAGATGAGATGATGGCATTTAAAACATTTAAACAGAATGCTTTGCCACAACACCTTCGCTTAAAGTTCCCCATAGAAATTGTTGAATTATGAACCACAAACAAACTTGGGTTGTCTGTAAGCAAAGAATACAAATTTTCGGAACACCCCACTCAACCTACCAAACTCAATAATGGCACATTGAGAGAATGGCAATGGCAATGTCGGTCGGAAACTGAAATCCAGCAATATTAATGTTGACTTGACAGGCAGACAGGAGCCGAGTGAGGTGGGCTTGAGAGCCAGAGATTGGCTCTGTCTTTTTCTTTATGCATTGATTAACATGAAAACTCGAATACAATTACAAAGTGAAATTGTCTCGAGAGCCAAGAGCCTCCGTTTTCCGCGCTCCCAGCGACTTTTTGACAGTCGGGGAAAAACAAAATCATTTTGTTGGCCAAAGTGCCGACGGATTTATTGAGTGCAAATCAGCAATAGCGAAAATGAAAGCAATAAATGTGTTTTTGAGAAGGGAAAAGTTACTGGTACTCATCTTCTTTACGCCACCTCTTCTCACCTGAAGGACGTCTGAGTTTTCTGGCAGACTGTCTGTTTATTTATTTAATAATTATACAAAGACGGTGCAGGGGATGGCGAGGGTGGTTATTCTTAGCTGGGGCATTTGGGGGTCTCTTGCAAGGTCGTTGCTTTAATGTCTGTTTCTAGTGGGGGAAATATGACTTTCGCACCGGTTCATTGACTGCTGTTTATGGCCAAGCGCCAGATGCTGTTGGCCAACTTTGGGTCATTCAATTTCGATGTCATTAAAGCAAATTTTATGCTAAGCACAAATCTTTTTAGAAATTTGCTTAGCTGGAGCTGATTAAAATTTGATTAAATCAACGGCAATCAAAATTGTAATAGTATAATTTCACTAATGCTCTTACATTGATGAGGTTTTCCATGCCAATGCACTTGAATGGATGCATATAGGGTGCTCACATAGCTTTTATCTATTCCGCTGGCAGACACAGATCGATTACGTTTCTGCAGTGGAGCAACATGAAAAGTTAGGTTCGCATATTAAAAAGTGCAGTCAAATAAAAATAGGTTGCCTCGCATACACAACACAGGGTGTCTGGACAAGATGCATAGCTGCTGCTTATATTAAAAAGTGCACTCAGATAAAAAGCAAATCAAGTCATGTTCAATGTCAAAATCAAAGTCAAAGAGGGCAACAATACCCTGCCACGAAATGGCCAGCGAAGCAATGGCTACTCGGGAGCCGGAAGTGGTCGGAATAGTCCTGCGATGAGCAGTCTTCGCAGCTCACTGGCCTCCTCCAATCGTAGTCCCAGTGGATCCTTGCAGCGAAAGGGCAAAAGAGTACGCATAGTGACCAGCTATGATCCGGTCGATCGGGATTACGAAAGACAGAGACAGCATTATGGTAACATTTTGGGAAATAAACAAAAATACATAGCGATTTTCTCCCCTAAATCAAAACCAGATTATTAATTAGATATTAATCTTCATTTTTGCAGACAACTTGGATGGGGTAACGGAGCTGCGTGTGGAGCAGTATGAAATACACATCGAACGCACTGCAGCCGGCTTGGGTTTGAGTATTGCCGGTGGCAAGGGTTCCACACCTTTCAAGGGCGACGATGATGGGATCTTCATATCAAGGGTCACCGAAGCCGGGCCCGCCGATCTGGCTGGCTTGAAAGTGGGCGACAAGGTGATCAAGGTCAACGGCATTGTCGTCGTGGATGCGGATCACTATCAGGCGGTGCAGGTGCTGAAAGCCTGTGGAGCCGTTCTGGTTTTGGTGGTCCAGCGAGAGGTGACCCGGCTGATTGGACACCCCGTGTTCAGTGAGGATGGCAGTGTTTCGCAGATCTCGGTGGAAACAAGGCCACTAGTAGCAGAGGTTGCCCCTCCAGCGGCGTCTGTTAGCCACGAGCGTTACATCCCGGCACCCATTGAAGTTGTGTCTCAACAGCAACAGCAACAGCCGCAGCAGCTTCAACAACAACAGCCAATTCAGCAGGTTGCTCCCACCCATAGCTATTCGGGCAATGTTTTTGCCACACCTACTGCCGCACAAACCGTGCAGCCTGCTGCCCCCAATGGATTGCTACTGAATGGCAGGGTGTGTAACCCATTAAATCCTTTTGCCAAAATCCACGTCTGACATTTCACTCGTGTCCCCTACCCCTCACTATTTGTGATTGATTTCTGGTTTCGATTTGTGGTTTTTCCAGGAGGCGCCTCTGAGCTACATCCAGCTGCACACCACGCTTATTCGTGATCAAATCGGGCAAGGACTGGGCTTCAGCATTGCGGGCGGAAAGGGTTCGCCACCGTTCAAGGACGACTGCGATGGCATTTTCATATCGCGCATCACGGAGGGTGGACTGGCGCACCGCGATGGCAAAATTATGGTGGGCGACAGGGTCATGGCGGTGAGTGGAAGGCTTGGCGGAGCCGGAGGTTCCAATCTCTGACCCCAGCTAATGACATTTCCCTGTATAGATTAACGGCAACGATATGACTGACGCGCATCATGACGCAGCCGTCGGCTGTCTGACTGAACCGCAGCGATTTGTGCGCTTGGTATTGCAACGGGAGTACCGAGGCCCGCTGGAACCACCGACGAGTCCACGTAGTCCGGCCGTGCTTAACTCGTTGAGCCCCTCCGGATATCTGGCCAACCGACCAGGTGGGTATTGGCTATACGACACGCATGATCTTAAATCAATTTTTCTATAATATAAGCAAGATTTATTTGATTATTACCACTATATTCATGGCATAAGGGGAATATAGTTGTCTTCTTTAATTCTGACTTCCAATTTTTGTTTCCTCTCAATTAAATTAATTGGAATTTTTCCTTCTGTTCTGCCATTGCACGACCCTGTCAAATCATGTATAACTTAAATTTGTAATTCAATAACTAAAAACTACACTCTCCATAAAAAAGTTGAATGTGAATAGGTCCGAAGTTCAACTGCCAACATGTACATATATTTTCCGAATAACCAAGGGTTTTTTTTACCTCGATTTCCAACAGCTAACTTTAGCCGAGCTGTCGGGGAAGTTGAGCAGCCTTACAAGTACAACACCCTGGCTTCGACCACGCCCACAGTCACACCCACACCCACTGTGCCAGCTAGCTTAAACAACAATAATAATACGCTGCCCAGCAGCAAAACTAATGGATTTGCCGCTGCTGCCACGATAGACAGTGCCACGGGGCAACCTGTGCCGGCTCCTCGTCGCACCAACTCCGTTCCGATGGGCGATGGAGACCATGGAGCGGCCTCCACATCTAGTGGTGATTCCGGCGAGGCTCAGGTAAGGCCAAAGTCGGCTCTATTTTCTTTAGTAGCTGCGTAGACTTTAGTCTAATTTACCGTTCAGACAGTTGCACGTCATTTTTATGTTGCCCATAAGCTCGTATGTTACTTTTTTGTTTGTTACAATCATTATCAATCGGAAGGATTAGGAAAAAAAAATGTTTCAACTTTCGCTGCAGTATACTTAAATTTTAATTAGCCCAAAAGGTAAGTAACGAAATTCTATCTATAACAAACTGCAGCGCAAGTCGTCCACGCAAATTGTTGTTGATATTTGGCGACCCAATAAAATTCAAAACATAAACATGAACACACTTAATAGTCGTAAGATACCTAATATGTGCTAATCCATATCTGCGCCAGATTATCAATTACTCATAACCCTAGCTGCTAGAACTATAAATTTGCTCATCTACTCGTATATATAACGAAATTGTTTGTGTTTGTTTTGCATGTGCCCTGTGCGCCTTGTTTGTCCTCCCAATGCTACAAATATGCTCATTGAAAACACAGTCGAATTATAGTTCGACCTATTATAAACTAAGATTGCACCGATTTGTGTCCAGCTTCGAAGCACCCATTTAAAAGAGTCAAAAACCTAGGGAGCATTTGAAGGATTGTAAATAATTTAATGATAATCATTATTAGGCACGCTAGCTTAGTTATACGATAGCTTCATAGCCCATCAAAAGTGAAACCAAAATTTACAAAATCCAACATATTTTTGTTTCTTTTTCTCTGAACCACCATCCCCAAAAAAAAAACTTGCTTAAAACCGATATTTCCGAAAACTTTGCTAAACCCAAAAACCACGTAACAACGTAAATATTCAACCAACCACCCGAACCCACGAAACCACAACCATGAGCAGCCTTCCTCGTTGCGACCGCTGACCAGCGACGATTTTCAGGCGATGATCCCGGCACACTTCCTCAGCGGCGGCAGTCAGCATCAGGTGCATGTGGCCCGGCCCAACGAGGTGGGCGTGAGTGCCGTCACGGTTAATGTCAATAAGCCTCAGCCGGATCTACCCATGTTCCCGGCGGCACCCACCGAACTTGGCCGCGTCACCGAGACCATCACCAAGTCCACGTTCACGGAGACGGTGATGACGCGCATCACCGACAATCAGTTGGCGGAACCCCTGATCAGTGAGGTGACTATCTCCACATCCCGCATACACTAAAAGCCAGGCAGCGAGTCCAAGAGTTAAAGAATCGTTGTGTAAAAATCACAAGCAAAGAAATCCGGACACACATTATTCTCCTCCCCCAAGACGAACTGAAAATATGTATAAAAAATATATAGTATATGCCACGGAATTCGAGCTTTACTCGTCTCACCGCACACGCACGCACAGTCCACACCAGCGCACACGAAGCACCCTACACCAAAATTGTTTAATTTAAAATTAATTTATGATTTTTAAACCACAATTGGCACTTTAAATTATTTGCCGCGCCCGTCCTTTATTCAATTGGTATCAATTAAGCTGCATTTGCTAAATAAATATTTGTGCGTTTTGCAAACGATTTGATTTAACTATTGGTCAGAGGCCCCCAGATAATGTGGGCCTGCCTTGGAGGCGCCGAGTTTACATACGTTTCATGCCAAGCATTATGCAAAACATGCACATTGACAAGAATTGTGATTGCTTCGACTAATTGAGTAGCAGTTGAGATGGAATTGGATTAGTTGGTTATGGCAAGGAGCTGGAAACTACTTTTAAACGATTAATCAATTAGCTGTGAGAAAAGTTTTGCATGCTTATATTTTCTGTACTAAGCTAACTTTCTCTTTACTAACACTGGATAAATATATTTTTAATCCATCCTACAAAAATCTTGGTTTATATTACTTTTGAAAATAACTTGAAGCCGATATAATATATTTTTAAATGGGAATTGGCCTTAATGCTTTTAAGGGTTTTTCTAATGTTTTGGTTTTTTGTGGGTTACCAAGTGCAGAGCCAGGCCAGCACTAGTAACTGAATCTATTGAAGTGACGAGGAAAGCGCCTTCATTTCGAACGACAGAACGGTTTACTCAGTCACTTCCATAGGGCCACTCAAGTGTCGTTGCTGACGTGATGCAAATCCCGGCAAGAAATCTAAGAAACTCTGTGTGCATGTGGCAGCTTTGTCACTAGCCACTTGCAACATAAATAAGTAAACCATCAAACTATGCAACATGCAAATAACCTTAAATAATAAAGTGAAGCAACTACAACGAAGGCATGTCGAAAAAAGATTTATATTCTCCAAATGACTCAAAGTTTCCGATTTCGTTTATTTTGTGACGCCATAAGTAAATATTTCTGTTTGCCTCCGCAATCTCCATCCGTGTGTCTAATTGTAAGTGTAAACACTCTCCGGGGCAATGCTTAATAAAATATTTAATTGTTTTTAATTATTTTCCCCATTTTGTGTTTTTCTTTCGTCTCGAAGACAGTTATCCGATAGCTTCCAGCGCATAGGAATTCAATTTCTTCGTGGTAATTGGGAAAAGTTAACAGCAGTTAGTAAGGTACATGTGTTTATTTGACATTTCGACACGAATAAGCGATGTCTCTGCGACTGTCAGCTCAGGAGATAGTTTCTCGGCAATGAATATAAAACAGAAATATTATGCTTTGATGTTTCAATATGTCAGCACTTGAGCCGAACGATGCTCACCTCAACCACAGGCACCACAAAAGCTATGTTTAAATATGTGTGAAAATGTGTGAGCCAGGAAATTTAGTATAAAACTGTGTGGTTGCCTCTCATCCACTCTACCTGCACGTTGTTTAATATAAAATTAAGTTATTCATAAGAACAGCACAAAACTTATTTATTATTTATTGAATGTGGATCGCCCTCGGTACTCGGATTTGAAGTTTAATGTATGCTTTGACTTAATTGCATGACTTTGTTACTTGGTGTTTGGCCTGTCTTGTTTTATGTCTTATGAAGGCAGACCCATCGGAATGTTTAATATTTATGTACATGTAAATATCACCAACAATTTTGCACCATCATTCGAACGCCAGCACATAAACACCCTTCATCCATGGATCACATAATACACAGCAGACTCAGTAGGATACTTAGCGTTAGGCCCATTGATTTGTGTTAATTTTGTAATGTTGCTAACACGATTCTCCATTGTCTCTGTAGGAGGTTGTGCTGCCCAAGAACCAGGGCTCGCTAGGATTCAGCATCATTGGCGGCACGGATCATTCCTGTGTGCCTTTCGGCACTCGAGAGCCAGGCATTTTCATATCGCATGTAAGTATGGGTATATTAACTAACAATTACCTGCGGCAGCTGCCCCAAAAAGGGGGAAAACTTTTCGAATTAAAACACTCGAGTGGCCGCAACTTGCGAATGCAAATGAGCTGCTGCACAATTGTTCAGAATGCAGTGGCTCGGACGATGGCTTCATTATAAGCAGCCAAACTAAGCCAGCTGCCAGCTTAAAACTTTCAAGTTTTTCGACCATACATATTTCCTGCCATTCCTGCCATAAGTATAACAATTGCCCTTGGGGGTTTCTCCTTAAATCCGACAGATTGTGCCCGGCGGGATTGCCTCCAAGTGCGGCAAGCTGCGCATGGGCGATCGCATATTGAAAGTCAACGAGGCGGATGTTTCCAAGGCCACTCATCAGGATGCCGTGTTGGAGCTTCTGAAGCCAGGGGATGATATCAAACTGACCATTCAACATGATCCCTTGCCACCAGGCTTCCAGGTGAGTTTGCTGAACTTGTTTGCCCCTTGTGACCATTTTTAGACTGCTTTTGTATTGTAAATATGTATATACTCTGCTTTGGATCTACTTCTTACTCCTCTATAATCAATTTTTGTACACTTTGCCACTGCTCACAACAAATTCAATACTCACAGAGCATAGAAGTAGTTTATGTTAAAACAGAGGTAAGCTCCTCTTGACTTTTGAGTGGGGAAATATTCCAATTAGTCAAATGCTTTTTACTTGCTTTTGTTTCCATAGTTCTTTGCTTTGTTTTGGTCCCATAGAGATAACCAATTGTTATTTTCCTCGCTAATTTCCATCTCCCTTTGTTAATTTTGACTCACAGGAAGTGCTCCTCAGCAAAGCGGAGGGCGAACGCCTGGGAATGCACATCAAGGGCGGTCTGAATGGGCAGCGCGGTAATCCCGGAGATCCCTCGGACGAGGGTGTGTTTGTGTCCAAAATTAACTCTGTCGGTGCGGCCAGACGGGATGGAAGGCTTAAGGTAACGTACTGTCTTTGGCGTTGACACCTTACCCACCTTTGTTGTCTGGGGAAAATTCGACTGAAACTTTTGCCGCACTCCTTTTCAGGTTGGCATGCGTCTGCTAGAGGTTAATGGACACTCGCTGCTGGGCGCCTCGCACCAAGATGCGGTCAATGTGCTGCGCAACGCCGGCAACGAGATTCAATTGGTCGTCTGCAAAGGCTACGACAAGTCCAATTTAATTCATTCCATTGGCCAGGCCGGCGGCATGAGCACTGGCTTCAACTCGTCTGCATCCTGCAGCGGTGGCAGTCGCCAAGGTACGTAATCGTGAGCTTAACGCCCCAGTTGAGTCTGGCTAAAATTGCTTTCTCTTACTCTGACTCTATTCGCCAGGTTCGCGTGCGTCGGAAACGGGGTCGGAATTGAGCCGGAGTCGAAGTGTATCCAGTCTGGACCACGAGGAAGAAGATCGCCTGCGACAGGTGGGTACAGAATTAGAGGAGCAGGTTGGCCGGGTCTTTAAACGGTTCCTTTTTTTTCGCTTCAGGAGTTCGATGTTTTCGCCTCATCTCCGACGCCTCCTGCTGCCACCACCACCATTACGCCCACACCCACACCCACGCCAGCGGCATCTGCTGATTTACCAGCTCCGGACACGCCAGCTACCCAGACCGTGGCGCTTATTCACGCAGAACAGGCCCATCAACAACAACAACAGCAGCAGGCGCAGACACAGCTGGCGCCTTTGGGTCAGGAGAAGAGCACTCAGGAGAAGGTAAGTGACACTGGCCTTCGGCAAATCCAATTGTTGGGCAGTTGTGAGAACTTTCGTTTGCAAATTAGGTGCTGGAAATTGTACGCGCGGCTGACGCCTTCACCACCGTGCCACCGAAGTCACCGTCGGAGCACCACGAGCAGGATAAGATACAGAAGACGACGACGGTTGTCATATCGAAGCACACGCTCGACACGAATCCAACCACCCCCACAACGCCGGCGGCGCCTCTTCCCATTGCGGCCGCCGAGTCAGTGAACTCTGGTCCTGCTCCTTCTCCAGTTGCTGTTCCAACTTCTGCTCCTGCATCCTCGGCAGGTTCGGTGCCAGTTCCAGCCGTGGCCGTGCAGACGCAAACGACCTCTGCGGAGAAGGATGACGAGGAGCAGTCGCAACTACAGGTATGTACCTGACTGTGGATGCACGTCTCTTGTCTTGGCTTTAATGTCTGTGTGTGTACGTCTTTCAATATATGTGCGTGTACTTTTCGTTTGTGTAATGCCCGTCTGTGTGCGAGATACAAATACACCCATGTAACAGCTAACACAAACCGACAGTCGCCACCCAACCAAAAAACAACAAAAACTCAAAACCCAACTCAAAACACCACCAATCTCTTAACTTGATTTTTGTTTCGTATTCAGCTTGTTATTTTTTTGTGTAACTTCACTAATGCCCTTGTCCTGTCACTGACATTGCGTGTACCATGTATGGAGTGCGTATGTGTGTGTGCCAAAAATTTTAAAATATATACAAAGAAAAAAGATGATAAACCAAAAATACCTCACCATCCATCTCCACAAACCACAGAGGTCACAAACCTGTTGTAATGGAAGTTGAAAATTTGCTATTAACAGCAATATATTTACAACTGAATTTACAGGTAACAGCATGATAGCATCAGACCAATAAACCTACTGACTGTAACTAAAAACTAAAATAATCATTGCATACACTCGTTCGAAACACTTTCATTCTCTCATGTAAACACTGGCAAAACGCAATGGCCCAGCATCGATTTCCATTTCCATTTTGTGTGTGCTTTTGTTGCTGCTTTAAAGCGTTTTTCCGTTGCATTTGAATTAAAAGTGAATAAAAAATCAAAGCCTATCTTGGTGGGCTGCTGTGTACCAGGGGGCGTATGAGTTATGGGTTCTGCATGTGTCGGGTTTAGCTACTGGCAGCTCCTCAGAGCTGCTCCTTTGTGCAGGGGAGGATGGTCTCACATTTATTGATATGGCAGCAGAGAATTTATTATTTATTAACATATTGGCTGCTGCTGCTTCTGGCTTTCCGAGACGGTCCTTTGCTCTGGCTCACTCCGATCATTGTTCTTGTTGAGTTTGGTTGTTGCTCGTGTTGTTGTTGTTATTTATGCTACTTTCATATTATATTCATTTCAGTTTGCGTCTTTAGTGTTACCGTTGCTGTTACCTTTGCCCCAACTGCGTAGGCGGCATTGTTATTATTGTTAACGTTGTTTGTTGTTGGCTTTAAAGCATGACCCATTTGAATTTGCATTGAAAAGAGAAGGAAACGAAAAAAAACAAAAAGGGAATAAAATCAGGCACACATTACATATATATATATACAAACATATACTTACTATATAAATGGCACGTATAATAAATGTAAATGTAAATAATATAAAAACTGCAGAAAGAAATTTCCATTAAAACGTCTCTTTTATCTTCTTCTCGTCCTTATTCTTCTCTCATTCTCCTAAATTCCCCTCAATAATGTGCGCGCTATACGCCGCCATTCAACAAATTGTTGATTTTTCTTTTTATTTACAACTTTTCTCATTGTTTTCCTCAATCATTTCACAATCTGTTCCGTTGGCTTGTATTGTTTTTCGTCCCTCCCACCCGCTTTCGATTTCATTGCAGCTTTCTGCTGAGCAGCGCATTGCTTAACAAGCGGATGTTTATCACCATAAGACTGAATATTTAGTTTAAACTGACAGAATACAAATGCTAGCAGCCAAAGTAAGAGGACAGGAGGCAACAGCTTGAGTGTGCATCAACTGCAGGCACTACTATATTTGTACTAAAGGAGTTGCAATTTATACAAAAATCTAGGATTTGAGGAAGCGTGTTCAAAGGGCCAAGAGTTACTACCCGCACTAGGCAGCGTTCAAAGCGCTTTTCTTCAGTACTTCCACACTCGAAATTCAATCAAAAAAACTAAACGCCCTTAACTCAGCAAATGGTTTCAATGACTCTTACTAGATCTCTGTCCCACTCTTTCGAGCTCATGATTGTTAAAGTGTGTCTTTATCAACACTAACAGGAACCAATTCACACTCCCACATCCACACCCCGACAATTGTTGAGATGAAAGGAACTCACTACCAAATGTGTAAATGTATTTATCAACGCGGAGCGCTCTAAAGTTGTCGCCATTTTGCGGCAGAAAGTATTCCACTTATACATATAGTCTTTCGATGTTTATACTATGTGAAACCAAAACTGTTTACAGCGTGACATACAGACACCCACATTATATATTACTAAGTGTGTAACAATGTGTGGCAAGCACACACAAAAGGTCCAATTATGCAACTGAATAATACTCAAGAAAAGAAAAGAAAGTTTCCGACGAAAAACCTAAGCCGATGATAAAGGGCATCTTGTTATAATCTATAACCTTTTGAAAGAGCCAAGCTATACCAACACTAGGGATATTTTGTTAAAGTATCTACTTAACTGTTATCACATAGTTGAACCGAATTCACACCGTATATTGATTACCCTTAACCGAGGTTTGAGTTTTCCCTCTATGTTACCTAATGATAGATAAATTAAAAGCTAGCTAAATGGAATTTGAAGTGTGCATTTTTGATGTCAATAAATCTAAATGTATTTGTCGTAAAAAACCGCAAAAATGGGTTAAACTTTTAATTGGATTTCGGGGAAGCATCCAAGATTTGATTTCTGAAGTTCTTTTGTTTTTGGTCTAGAAGTTTTATTCAAGAAAGTTTTCGTTTGGTTTCGTTATTTTCCTTTTGCCATGTGACTCGTCTTTGTCTCCGTATCTGCTATTTCTCTGTGTTCGTAACGCTGCTGTTCGCTATCGCCATCGTGTGCCGAGTTCATCAACCCAAAATCATCACCCAGCAAATTGGCCAGAAGAGTCGCAGTCGTAGTCACTCACCTCATCATCAAGCAGAAAATCACTGGTAATTGGCTAATGGACGCAGGTTGCAAAGGAGCACCCCGAACCAAACAGAATCGTACAACTTTTGTGTGTGTCGTTAGCACCGCATCTACAAAAAAAGCACCCTCGTTTCATCATCACTGTTTTACAAAATACTCCACCCCCATTACACCCACTCACCATTAACGCTGCACACTGCAATTTATGTTCCAAGCTTGTGTGCGATGACGTTGCACCCTGAAAAAAAAAAAACCAAACTAAAACGAATCTATATCGAACTAAATGAGCAATCCACCAACAATTCAAACTCCAATAGCAACGAGGCACCCAGACGCCCGATCGCCTAGCCCCCGGCGCACGTTACTCCTACCAGCAGATGCTGGAGTCGCAGGAGGAGAATCGAACAGCTGGCAAGGCCACCCAGTCAAAGCCCAAGAAGGCTGAGCCGGTGTATATTATAGATGACGAGGATGAGGACGACGAGGAGGAGGATGAATATGAGGCAGATTCCCAGAAGCTAGACGACATCGATGCTATTCTGGAGGAGGACGAGGAGGATACCGAGAGCTCTCCGCCTTTGGAAGTGCAGTCCCCACCTTCCTATGCAGACACTGATTCTGACACCTTCGACCGCCGACGTGGACGCTACACCAGCGATTCGGAGAGTGACTGCCGGCCTTACAAACCGTCGAGATCGGGACGTAGCACGCCGGAATATGGAGGTCATCGGAAGTCTGTAAGCTTCGATCTCAGCGGAGACGAGCGATCTAGATCGGACTACGAGCGATCCCGCTCTCGCACCCCAGACGGATACACTCGGGCCTACGATTCGGAGCAGGATACACGGGGATCGGGACGCAATCGCTTGCCACGAAAGGGTATCCTGCGCGCTACCAGTCCGTGCTCCACGTTGGAGAAAGCTGAGCCCATTGTACCAGCCGTAGCACGCATTCGAGAAGTGGAATCCCCGCAACTGCAGCGAGTTTCACGAGCTACTTCTCCAGATCTCCCCGGTGAACTGGATCGAGAAAATCCCTTCCGGCATCCCACACCCGAAGACGATGAGTACACGAGGATAGCCAAGGAGGTCAGCAGGTCACCACGTTCTCCACGCACCACCCGCGAACAGTTCTTCTTTGGTGCCTCGAGATCTAACGAGGATTTGCTGGAGCAATCCCAGTCGCAATCCAGTGGACGCAGTACACCCAACACTGTGATCTCCAAATCCACGGAGAATCTTACGGGCACTCGACCGAAAATACCTCCGCCCACGGCGCCAAAACCGCAGTTGAAGAAAGCCAATATAGTGCGAAATGTGGCGCTGGAAACCTTCCAGGCCAGCGATGTGGGACAAGGGGATTTCACGGTATTCGAGCACGATGCCAGCACGAATACGATCCATCCCGTGGAGGCGAAACTGCCAGTGAGGGTGGTGACCAAGACGAAACCGAGTCGCCCTAGGGAATCACCACCACCGCCGCCTGTTAACTTCGCCACGCTGCCCAAGATACCCAGCACACCCATTTTGCGGGAAACGGAGGAGTCCATCTATATGGAGGCCCTGCCACCCACGCCCTCCCAGCTCCGGCCACACGAATTCCTGCACGAGAATTCGCCCGATAATATTCTGGTTTCGCCGCAGGAGCACCGCGAGTATTTGCTGCGGGAGAACGAGCTAAGGAATCAGTTGCGGGCACCCCACGAACCAGCACCGCCCGTTCCCATTGTCGGCGGTGGATATTCGGTAACGAATCCCTTCCTAGATAGTTTCGACACCGACATTGACAGCCTGCCATTGCCACCACCGCCCGCACCGCCTGCCCACCACCACACACGTCATTTGCATGAGACGCCGACGTTTCCGTCGTTTCCGCCACCACTAACCGCTAACGCATCCACGTCTCCATCTTGTTCTTCCAATGCTGCTGCTGCTGCTGTTGGCGCCACTAACCGCTTGATGGATTCGCCGCAACGACAGCTGCTGGTCGCCGGGTCGCCCACCCAGATCTTTCCCACGGCCCAGATACTGCCCGTGCAGTATGCAAGTCTGCCGCAACCGCAGCAGCCCAACACGCTCACCCTCAAGCCCGCCTCTCCCTCTCTAACCCCTGACCCCAAACAGACCCTTTTCAACCTGGTACTCCTGCCCGGCGACCAGGTGGCCAACCAATCCTCGCCATCGGCCATGCTCTACCTGCATTCGCCGCAGTTACCGGTGAGTGAATCGAGTGGCAAACCCCGGCGAGGGCCACCACCGCCTCCGCCCGTTACCGTGACCTCACCCACGCCCTCGTACGCCGCCATGAAGTTCCCGACCTTCTCGGAAATTGTGGTCAGCCCCGACTCAAATAGCAATTACCAAAACATGACCACGGCGCGCGTTGGCATCTCGAATTCCTCGCTGGCCCACAGCACCAGTTCCTTCTCCATCGGCTCCTCTAGTTCTTCGCTGATGCTGGGTAAGAGTTCGAATTTGGGAGGTGGCATTCCTTCAAGTTATTATGAGACAGCTGAGGAGATCTACTCGACCATTGAGGAGGAGGCCATCTATAGCAACACCTCGTTCTTCGATTCGCGGCGCAGCAGTGACACTTCGGTCTCCTGTCGTGCCTCCAAATCGCCCACGCCACCGCCCCTTCCACCAAAGCGTCCGCAAAAGCCGACCAAGTTGCGTACCGCTCCCGCCCCGCCGCCAGTGGCACAAAAGCCGCATGGTTTGAGGGGCATGGCCAGTTTCAAGCTGCGGTCCCAGTCCCAGCCGCAATTGGAGGGGGCGTGGCAACAACCCTCTGCACCCCGAACGCCCACCACGCCCACTGGCAAGGAGACAACGGTTTAGATTAGGTTGCCCCGATTTTGTTGACCAAAGAACGTTGAGTTTCAATTAAGTCTTTTGATAAATCTAAGATACTTTTACATTAATAAACTTCCTTAGAAAAACTGCTAATATTTGTTCACCAAAAAGCCTGATAAACCATTAACAAAGTTGATTATAAAATATAAAAGAATTCCGAAGGTGCAGTCCTTCATTGTTCAAAAAAATATTCTAAATAGCTTAGTTTGATATTCGATCTTATTAGAAATTTTTACAACTCACAAAACCAGAAAACAATAAATTTAAAACAAATTTAAAAAAAAATTTTTGTTGAACAAAATTGCAATTTTAATTAATGCAACTAATACATTTTAATGTCCTTTTTAAAATTGTTGATATGAATTAAACATATTTTAAAGATACACTCAACAGTGAATTCAGTACAAAATGTTTAATAGAGTTTCAAAAATCAAATGTTTTTAACTGAGAATTCCTTATTTAAATTAATTGCTTAGAAATATCCAGACGTCAACTACCACAACGTACGATTTTCTATTCATAGCCAGAATTGGTCTTAAAATCGATACCACAGGTGGGGTAGACCACTTACCCTTGGTCGCTGTTCGACGATGACGATGCTTTTAATTGCTCCTAAGCTGACCGCAGAACCTTCCTGTTGCTATTCCCGCGTTCTCTCTTCTCGCCCCTGCCTTATGCCACTGCTCATACATTTTAATTAAATTCTAACACCTTTTTGCCATCAATTAAATGGCCCAGCCCCTTGAATTTTTCGCCAGCGTGTCTCTCTCTCGTGCCTTCGACTGCAATTTCCAATATTTTTATCTCACTCGCTCGCAATTTAAATTGATTGATTTGTGGGTCGTGTCTGTGGAGCTGAGCTGGTGAACTTGCAACACATCGACCGGCACACCTTTCCTGCTAATTAGATGCAACTTTTTGTTGACTTTTGAGACACCTTCTGCCCCCATCCCCATTAAGCTCAAGGCCCCCCGCTTCACCCATTTTCTTTACCAAATTGCAGTTGAAATTGAGCAGCAAGCGGTTGAAGTTTAATGGGCTCCTCTTTCTCCTTCTGCTGTCACCTACCAACTCCCTCGGTCTCGGGCCAAGTTTAATTTGACGTTGATTGAAACAGTTGGCTGCTTATGGTCGCCCACCTGCAGTTACCACGCCCATCAGGCCATTAATTTTTGCTACTACTGCCGCTGCCGCCGCCTTTGTTTTGCAAAAACACGAAAAACCAACGAATAAATATGTATAACGAAGAAAAATACCTGAGTAAAAACGAAATAACAGAAAAACAGACAGAAAACACAATTTTACAATTTATAAAGTTAATTTCGCTGTAGCTCTGCTAAGTTGATTTTAATGCTAATTTATTTTATCAGGACAGAAAAGCAACCTGAACATTTTTAATTGCATACCTTAAGGCAAATAAACATTGCGTATTATTCTTATTTGCGTTTCGTGGGCTATATTCATTTTGTAACGTCCACCCCCCCAACTCGAATTGTGCAAACAATGTTGAGTGTACTCGAAAAAAAACGATTGTTTAAATGGGAGCGATAACCCACCGCCCACAAGGGCAGTGACCTTGACTTACTTAGCCACTTATCTAATTGGGCCGTGACCCCATTGGGCAAAAGCAGACCGTTTGGCAAGCGAACGCTTTGGCACCTGGCCCTGCACTGATTTCACTCTCGACTTGTTACCCCGTTTTTAATGGCCCGATATCTAACTGTTCGCTTTGTTCTAATCTTATCGCAAAAGTACTCGTAATTGCCCAGCGATATGAAGAGAGTACCCCTTATCATCGCCTTATCGTTGATGTCACCCAGCACACGAACGAAAATCTTTCACCCACTAACACTGCTCGCATGGTCTGAATAATTCAATGGCTTATTGGCTTTTAATGCGCCATTCAGGGCTGCATGTGCACACTCACTGGGATCTCACTGGGTAACACACACATGAACCCACACATTCTCAACACTTTCATGGCTCAATAAATTCCTATTAGCTGGACTGCTGAGCAGCTCCTCCAGCTGCAGACTGATGCTGATAAAGCAGATCCTGCACCAACTCCAGCTATAGTTCCTCCATGTTGCCTCTGCGCATTGACTTTAATTGAAAATCGAAAAATCCGATACGAAATTAATTTCTCTTCTAAAAATACAGCTCAGTTAAGCTGGCACTCCTGCTGCTTTCACTTTTCCCCATGCACTTGTCGGCCCACCGCCCTCCACCCTTTCCCTTGGCTTGGTTTATTTATGAGCTCTCGGACTGGTGTGGTCTATGATGGTCGGATGGTCTGGCTGGTCCTGACTGGTCCTTGCTTGGAGGGTCGAACCCTAGGTCGGTATAAGGTTGCAATTTGTGCAGTTTAACGCTGGCCTTTGCCCTGTTTGCCTTTGTTTCGTCTAACCGCCCGGTCCCTCGTCCTTTCCCGACTGCCATTTAATGACTTTGTCGTCGTAGTCGCAGTCATCGTTGCTCTGCAGGCACTAACTATCCACCCGGCTTGACTTTATCTGGCTACTGTGTCTCATGTTGCCCAGCACGAGGAATTGCATGAAAGCATAAAACCGACAGTACACGACTTTGGGTGATAAATGGCCAGCTCCGGTTTGGTCCGTTCCGTTCCGTCCTGTTCTGTTCTTTAACCACCCAGCTGTAATTTGCGCCCTCTCCAATTCAATCCGGACGCAGCACCACCCCCCACCACCACGGTAAATTATACGCCCCGAGTGCAGAAGCACAGCCCGAAAAATGTCGGCTTGGTCACTTTATGATTGAGCCAGCCTATGGCTGATCCTGCTAAAACCGAACCGAAACGCCCCTTTTCGGGGGACGGACAAACAGACGGACAGGCGTTAGTGCTGCCTGCTTTTTAATAAACTTGTGTAGTGCCATCAATTTTCTTTATGGCCATTTGGATTTTTCAGCGCTCGCTTTGAAAATTGCAGTTTTTCCCAGTCATTTAATTGAAAATATGGCAGAGGGCGCGCTGCCGTCGGTTCAGCTTTATCTGTATATTGATTTTCTTTTCGTTTAATAAATCCTTGCCTTTTTTTGTGTGCGTTGAGTTGCTAACAAAAACGTTTTGCCATTTTCCAGTCAACACCTGCCAGCAGGGACGGAGCAGAGCAGCAGCAGGCCACAGCCAAGCCAACACCGACTAAAGTGCCTAAATCGGTTTCCGATAAAAAACGCTTCTTTGAGTCAGCCATGGAGGATCAACACAAGCCCACACAAAAGACAGGTGAGTCAAAGTGGTTAGCCAGAAAAGTTCCCTGATTGAATGAGTGCCAGGGGGGGCTTGAAGATGTCGCAGTGCACTTTGCCTCAGCTAGTGGCTTTGCCACTTAAATCTTACTTCTTGGCCCTAGTTGTCAATCAAACCACTTATCTGTGGCTGCCAAGCCACCTCAACGGTGGGCGCCAACCTTTTGCTCGCTGGTTTGCGTAATTAGAAAGGGGAAAGCGCGGTTAACAACGCCATTTGCCATTTGCATGACAAAGTCAGGGCCGGTATTCAGTAAAGCAGCTATTTCGCTAAGCGACATCGGATCACTTTTTATTTAATTTCCTAACTTAATAGCGGGGCGATGTCACACTGATTTTGTATATTCTGTTGCAGACAAAGTTTTCTCATTCCTGTCAAAGGATGAAGTAGAAAAGCTGCGACAGGAGGAGGAGAGGAAAATTGCAACATTGCGCCGTGATAAGAATTCCAGATTACTGGATGCCGCCAACGACAACATTGACAAGGACGCCGCCGAGAAGCACCATGGTAACAGCAACAGTAACAGCAGCGGCGAGGATAATGATGACAGCGACCAGGCGGAGGACATCGCTCGCGGGGATTTCGTTGACAACGCCGCTCTGGGCCACTTGGATGATGCGGAGGACATGAGGTGAGTGTGCGGCAATGCAGTGCTCTCATTTCGGATTATCGGTGCTTGCATTATGCGCTTTTTATGTTACATCTAAATGCACAGACACACCCCCCGCCAACTATTACACATCACACACACACCCCCACCCAATCAATCAATCAATCACCCTTCACCCAATGCGATTATGATAACCATACACCCTCACACAATATTCACGGTGTTTGTGCATTTGCTTAGTATAATCTCTTATCCGAAGTTGATTTTTTTATTTTATTGGTGAAGTTTTTCTGCTGCCTTTTGGTTTGGTTCTGGTGCCGGTTCTCTTACAGCTGCTTTAAATATAGGTTGCTTTTAAGTTTAGATGCCTTTAATCACTCATATAGACCCACTACAAACCATCCACAAAACACCACTCTGTTTACTATCCATGCAGTCCACTGACGGAGCTGCTAATCATCATTGAGACTTAGTGTGTTATTAAATAGGGATAGCGATCTATGGCTGAGAGGTCTTTAATAGTAAGTACACAAACACATACCACACCACACCACACTCACACACACATGAATACGATTATGAGCGAGTAAGCCCTAAGCAGTTTAAGTTTTATGTAGCACTTAAGCGTTGTATGGACTCGTAAATCGCAGCCAGACTCTCAGCCGTTAGTCTGCTTAAAAAAGTTCAGAAGTAAAAAAAAAATAATCTCGAAGAGGTGGAGTAAAAATGAAGGAAAAACATGTAATGGTCTTTTTAGTACATAGACTACGCCCGGTGGGCTTCAAATCGCATCTCGTGAATATGATAATCTAGTTGGAGCGGCTTAACTTAAAAGTGTAAGTATTTCCGCTGCTGCTTTACTTAATTTTGCCAGGCATTGCGTATACGCAGTGTGGCCCCCAGGCCTTCACCCTTGCTCCTCGCCCTGCTCCTGTTCCTTCCTTGTGGGCTTCGTACTCCACTCCATTCGAATTCCCTGCGGCACAATGCCAGCTGTTTTTACAATTGAATAACTTCATTTGGGTATTCCGCAAATTGCGTTTTGTGCGTTTGCTCACTCAACTGGGCGGTGCCGGCTCAGCTTTACGGACTCTGATTCGGAATCGGATTCGCTTTGGGTCTCCGGCAATGGATCGGCAAACGAGCCGCCAAGAGAGCATCACGCAACACGTACGCATAATTCAGTATCCGCTGGGAGTCGATGATTTTATGCTAAGTATGTTGCAGTGAATTAAGCACCGCGAATGAATCAGAATTGTGCCAGTGAGAAACTCGAAAAAGACAGCAACATTACTTTGCTCAAATGATATTTTAATGTCTGCTGCCTGCTGCTCAATTCGGGCAATTATAATTAGCCGCTGTGGGAGTGGGTGGTGGCCACTTGATGGGCCCCTGAAACCGCTGTCGGTGGCATGCAACACGTAGCAACCCAGTGGCGGCAGAAGGCAATTGTGTCAAAAGGCAACTTTTTTCACCGTCGGTGAACAAACAAAAACCAACAATGAACGAAAACTAAAAGCTTTTGTCAGGTGTTCTCGCACCACCCACTTGCTGCAACGGCCCCCTACCACAAACCACCACCCACCCTTCGCCACCACCCGTTGGCAGCCATTTTGTACTCGGAGCTGGCGCTTATCAGCCAACTTTCACACATATGTGCCACGCTCGGTTGAAGGACTCGTCCCCACGCGATGTTCCAGTGGCTGACTCTAACAACATTATATAATGAGCAACAACAAAGTAATTTAATACAATTTCGCCCCGAAGCTGTTGCAGGAAAACATTAAAAAGAGCACCGCCATTTGCGTCAGCAAAAGTCGCACCGCGAATACGCTTCTCAGTTCATTACCCCAAAGATGAGTTGACCAGTTGCTTGACCTTTGCCACAAATCAAAACTCACAACCTGAAGTTATAAGTTCAAAGCAAGTTCTTGAATGAAAATGCATATTTGAAATGTTATCTGACTGATTAGAGACTGCTACCTGTTTCCGCTCAAAAGGGTATTCACTGCGGGTAAATAGTTAAAAAAGCGAAAATGGAAAAAACAAGTGAAATGTGTACCAACAGACACGTATGACAACAGCAGATATCATATGGCAGGACAACAAGTTGCAGACATTTAAGGACTTCGCTGTGGTCCTTTGTGTTTGCGAATAAAATTTACTCTAAGAATAGAGCTATGAAAATAAAGCGCAATGTACACAATGGGGATGGCTAATTTCACTTGAGCGTTTATTGTATTACAAAGGAGTTTGCTGGAATTTCAAAGAAGCCCTCGTAATCCCTTCAACACTTCCTCGTATAGAATGCCTTCCTATATTTCTGTTGCTCACCCCAGGCATTTATTTTTCTAACCTTTCGCATAAATCAAGCCGCTAGAACTAATCATTAATTTGGGCTGAAATTTCGGAATAAATATCTCTTGATTTCATAGTCCCCCGGAGCGGAGAATTCGGCGCAATTTCCCCACCAATCTGGTTGTCAACTTGGCCGAGAAGACCTTGAAGTGGAAGTGGCTGGGACCCAGCTGCCAAAACTTTGGGAACGGCGATCCCTTTCTTGTGCCTCTGCTCCCCCACAAAAAAAACCCGCCTGCCAGCTGGCTTTACAACTTTACATGCATAATACAATAAATTGAAATGTGTGTTATTATGTTGCTTGGGCCGTAGCCTTGGAATTCATAACGAGGAAAAGAAGATAAACATGTTAATAACCTTGTAATAAATTTCTAGCAAGAATTTCTACTAGTTCTCCGCTGCCGTCAAGTTCTTCTTTCCTGTTCTTGTTTATTTTTTTCCATGAATAAATTGTGTAAAAAAAGAAAAAAAAAGGAAAAACCCATATCAAATTAGCCGGCAAGGCAGTGTTCTCTAAACTATTTGTATTTATATTCAAATTAAACTCGTCTAAATCTATAAAAGTTGTGGAACACAAAAGGCTCGCCAGATCCGTGTTTATGAATTTTTTTGCGACATCAAATTGGCTTCCGTGACGACAAAAAGCCGTCGGTGTCGGCAAATCGCAATCGAATTCTTAGTCGTGCATTAATCGTCTAATTTATTGTTTGATAATTTATGAACTATTATTAGTTGGTCTGTTCAGCCGTTCTGCCGGGTGTTTTACTGTTTTCTGCTCCACTCCGTTGATGGCTGATCGCGGAATGACTCCCTCGCTCTCGCTTTCAATTGGTTTGCGGTTGCTGTTGACCCTGAAATATTGGCAGCGACCGGACAATTGGTGGATTTTTGAATATTGGTGGTCAGCTGAGATGGCGGCGCAGTGGCGGCGACCGCAGAATTGTTTTTTGTCTCCTCTTTCGGTTTTTTATTAAATTTTGTACATTTAAATGTGTATGTTTGCGGCCGTTTGCTTCTTGGACGTTTTTGTGATTTTATGCAGATGAAAATATTTATGTTTTGTTGATTGCGCATAAATTAATTTATATTTTATGGCGTTGGCGCTTCGTTCGTTCCTCAAATGGATCGCTCCGCGGCGTATGCAAATCGGCATGCCGTTGTCTGTGTGTCTTGATATAAAAGCATAATTTGACCTTAAGCTAAAAATGAGGGCGTTAATGATGTTTTTTGTTTTCCTTTTCTCAGTCTATTTTATTAATTTTTTTTCGGTCGGTTTTGTTTTTTTCGGTTGACTGTTTTGTTTAGATTGTTGCTTTTTTGGTCACCTTAATATTAATTACAAATCGTGGAAAACCCGGCTGCATTTGGACATAGACAGAATAAAATCCCCTCGGAAAAAGAACCAAACCAAAAGAAGCGGGGCAAAACTCATTGGCCAACCATTGTGTGTTTATTATTTTACAATGAGCTCGACTCTCTGCACCTTTTTAATTGTACACCACAAAAACTTTCTGTTTCTGCTTTTCCAACCCACTTTTGCAGGAATCCACTCGAAGAAATTGAAGCAGTGTTTAGAAGTTAAACTAAACTAAGCTCTGACACCTTCACTACGACTTGTGCGAATGTGACACGTTTATTAACCATAGCTTTAAGTGTAACCTATTTATATATATTACTATGTATGTGAAGTGTGTATTTCGAACGAGACTTTTTTCGAGCTTAAGTTACTACTAATATTGCAGCGAGCAGTAAACCAACTAATCTGCAATATAAAGTCATTTTTATACAACGACACGAAAACTTTTTATACCCGTACCCGTAACATGTTAACGCTGAAACATGAACTTTATAGAGTGACAACTACCACGACCCCGCCCCAGTCTCCGCCCACACCCACAGCCACGCCCACTCACACCTGATATGGATAAAGCATGGTGTTAATGCCACATGCTGTGTCGCTCCCTTTTGCATTTTATTAGCCTAATTATTTCTCTCTTTTTAAATTGCCCAACTTTTCGAACAACAACTAGTCTGTCTGAGTTGGCTACACTTGAAATTTTTCAGTACACATCCTGCACACTCACACACCTTCAGCACTTCTAGGACTCGCACACAAATACTGCTTACCCACACACACACACAGTTGAACTCCAGTGCCTTGTCTGTTGCTTGCATAATTTATATGCATTTTGCATTTTTAAAATGTTTGTTATTAAAAATAATGATTTTTAGAGCAGGACAAGAAGTCTCATTAGTTTGCTGTGCTCTTTTCGTTTTGTCACCTTTGAACCCCTGCCACTTGCTAATTGCGATAGATAAATGTGTGTAGATAAAGTCACGATTTCGCAGTCAGGCACGGAGGTATTGTCGGGTTTATGTCAACTTATCGCCTTTGCGATTGTAAAACCTTGGATTAAGATGCATTTACCGCGATTGCTATTCGTACCAAAATCTTGAATTTATTTAAAACTAAATTAATTTACAGGGATTCCAGGTTTTTTTTTCTTTAAGCTATGAGAGAAGTTTAGCGATTAAAGTTCCTGACTTTAAGTTAGACGTTAAAGTTTAGTCGTATTTCCAAACAAGCTTTTAAAAAAGCAAATGTATTCCTAAATTCTCCAGCAATTTAAGTTTAACGATAGTCAAAACGGTGTTAAAATGTTCAATATATTTTATAAATATTTATATGTTAAAATCTGTAAACAAAAGAACCACATAAATAAGAGCTGCTTAACAATGTATTAACATTACTACGGTTATGGAATCACATCATCTATCATTACCATTATTATTATTATTATTCATCCACATATGTACGTATTTGTCATCGATTTGTGCCATACATATTTATGTAACTTTGTTATTTTGCATAAAAAGAAGTACAATTTATTATACTAGAAATAAAGGCGAATGACTCAAATTAGCTTAATTGCAAATTTATTTATCGTAGTGATTTACCACGTTTACATTACTGTTGAACTCTAACCAACTTTCAAGCACTCTTCGGTTGTGGTTTTTGCATCATTTACCTACCTCCATCTGCCACTTAACCATTTGTGTTGCCGACGTTTATTGGGGGTGTTTTGATTATTCTGGCCCTCATTATGAGCGGGCGAGTCGAGCAATTAGCAATTGAAAGACGAAAAACAATCATTTAGAGCTGCGGCTTGTAAAAAGTTTCACTGGGCATTGCATAAATCTGTCAATTGCAAAAGTTGAACGCGCCGGAATACTTTGGGTGACCCAGAGAGGACCAGCTAGGATTATTGTAATGGCGGACGGTCGAGATGAGGGGCAAAGTTCATTTAAAAGTCGAGAGGACAAATGAATGAATAAAGCGAACCAAAGAAATGAGCAAGAAAAGAATCCCGAGAACATTATAAGTGCAATTCCCTGGGTCAGGAGCTCCTACCCACTCCACGTGCCCTTAGTTGCCTCCTTCATTCTAGTTGCTCCTAAAGATTCCTCAGGCATGACATTTGCGTAGGTAGCGAGAGTGTTTCAACGAAAAGTTTCTCTCCTTTTTCGCTGCTCTAAGGACCAAGGAGCCAAGCCGGCGGCGTTCAAATTGAAAAACATAAATCACTCAAGCAGAAGTTGCTGCTAGCGACTTAGTAGTTGGTAGTTGTAGTTGTAGCCGCTGCCCGGGCTTTGTGTGAATAATTTCGTATTAAAGTTAAATTGAAAGTGTGTAGCAATTTGTTAAAGACAAAAGTCAGTTTGCTGCAAAGAGGGGATAAAAATGCCGAACGGATAGGCCACAAAGTTCAGACAGGAGAGATTCCAGCCAAAATCCCATTGCAAATAGTTCTAAGGCGCTTTATTTTAAAATTAATTTTGCATACTGCCATGCTCGGTGCTCCCAGGACATGTACGTACGACCATGGTTATATAGTGCGAGACGGCTCTTGCCAAGTTTTACGACTCCGCAGACAAGCTCCCTTGCCTCGGCACGCTAATCTCCAGCTGCCATGTTATTGCACTTGTTGGCAAAGTTTTTCAAAAAGTGATTTTGTCAGGGTTTGGTGGGGCACTCCGTTCTGGCTGCAAACTTTACAGTATGTTTCTTGGTTTTTAATTACAACAAATTCGACTTGTTATGCCAAAGTTTGGGATTCCAGGGCACGTACACAAGTGTGACTAAAAGAAATTAACGTCATTATGTTTTTGTAACTGCTCATATCACGTGCTAACCGCATCTCACCGAACTCCCTCTGGTTTTGACAAGCAAATTATTTGATTAAATGTGTGTTGTTTTACTTTGCACAATTCGAACACGAAAACCAACTCTCAAAAATTATGACAGAGCCGCACAAAGTTTGGCGCAGACAATGCCACATGCCCCCAGCAAAATACCCAAACAGAAGCAAGAAAAGAAGGCCGTTTCTGAGGTGAGGGCGAAACACGTTGGGGCTACTCCCACGGCAGTTGATCCGCCCAAGCCCTCGCTGCTGCCCAAGCCAAAGGTCAAGGTTGTCATTCCACCGGCCCTGCAACAACGTCTTAAGCAGCAAAAGGAACAGCAATCCCAGCCCGAGGAGCCCTCGATTCCGGAGGAGGGACATCATGAGCCGGAGGATTCGCCCTCCGCCGCAGGAGGCAGTCGCATTCCCATAAGAACCCTGAAGGCCGAACGCCGCGCCCTGGCCTCGGCTGCCCGCCAATCTGGACTTAGTGTGGAGGAGTATCTTGGGCAACTGGAGACGCAGGCCTCAGATCCGGCCACTTCGCCCACTACGCCCACCGGCAAAAGCCGTTCCATGATTAAGTAAGTTGAATGCGTGACGGTCAACGAATTGACATGCGTGCAGGCCCTGGGCCCCGAGAAGAAAGGTTACAGGTCAAGTGTCGCCCAATTGAGGGCGGAAAGTGCGAAATGCCAAAGACTAGCCCCTGTTTTGGTTGGACTACATAGAACACCCACACCGAAACACAATGAATGCACCCACTCACGCGAGGCAACACGGGCTCTCAATGTTTCCGTATATGTATATCTTTGTAAATCTCTATGTCGATTGGAACACCTTATACCTTTTTGTTTTAGTTAGCGGTGTCTGTCTTAGCCACACCCACTTTCTTTCTCTCTCTCTGTAAATACAATAGTCATATCTAGTAATTAGTTTTGCTTAAGCTGGAGTTCAGATTGAGTATCAGTTGCCCATGACTACAAAGTAAAATAAACAGATGCTAATTCCATGGTTCTCGTTTATTTAGTGCTGAGAAGCGCGCCTCTTGGCGGGCAGCTCGTCTTCGATCACTGGAGCAGGGAGCCGTGGAGGCCCAGGATGTGATCAAGAACATGCGCAAGATGACCGACGATCTGATCACCCACGAGTCCAGAGCCAGCGAGGTAAGTTTCAAACTAACTAACCAAACCCATAGCCAAACCCGAAAACCATATCCATTAACAAGCGCCCGATGAGCCGGAGGAATGGCCTGAACTTGCCTGCGAACATAAGCAAAACAACCCACATAGCTACATGGTTTGCTTCACTAACTAACCGCAAGATACTAATATCCTTCTTCAGACTCGAGTGTAACTAATAATGGATCATAATCGATGCCAAAATCGAGATCGAGAGAAGTGTATAATCGGAATGTCATGAATTGGAACCCCACGAAAAAAAGAACCTCTCCCCTAACCATTTCTCACTTGCTCTATCTCTCTTATTTATTGTCTACCCACTAATCAGGCTCAGCCGAAAATAGTCTTTCCCAAAATTGCCATAAAATCGAGCGATGGTCCAGTCATTGTGCGCGAACGCGAGAAAATACTCGATGAGAAGATTGTGCGCCGCACTGAGGAGGTGCCCTGCCCCATTACGGGGCGACCTCAACTGCGCACCGTCGAGTACATTGAGAAAATCATCGAGACGGAGGTTAGACCCAGCAAATCAAATTCAAACCAGCAATTACTGTATTATGTATCAATTGGCACCAATTTGAGTTTCGTTTGAGCATTTGGCTAAATCGTCCTAGTCACATTATATCTAATTTTCGGTTTCTTTTACCGTCTGTGTGTGCTGTATCCTTCAGTAATCGTTTTCGTTTAAGTTGTTGCGCCCCTTTCCTAGTATTTCGTATTTCCGGTTGCACATTTTACGTACATTTAATGCACACCACTACATTAAGCACTCGCCAACGTTTTTCTCATTGTACAAAGCAAACATCTCACGAAGAATTCCCGGCATTGTCTTAATTATTTTATAGAGCTCATCACTTTTATGGTCTGTCAAGGGGAAGTCCGTCCGTTCTTGGTTCTGGGAAGTTTGTCATCCAACCGTCGACGTTGAGTAAAACAAATTTTAATATCCTCGAAGCACTCAGTTTCCAAGGGGATTTTGTTGACATTTGCCTGGCTTAAGCAGCCAGGTGGTGCTCCACAACGCCCACGCAGACCAGGCAGAAGTGCAGCGCATAAAAAGGACAATAAGCCACTTTTGCGAGCCACCTACGCGAAAAGGTTTTCGGATTCGCGGTACTCGCGGACTGAAATGATTTCCAGTTATTGTTTGCCGTTTGAGTGTCGTCGTCGCGGTTTTTTAAGGTCGAACCCTCAAAGAGTTTCATTGTCTGTTTTAGGGTTTGTTGTTGTCACGTGTCTATAAAGCTATAACGACTCGGTCGACCGTCATTTGGGGCTTGATTCAGGATACAATTTTTAGTATGCAAACGCATTATAATGACGCGCTGCTTTTTATGGCCGAGTCCATTAAAATTAAAGCAAAAGTTTTTTGTTTTTTATTTGCGGCTGGCAGCAGCAGCAGCGTTTTAATGAGTTTCAAAATATATACTTATAAAAAGAATGCAAATAAAAACAAACAAACCAAGCAGCAAACACGCGAAGCGTTTTATGCTTTTGCTATTGTTATTCTGCGGGCACGTGTTTCGGCGCAGAGTTTAGTTTTCAATTTCGTAAAAACGGAAGGAAGTGCCATCAGAAACAAGCAGCAACCGCGTTCCGAAAGAATGTCAACGGCTGGAAAGAAGGCCTTCTGGCTAGCCTGCAACTGCATCTGCATCTCATTTGGGAACTGCAACCGAAGCTTTGGCATTATCTGACTCTGAATCCGAATCTGGCTGCGGTTTCGTTCTGGTAATTCGAGTGCAAAAAACTTGGCTGTAGGGCACAGAGACCAGCTCAACTTTGCTGACCCCGTTGCATTGAATTCGCCGCAGGATGTCGCAGGAGCAGGCTCTGTTCTCGAATTGCCTGGTGCGTTGCCTGTCAGCTGCAGTTTAGTTTCGGCTTATCGTCGTTCTGCCCGGGAGTCTTGTATGCCATCCAATCCTCCAACCCCAACACCCCCTCCCCCCAGGACAAGATGAAAATGCAGGCAATTTTCTTTTTAGTCGTTTGTCAATTTGCTTCATATCACGTATACGACTAGGCTGCCCCTGTGCGTGCCAGCTTCTCAAAAATTGCCTAGGTCGTGATCAGATCAACTAGAAATTTTAAAGTTTTGCACGTTCACCTCACCTCCTTACCTCCCATAATTACTAACCTTAACTAACACCTGTTTGTACATATATATGTAGTCTTCACCATCTGTACTGAATCTATCACTCCTTTTGGCCTGGCTTACACCTCAGTTCACCCGTCAAGCCGTTCGTTTTCCACACTTGGCTGTATAAATTAGTTGTAAGAGCTTTGAGCGAGACACACAGATCTCTGGTTGCGGTGCCTGCGCCTTTTGCTTTATTTCCGTTGCTTCCATTAGTAGTTAGTGTGCTGGCAAACCGAATGCACAACGTATCCGCCTCATCTACACTTAGGTGGAGACCTGCAAGGAGCGCATCATATCCTTGGAGCTGCAAGTGCCCGAAACGGAGGAGGGCACCCTAGACGAAACTCAACCGCCATTGGAGCTCGGGGCAGATGATTTTGAGGACAATGCGGCGAAAGAGGACGAAGATGACTTCGATGACTATGACGATGAGGATGAGGAGGAGGAGGACACTGCCTCCATTGTGACCGTGCAGGCGAACAATGAGAAGCTGTTCCTGCGCCACGATTCCGATGGCTATGGTCCTTCGTCCATCGAGAGCGTTGCATCCGGCAAGGTCCGCATCAAGCCCACGCCGCTCTCGCTCCACCAAACGCTGGCCAAGGAGACGACCATTGTGGAGGTCCTGAACCCAGTCATCGGCGGCGACGGCAGTGCCCGCACCATCCACGTGAGCGGTGGCCTACCCTTCGACCCGGAGGACTTTGAACAGGGGGCCGTGGCCGTGTTGCGCAGCGAAACTTTCGTCCTGCCCGGAGCCACCGGCGGTGGAAGGTCTGAGTTGTCATTAAATGCTAAAATGAAAACCGTGCTCGAGGAGCTGCTGGAGAACGAGCGCGTCAAATTGAATTTGCAAAAGAGCCTTGAGGGCGAGGAGGAGGACGAAGACGATGAGGATGGCAGTGCCTATGGCGACGCGCGGGATGATGAGGAGAGCGCCTACGGCGATGCCGTCGATGATGTTGTTGACTTTGGTGGCGCCACGGTCACAAGCCGCGCAGCTAATGACCAGGATGATGCCAAGAACGGCAATCAGCAGCTGCTCGAGGAGCTGATTAAGGACAGCAACCGCAACACAATAATTGCTAAATTGGCGGGCCAATTGTCGGACGATGATGAAGAGGACGACGACGAGGAGGAGGAGGATGAGGAGAGTAGTGACTCCTCGGACGAGGACAGCGATGACTCCGACGAGGAGGACAATGCTGAGCAGCAGCTGAATGTCACCTATGTGCAGGGCGCCCAGGTGATCGAGAATCTCAATACGCTGGCCACGGGCAGCAAGCTGCAAAAGTCACAGACCTACACGACCATCAAGCAGGCTGAGGAGCCAAGGGAAGTGGAACAGAAGGAGGAGCAGACCGCATCCTCGGAGAAGGCATGTGGAGCTGACACCCTGGCCCTGTTGCAGGCCGAGCAACGCGCCCTGGCGGAGATCTCAAAGCAGTTGCGCAAGTCCGTTGAGGATTTGCTCAGCGCCGATGGCGATACTGTCGTTGAAACGCAAAGGACCTACACTTTGCCTGCGGCCAGCGACAAATCAGCGGTGGTAACCGTAACCGAGGTTGTTAAAAAGAAGAAAAAGAAGGGCGAATCTGGGGAGGAACTATTCAACCGCCTTCTAAGCGCGGGCGAGTCGGAGCGACAGGTCTTCGACCGACAGCAGGGCGAGACCATAACGACCACCACCACCACCACCGAGGCTTTAAGTTCGGAGGACAACGAGCCAAGCACCAGTGTGGTGACCACCACTCGGACCGTGTCCAATATTGTGACTAGCGGAATTCCCAGACCAGAAACCAGCAAGCAGAACAACCGCAGCGGCAACAGCAGCAGCGGCAACAATAACCGCAACAAGAACAAGCGAAAGGGCAAAAAGAAGTAGAGGATATCCTGCAGCAGCTGGAAGGAAATGGGATAAAGTGTCGAAGTTGCGTATACGCCGTGTGGTGGGTATGAGTATGTGATCCGAGCGATTTCTTACACGCACAACCTCCCGCACAGAAACACTCGCCCACACATATCAGCGTGTTAGAGAGCTCGCTGTCCATGATATATACCCACTAATTGTATACATATGTATATTATGTATGTACGATATTCGCATATGTATTGATAATTTTAATTAATTGTGCAAATAATGTGTCCCCTGCATTTACAAAACCCATTTGTTACTAATCACGAAAGTGTATGCATTAAAACAAAATATTTTCATTGCAAATTAAAAACAATTCGATTCGGGGTATGAGATATTGCAAGAATTTAACAGTAAATTTAATGTTGTGCAGCAACCACAAAGAAACGACAACAACACAAACCGTTGAGCCCATCAGAATTGAATTAATACGACAGCAGTATCCACGAAAAAAAGCAAAAATCTTATTTAATTCAATTAAATAATTTCACTTTGTTTGCATTTAACTATCATTTGCATACAGCATCTGGTTTTTCTCCCTCATTTTTTCAAATGGGCTTTGCTTGTTTTCCGCAAATTAAATTTACGTTTTATGTTCTAGCACAAAAAGTAGGAGCCTTCGCAAATCCGAGCCCAGCAGCCGGCAGAAGTATTCACGATGATCCTTCTCGTACCATCAATAAACTCTAAGCATTCCGACTGCCCGTATTTTGGGCTTACTCTTTATAGTTTTAGCCATAAGCAAAAACCGGCAACTAAACGCAATACGAAACGAAAAAGCGAGCAGAGAACATAAATCAAATAATCTTAAAAAATGTAGTTAGCAGTGTGTAAGTGCGTCCAGTTGTAATCCCTAGTATGTAACACAAGGCATAAGCACAACTATGACAAATGTCCTATGGCGATTTCAGTTTCCACTTTTATACAAATGTAAAAATATTTACAAGCAATTTTATGTAATACCTATGATATTTAGTGTATAAATTCGTCTTTTTATGAAAGGAAAGAACGCCGCTAAGCGAATGAAAATAAACAAATTGTATTCATTTTTATTTAAAACAAACCAATCCGTTTTTATTTAATTTGAAATGGAGATATTAATTCAGATGTACTGTGGGCGAGGGATTTTGATTTATGGCATCTCAATGGGGATTTTTCTCTCATTTCGCCGAGGGCGAGTAGTATTGGCTTTGCTGTGCATATGAGAATCCATATCTATAAACAGACCAAGCTGATGTTATTTTCAGACGGCTTAAAATTGTGTGAAAAGAGATGGTATGCGGCTAAATCTATAAATATGCACGTCAGGTAAGTGAGTCCTATTACCAGCACACTCGAAAAAAATTAGCTTTTTATAAGAATTTTCAATTTATCTACTGGTTAATCAATAAAATTATAATAAATGTAGAAGGCTAGGCAAAGATATATATGAGTGTTTTAATATAAAGGAATACGAACGAAGCTAATTAAATATTCTTATTATTGAATATAGAATGTTCTTTATTAATATTGTTTCTTTGTTTCGCATTTAAAACCCTTTAGGTTTCACGAGAAACGATGTAAAAATATTCTCGAATCCAAATCAAACCCTATTTTTATACCCGTTACTCGTAGAGTAAAAGGGTATATTGTATTCGTGCAAAAGTATGTAACAGCTAGAAGGAAGCGTTTCCGACCCTATAAAGTATATATATTCTTGATCAGGGTCACTAGCCGAGTCGATATAGCCATGTCCGTCTGTCCGTCTGTCCGTCCGTCCGTCTGTCCGTCTGTCTGTCCGTCTGTCTGTCCGTCCGTATGAACGCTGAGATCTCAGAAACTATAAAAGCTAGAGGATTGGCATTTCGCATGCAGATTCTAGGAGTTCCTACGCAGCGCAAGTTTGTTTCAAAATGGTGCCACGCCCCCTCTAACGCCCACAATCTCTTATATACGATTTTAAAAATTTTAATATTATCCGCTAGCCTGCAAGGCGGCTGTATTTTGCGTCCATTCAAACTCATTAATTTGAAATTATGTTATTATGCACTCAATTATGTTAATTAATTCAATGTAATGTAAGTTTATTTAGATTATGAGCTTTAAGCATTCAAGTGCAAATTTATTATCAAATCGCTGAACAATTGCTTTTTACGCATTTACTCAGTTTTGATAACTGTGCTGCGCTTTTTATCTGAAGAAGTTTGTTATTCAATATTATAATTATTATTTTCTACATATTTATGTCACACTTTACGCTTGGCAACGAGATAAAAATTCAAAGAATTCAAAAATCGTTTTAAGTGTCACGCACAAAATGCGAGAATAATCAAAATTCGAACATAAAAACTCTGCCCATTTAAAGCAAACGTCAACTACTAGTATTATGTAATCGAGCTATATGTATAGGTAGCCTAGTTCTAAGCAGTCTCTACTATCCAATCCCCTATCAACTGTCTATGGCAATCGTCACTAGGAGTGTGAGTCTTAGAAAGAAAAACAAAACAACAGAGTAACTTAAATTGTTCAAACAATCGCCTTTTATTTGTGTGTAAAAATGAAATTGTTACTAAATGATTTATTAACCAATATAGGGATGTTCTTCATTTGTATTTCACTGCGAATTGTTTCAACGAATTGATCAAATTGATAGATTTATATTTATATATATTTACACCAAGATATGTTAATTTTGTATTTATGTAAAACGGGCAACTGAAAGTTAATTGCAATGCCTTTTTGTTGCACAAATGTTTTATGAAATCTGTAGTCTAATTAACACAATTAACACTAAGTAAATAAACATTTTTGTATAAAAAAAAAAATAAAACAAATCGAAAAGCAAATTAAAGCTATGTGAAATTTGTAACTAACACCAAGTAACGGATTATATACAACCTACATTTACAACTACGATTTAATATGTATATTAATTTACTAATTTATTTGAGAAACAATCGAGTATTTTTCGTATAATAAATAACGTGAATTTCAAAGAGTTGAGATCTTGCTGTAAACGAATAGTCATTTTTCCCGTGGGCCAGATGTTGTTAACATTTTGTTGTAATTAGCTGGGCACGCAATCGCCCTACTGACACTCATTCCGAGTGTCCCAGGTGGCCCAGACTTATGGGCCGGGCCGTGAGAGGTCATTGCCTTAACTCCTGTTTTCGGTGGTTTCGTTTTTAGGGGTGATTCTACTCCCTCCCACTTCCAGCAATGAACAGACAGCTCGGCTGGCTGCCAGGGATCAGTGATGGCAGATGTCTATTGATTTATACAAGGTACGCATGTTAATAGACTAAATTTCATTAGGTACATTTTTGGTAAAGTTTTGAATTCATAAAATATTAATTCATTTTTTTGCTCCGGGTAAAAATAGTTTATATATTACTTGACCCTGCAGAATTTCCAGAACACCATCAGTGTTAAAATATATCATTGAAATCCGTGTGAAAGTTAAAAGTTATAATTGTGTGTATTTTTAGATGGAGTCAAATACAAATTAAGAAAAAATGTATGTTCATATTAAAACCAGAATCCAAAGTAATAGATTCCGGCTAGACTTTCAATAATTTTAGATACATTTTCGTATTCCTTTTATCTTTCCATAGACGTTTGTACATAGCCACCACGGCCAGAGATCTAAGAACGCTCTTTGCTGTTTGCATAGTGCGGTAACCACCACTATCAAGTGACGCCATACAATTTGAATTTTCCCCGGAACAGCAGCAAATACCCCTAATGGCCAATAGCTGCTTGGCGTGCGCACAGTTCTCGTCGAGCGGTCGTGTCGGATGAACGTCTCCAGTCGTAGCTTTTCTTTCGGGTCATTCACCAAACTATTGCCAAGTCCCAAACTGAGCTATTTAAGCCCAAAAATGCGCACTCAAGTGCTAAGTTTCTGTTTAGCCATTTTGCTAATTGTTTGCCTGTTGTAAACAAAAGACGTAATTAGATGCGGGTGCCAAGTGCCGTGGATCAGAGATGGGGAGCCGGCCGCAGCGGATACGGCGGATTGGCGACAGTCTTCAGATGCTAACCCGGGAAGCCAGGAGCGAAGTAGTGCGCTGCGAACGTAAGTGGTTTTATCTAAAAATGGGGATGCCTTTTAATCCCCCAAGCTTAAAGTATAAAAGTGAATCGGTTACTTTAAAAAATTGGGTTTTCTACTTAAGAACTTAAATTTAGTTAGATTTCAACAGTTCAGTCTCACGTTATTTTTCCCTCTCTGATATTTATGAAACTAAACAATGATTAGTATCTTTATTATTATAGTTGCCTAACAAAAATGTTTCTTGAATATGATCGATTACCTATCATAACTCACCTGGACCTTGTGTGGAACTGTGTAATAAATTCATGTGTGTCGCATTATCTACTGGGGATTTGCATAATAGGACGACGTCATCGCCAATTTCAACATTGGAGCTAGGAATAATTTACTTGTTTATCTATTGGTGGCGGAGACCTTATTTTGACATGTGTGGAAATGGGGAAACGGATTCAATGGAATTCTTTAGGACGAAAAATGTTTATCGCCTGCCATAGGCACACAAACCATTGGCGATGGTTAATAGTGTTTTATTGGGTGTAACTTAGAGTCTATAAATAAGTTTCTTTGGTGCTAATTCTTAGGTGTCTATCCCATACTACGAGTTATAGGGCAAATAAGATGGTTTATTTAAGTAAACATGGCAATTTGTGGTCGCAATTACAATAACCATTTACCTAATGATTTTTCATGGCTTTGGTTTTGGTTAAGCTATTAATTAAAATTCGTAAATATAGACCGGAAATTATATGTTGAAATTTTTTTTTAATAACAAAAACGATACTTCAATAGCTCCCAAGTGACGAGCGTTAGAAGCCTTTAGGCTTGAGAAACCAGAAAAAACTAGATGGCTGCCATGCACGCGATTCGAAAACGAACACATCGACAAGTCCTTCGAAGGACTTTTGGCCGCTAATTAAGTTCACCTTGGACGTGAAAAAGCGGCGTGTTCTTTCAAGGTCATCACCGATAAATGCGGCCATGGCAACTGCCCAAAAGCCGAAACAATGGTTATGGAAATAGAACAGGATTTTTGACGGTCTTGGAATATTAGAATTAATGATCGATTCTAATTGACGATGCACAATAATGAAAGATATATATCGAGTTGTTTTTGTGTTTGTAAATGGGAATAAAATACATGAACACATGAAGACATTTTTTAATTCATTAATGAACAACAGCCTAAAATGAATCATTAATAGTTAATATCTTTTTTTTAAAAGCTTTAATAGTTTATGTACAAAAAAATGGTACCTATGTAATTATGTATTTACGTGTTAAATGTGTTTTTAAAAACCACAGTCCCTCCAAAACATTATAAATAAAACAATGATTTCCCATCCCACGCACACTGCTGTGTCCCCGCCCCTCCTTCGTCCACCGTCGAAAATGGTTGTGAACAAAACAAAAAAAAACAGTCAACAACACGAAAGAACCAAATCAAAACAAAGGCACAAACAAAAACATACCTGAGCAACCAGTTGCAATATTTTCGAAATCAAAACAAAACTGAAGAAGCTCGCTCTTGAGAGCCGCATAACAAATAAATAAAATAAAGTGGACTAGAGCTATAGCTCTCTATATAAAGAGAAAGAGAGCGAGGAAAAGAGAAAGACGAAATCGGCTGGAGAATTATGGCCTGGCATATAGTCGCCTCAGTGTCTGAACAACAGTCACAAACGTCGGACGGCTTTCGAACTAGTTGTACGCAGAATTTGGAACCTATTCGGTTGTTTATCTTTGGATCCGTGCCCGAACGTCGTATTGTTTAATTTCGGATTCGGCAATTAACAGAGAAATTGCTTTTTATGCAAATTAGTGATACGAAACAACCAAAATAATAACCAACATATGTCAAATCGAAAAGGTCGCCTTTTCCCATTGACCTTCAACTTGTCAATTCAGACGGATGTCACTTTTCCCAAACCGAAGCAAACATTCAGACAGACTTTTAGCCCATAAGTTAATTAAAATAGATATTAGAGAACGAACACAAAAAAGGTGTTAGTTTGGGTTCGTTACGTATACGCAATGTGGCAGGAAAATAAATATGGAAATTAAACATCGTATGTTATGTGTGCGCCAAAAGTAAATTGATATCCAAAGTGTTTGAAACACAATTGCTAAATTTGTGTGTCTACCTTCCATATATACACCCGCCTTCACCCACACACATTCGGTAATTTCAAATCAATTAATCTCAATTATTCTGATCGCTCAAGTGAATAGAATCGAAGCGAAAATCAAAAAGTCTCCCCGCTTCATTAAGTTTGCCCAAATGCTGCAGATATATTTATGAGCGCAGTTGTTATTTTGATAATAAATTACTGTAGGCCGTACAACGTGAAATGTTTTTTAGATCGACCTTAAAAATCTCGAAAACTAAATAAATTCAAAACAATCAAAATATATTTGCTCAATAAAAAGGCAAACGAGTGTATTAACAATATGTGCAATTCTAAAAAAAAGTACATCAAAAACATTATAATCTGAGTTATTTGTGAATTGACCTAATTTAGAAATATATACTGGAAAAGAAAAATCTAAACAAAATTTCAGCATAAGTCATTAAAGTTTTATTTAATCACTGAGAAGTTGTTTGTTATTTTGCCAATAAATGTTTGGGCTTTTTTTGTTTCCTTCAGTTAGCCACGTGAAATATTCCTAAAAAGGTTCATAAAATTCCAATAAACTAAACAAATGTGAAACGAAAATTGATATAAACCATTTAATGGAGGAAAAGTCAATGATTGTTTACTAAATATCATCACAAAGTGAAAACATTTTATTAAAAAAGGAACGGAAGCAATAATTATCAACGGAATTTATGGAAATAACATGCTACAATGGAGTTGATCAAGAAATACAAACAGGGCAAGCTAACCACCAGCGATATACGCAACCTAAATCGTACGTTAATTCACAAATTCAACCATTTAATATATATATGTTAGTGTTTTAAGATATAACTAAGAGCAACCCTTGGATCTTAAAATATATTTTTGGGACGACCTTGGCAGGGCGGATGAAGGTGAACTCAAATTTAAAATAAAAGACAACCAAATTTCATACAAACAATTAGAAACATTCGAATGGTGAATGCCAATTGGTTAAATTTGAGGTGAACTGTCTGCCGAAATTGACAGCGAATGTTCATGTCAATTAAAACCATTTCACGGTTTTGTCCATCAGTCATGGAAGTTGCTCTTTGGGGGCGCGTCTTTCAGCATCAATAAACCGTTTGGGTATATATATCTGATCTACGCAATAAATAGTCCGATATGCTTGACAGCGGGACCAACATATTTTGGTTTTTTGGTGACTTATGAGTAAATTATTTTGTTTTTAAATCTAACAAATTACAAGGAGCTTTAAAGCTGTTGCATTTTTTTATTTTTACATTAGGTCCCTTCATTTTGTTTGATAAATAAGACTTGTTTTTAAGTTTCAGTAATGTTAGCCCAATAAAAAAATTTTAGCTGACAGCTTTAAAGTGCAAAATTTATAACTATTTTTATAGCGTCAATCGACTCATTAAAGGTGCTAAACTGGCCTGAAGACTTTAGGCCAATGTGCTAATATAAACTTCGTTGTGCTTGCTTATAAACATTTTCACACTTGGCTTCTTCATATATATGGATGTATTCCATTTGCTGCAGCTCTCATCTGTCGATAAGTGAAGGAAAGTTTGTTTGAGTGGGCGCAGTTCGTAGTACGTATACGCCATGTGGTTCCTGTTATTGGCATTAACAAATTAGCCAAAGTGCCAAACTTCCGGGAGCCGCCGCACTGTAAACAAGTACTTAATCACTGAGATAGCAAAATTGTTAACTGTTCCAAATGTAAACTTCCTAAAAGATGAATGAAATAATATCAATATCTAAATAATTAAATATATACACAACTTATTGATATATATATAAATGTTTAAGAACAGTAAACTACATGTTTTGTAGTTCAGGGTTGCTGTAGCTTACATCTGTATATTAGTAATATTTATTTATAGTTTTCTCTATGAAGCGCCGCCTCTTTTGGGCCATTTTTTGCTACCAAACCTGCCCAAAAGCGGTTTTTAGGTGAGCTAACGACCGCTTACTTCTCGCTTTCCACTGAACAGCACTGCTTAATATTTTTTACCCGCACCCAAGTTCCGGAGATGAGAGGGGTTTATGATGGAAATGATGTCATTCCAAATGTGCCACTTTGCGACGGATCATGCAACGCGCAGTAAATCGCTTCGGATATATATAAATGAGTCGTCCAAAAACAGAAAAACATTCCGCTTAATGCGTTCAAAGCACTTGGGGCATGAAATCGGCGGTAGAAGCTCGTGATCTATTCTCTCACTCTATAGATATACGAACTTGTAATTTTCAGCTGTCCATTATGGACCATAAAATGGAATGGTAATATTACATTTCCCTCCTTTTTGACATGTTCCGCCCTGGGACTTTTATTATGCACACAGAGCATAGTCGTATATTTACCCGCGAATCTGTTTGTTGACTCTGCCAGCAGTTTGTTTTCTCTTTATTTCGAACAATATGAGGGAATATTTGCATCAATTGAAATGAATTTTATTGGGAGGCAGTCACTGTATCGACGTCATCTGAAAATGTTTCGCCCGACTCGTTAACCGAGCTCTCCAACATTTGGCATGATATCATACCTCTGATATAAACTCACACAGGAACGTTAATATACTGATACTCGTTCACAGTTAGCTGTTTCTTACACAAAATAAACAAACTCAACCAAAACCCAACTCGAACATAACCAGAAAGCAATAAATTATCGAATGCCTCACCTTCAAGCACTAGTGTTTTCCATTCTCATAGTATCGTAATCCATTGTTCGGAGCAGTGCGTTTACTTGATCTATAGCTATTGGCAGATCCTAAATAGTTGATTTTCCGAATATAGTCATGTCTATTTGCCAGCTATTAATTTCAAATTCAAATTTCTAAGCGGCCCGTTTGACAGAGCAACATGTTTGTAATGCTAATATATGCCAGAGGTTATTTTTATGATTTCATTGTTGCAAACCAAACATATAACTTTTTTAACTGGGTGACCTCTTTAAGTTTGTTACTGAATTATCTAATAATTTCATATATATTATATATTGGTTATTAATGTTATGTATATATTTTGTAATATTTAGTTTGAGACTTATATTTATTTACAGTAATATTACAAATAATTGAGAATTTTAAATAATAATATCAAATTATTAATTTTGATCTTAACATTTTTCCAACTTAGACCTTGTAATATGCCTAATGGTCTTCATAGCAATATTCTCCATTCTATGGAGCATTTCGCTGCACATGATATCCGGGGATCTGTACGAGGGAATTGTCAGTGCCAAACTCATCTTCAAAGAGCGCAACTTGGAACAAATGGATGAGCACAGCAGGCAGATCCTTCATAGGGATTTTAAAACAGCCACCCAGTATGCCTATGGTCAGAAGTATTCCGTGGTAGATGTCCAGGATGTCACTCCCGAATCGCGTCAGAGCGAGAGCCGTAAGATATCTTCGATAAACCTTAATCTTTTTATATTTTATTAAATTTTATTTCCAGAAAACACAAAGCCAATCTTCAAGATACCCCATATCTATGATTCTATCGAGAACCGACCTAAATTGGAGCGTCTCATCGCTGAAAAGAAGGAGGAGAAAATCACGACTACGACGGCTTCGCCACCAAAAATAACGTTTAATGCTGATGCAGATCGTCAGTTCTTAAGCATAAGTAAGAGTAAAAAAAAATTTTAATTTTTTATTTCTTAAAATAAATATATTTTTTTAGTGTCCGTCGATCCTCATGCTACATATTGGAATCGTGGAATTAGTGCTCAGTTTGTCTACGCATTTCCTCTCATATCAGAGATAGTAGCCATCATCTGGACAGCCATGTGTCTAATTTTTCAGACCGGCAGCAAAAAGAGTTCGTGAGTATAAGTCTATGCTTTGTATAACAATAAATTATTTAATAAATTTAATTTTCTAAATATTAACCGAAAATCGACAAATTTATTTTTCAGAGTTCTGCCAAAACCCTGGCGTATTGTGGTGCCCTCCATCATCATCTTTTCGGTCATGAGTTTGGGGAGCGTGATCTACACTATCCTAACTAATGGTCATCTAAAGAGATTGTGTGGCCAATTGAGAGAGAATCTCACAGATCCATCGGCCATCAGTTGTGGAGACGCCATTGCGCTTCTACGTCCCGTAGTCCACGACCACAGTGTGTCCCACGATACTTATCTGGAGCTCTTCCGCTGCAGTTACGTGATCGGAATGGTGTTGTGGGTCGTGGCTCTGCTGGTCATGGTGCTGCGATTTGTCTTCGCCGTGGACTTTCAGCTGGTGGACATCGATGAGATGTTCGATAATGGCCGGTTTGGTGTTCCCCAAGCTCAGATTCAGCCAGTCTATAGGGAGGTGGTGCAGCAGAGCAGTCCGCAGCACCAGACGCAGGTGCGTCCCAGATCAGAGGATGACTATCAGAGCGCCAGGTCGCGACTCAGCGATATTGCAGTGCCACTTCTGGAGGTGCAGAGTCAGTCCCAGATTCCGCCTTCGAACTTGGCCTAATCCCACGGCTGGCCAATGGATCAGCCAACTCAGGTTTATTTTTGTACGATGTGTTACTGTTTAGTGTATAAGAACTATTACCTTAACTAACCGTATCTTAGTTTAAATTTTTAGCGTTCTCCGAAGTTGGAGAGGGCTTTATGAACCGATATTTAATTGATATTTTTCACTGTCCTAGTTTAGTGAACTCGTGCCTCGAAATCAAATGTGCAAATGTGGCTTAACCAAGGGTTAAAGAACTACTAAGTTAAAATTTAAAGAGTTGACCTAATTGAATTTATGAAAAAACATTTGCATACTCTTCGGCTTATTAAAAATATATAAAAAACCTTCAGAATTCATATTTTCTGAAGTTTTGATCCTGCCCAGCTGGTTAAGCGACATTTTTCAGTCGATTCCTTCGACTATAAGCTCTGGTAATTTTAACCCAAGAGTTTTATTTAAAATGCAATAATCTAACAATTCACAAAACCGATTAAAATAAAAATATTGTGTATACGAAGTAAGAAACTCTTCAAGTTCCAGCTTAAAGCAGCTTCATAGTGATGGTCTTGGTCTCCAGGTAATTGTCTAGTCCATCCTTGCCCAACTCCCTTCCGATTCCGGAGTGCTTGTATCCACCGAAGGGTGTGGAGGGCAGCACGGCATCATAGCAGTTGATCCATACGGATCCGGCGTCCACATTGTTGGCAAACTTCAAGGCCTTGTTGATATCGTTGGTAATAACACCAGCGGCCAATCCGTACTGCACATTGTTGGCCCGATCGATCATCTCATCAAGGGTGCTGAACTTAAAGATGGACTGCACGGGACCAAAGATCTAAAGATGGTATGGAAGCATATAAGATGAAGAACTCAAAGTGAAAGGTAATACAATATAATTACCTCCTCCTGGGCAATTCGCATATTATCCTTAACATCCGAAAAGACAGTGGGCTCTACGAAGAAACCCACATTGCCGATCCTCTTGCCGCCAGCCTGCAACTTAGCTCCTTCCTTTTGTCCACTCTCGATATAGCCGAGAACCTTGGTCAGCATCTCATCATCGATCTGAGGTCCCTGCTGCACATTCGCCTCGAAAGGATTGCCCACCTTTGCGGGCCTTTAGCCTTGGCGGCTGCCTTGGCCACGAACTCATTGTAGATCTTCTCGTGCACGTAGGTCCGACTGCCGGCACAGCAACTCTGGCCGTGATTGGAGAACAGAGCCTCGTGGGTGGTTTCCACCGCAAAGTCAACTAATAGGAAAAATTAGGAAATAAATTGAAGGAGAAAATATCAAAAAGAAAAGCCACTTACCATCCGCATCATCGAAGACCACCACGGGACTCTTGCCGCCCAACTCGAGGGAGACCCTCTTCAAGTTCGACTTGGCCGCAGCCTGCATGACAATCCGACCGATGTCCACGGAGCCGGTGAAGGCCACCTTGGCAATGTCGGGATGCTCACTGATGGCAGCTCCAGCAGTGGGTCCAAATCCATTGACCACATTGATCACTCCGGCGGGGAATCCAGCCTCCTTGGCCAAAGCAGCCATATGGAGGGCCGTTAGGGGCGTTTGCTCCGCGGGCTTCATGATGATGGTGCATCCGACAGCCAAGGCGGGTCCCCATTTCCAGGCCAGCATTAGCAAGGGATAGTTCCAGGGGATGATCTGACCCACCACGCCCACAGGTTCCTTGCGGGTCATAGAGGTGAATCCTCCGGCGGGAATGGTGTCGCCAAAGAACTTGTCGGTCCAGCCGGCATAGTACTGCAGCGTCAACATCGAGTAGGTCACATCGAACAGAGCCTCAGCATAGGGCTTGCCATTGTCCTGGGTCTCCAAGCTGGCCAGGAATGCCTTGTCCCGATCCATCAGAGCACAGAGTCTGGAGCGGATTAATATTAAATTGATTTAGGGAAAGATATAGGGTATAGCTTACTTGTTCATCAGATTGGTGCTCTGCAGGGGACTCAATTTGCGCCATTCCGAGTCGCGATGGAAGGCCTTCTTAGCCGCAACAACTGCCAAATCTATGTCGGCCTAAAAATGTATTGACAATTTTAATAGGTTTATTTGAAATATTATAACTGCAAGGGTGTAAAAGTCCAATCCCTCTATAGAATACTGCACTTACCTTATCTCCCTCAGAGACTTTAATAATCTCCTTGTTTGTGGCCGGATTGAAAGTGGCAAAGGTCTTGCCCGACACCGAATCAACGAACTCATTGTTGATGAAGAGCTAAAAATAAATAAAAGAAGATTTATGTGATTAAATAGGCAGTAAATTGAACCACAAAATCTTCCCCCACCTGACAATTACTGGGTTTGGCAGTGTGCAAAGCTATGATCAAATCTCATCCTGCTATCTAAACCAACTAGCGGGTGTGCCAGTAATTTGTGCAATTTGTGCATTGTTATTCGCCCAGTTTGTTTGCGATTACTTATCCGCTCAAACAAGTTATCAGCCCTCCGATTGGCCCATTTCAATTAGCCGCGGACACGCGACAATGTAAATAATGTAAAATGTAATTCTTGTCACGATTCCAAATTGTCGAGTTTTTATGAACGAAACGAAACATTTGACAACAAACTAAAGTCGTTAGAGGCTATTGGATGTCAATCAAAATAATGGGTCATTAGGCGATAACGGCTTGTAAGCTCTGCGTTCTTAAACTTGCAAGATAAAGTAGTCAAGATAAGTAGTCGATTGGAAAGTTAGAAGTAGAGGCAGTTAAATTGAATTAGGCTATTTCAGTTAGGGTATATTAAATAAAGTTACTTTTCATTTATCTTTTATGTACCCAATGTTACTATTTAATAGCATATTTATTTATTCTTAAAAGAATAGAATAATCTTTTGAATTTCACCACTGAAAATCACATCGAACTTTAAGTCTCAAAGTCTCATCTGTATCGGAAAAGTAGCTAGTTCATGTTGGACCCCCATGGAGGTTTACCTTATCAGCTCATAATTATTATGGTTTTATGAGGGCTGAATCTGTTTGTTTCGTGTCCAACATCTGCTGATAACAACATGAGCACCCTGTATCTAAGAATAAACAAAAGCTGTTTCTTTCCAAAAAAAATATATTTGTGTGTATAAGGAGGTTTAGCAGAAAAAAGAGAAACAAATCGCGAATATTTGTAAATTGCGACACAAACAAGTTTGGAGTGGGCTGAGTTTTAATTGGAAAATCACTATTACCACTTGTACATTATCTAGGTATTGTATGTCAATGTAAAATGAAATTTATCTGCATACTGTTAAGGAGCTTCTAAGTGACACACAATTTGATATGCAGTTGGCAACACAATATTTATACTTACTTTTGTGTACTTGGGTTTGGCGTTGGGATCGGCCATATTGAGAAAAATATATTCTTAATTGAGAACTGGAATAGAGACCGGCTGTCTGAGAGTCGTCGCGAAACTGAAACTGAAATGCTGCCAGATGCCGCTTTATATAGATTGCGATAACTGGCTATCAGCGATTTGTTTTTGCACTGCCGTTCATCACCTTTTTGCTTTGCCTGTAGTCGGTCCTCTGAATTATCTCTGTTTATGCCGGCCGGCCCACAAATAAACATTTTATTATACACCCTACGACTTATCGAAATCGTCTATGGGTCTTGTAATACGTTTATTTAAAAATGTTTTTAAAGAAAAAATTAGTTTTAAATTATTTAAAATTCAAAAAGAATATATAAATTGAGGGATCTTTTGATCACGAGTTAAATAATAATAATCACAAAAGTCCCTTTTGTTTGTACCCCATTTTATATCCTTTTGATGGCTGTTTTATCACAAAATTTTTTTTGTGCAGTGGTTCGTAAGTACAGAAAAGCTTTTTGGAGCGGTTGCTGTCTTGGCAACGTATAAGCAAACGTTGTCTTATACGGTTTGTGCCTTGGCTTTCGTCTATACAGGGTTATTTATTTGTAGCAATAAAAACTTACTTAAAATACGTATAAGATTTTATGACATTCAAGAAAAAGTTAAAAATACATTGAATTTAAAGACAAAGGTTGGCGAAATTTAAGAACAAAACGATTTCTGAAATTAAATTTGTGAAAAAAATACTCTTGAAAAAATATTTTATTTATTTAGTATTTAACTTATAATTTTTAATCGTATTTTTAATATATTTGGTTATATACCGTTCCCGTTTTTTCCAATATACATTTTTAACTTTATCAGTTTACCGCCTTAAAAACTTGTTGTTTGGATCAGTTGTTTTCCAGCATAACTTTTAAGCGGGAAACTTTCGTAATGGTAGGTGCGTTGAACTAGTCCGTGATCCAGAAATTTCAGTTTGCTCAACGACTGTCCAATGTAATTGCTAAAACAGATCGAAAGCTAAGTATAGATTAATCAATATTGAAACGAACCCACCTGTAGTACTCGTAGTCGTAGCGCAGGTAACTGGAGAAGGGCTGTAGTTCCAGACCATCAGGGCAGATCGGATTGCCATGCAGGCTCAAATACTGCAGGTTGGGAAAGAACCTTCTGATCAGCCGTATTGTCGTTGGCAGGTCGCTGAACTGTAATTGTGTGTATTTATTTGATAAGATTGTGTAGAGGAATAATTACAAAATTTGGTAAATAGAACCTCATTTTTGTTGAGCATCAATACTTCCAGTTGTGGCAGTGGGCGAATCAACGTTCTTAAATGAGCCTCATGCATTCGATTGCTGTCCAGGACCAAGTGCCGCAGCTGCTCGAACTCCGCCAGCCAGGACAAATCCTTTAGGCAGTTATAGCTAAGATCTAGTTGATCTACATAATCAGCATGGTTCTTGACTACTTCCTGAGACAGTGTTCGTAAATTCTGCTGCACCAAAATAAGCTAAACAAGTTGCCGAAAAATTAGATTCTTTTTGTAATCTCGGCCAGATAAGGCTCATTTTCTTCACCTGACTGTCGTTGTTTGAAGTTTGCATTGCCCTGAGATACATATATCGTATATGTGGTTAACGAGAGCGTGAGCGGATTTTCGAATACCTCACCGGCGATCTTCTCGTGAGCAACTGAAATGAGTGCTGGAAGTTGTTGCATACGTTAGCCGAATGCTTTTGTCTTAAAGTTGTCTCTTTTAATTTTTAGCATACCCTTAATAGGCTGTTTACTTGGGGATATTCGTTTTTTGATAATTAAATTGTTTTCACAGAAAAACACATTTTTTAATAGATCATACAAAATATAATATCTGGCTTAGACTTTTTTAAATAAAATACACAATAAATAATTACATTCATTATAATGCTTATTAAGGTGATGTTATTTATTTGGTATTATCTATAATAATTTTTATAAGAAAAAAAGTATTTATCGTTCTTAATTAGCATTTTATCGATGCTTGAAGGATTGAATCGGATCAATTGATTACCCTATATCAAGGGTATTGTTAATTTTAGACCCTAGACTTCAGTTACCTACTCCATGTGCTCTTTGTTTGCGTTTAACATTGTTTGGCTTCTGCGAAGCTTTATTTCTCGTCTGACGTTTTCTTTAATCGTATGAGTTTTTTCAAGGCGTACAGAAATGAGCGACGCGAGTGATAAGCTATCAAGTCAAATGACATGTAGATGGCGCCATCGGGCGACTATGATCGCACATCGAGTATACGACAAGTGGGCTTAAACACGACACCATATTTAGTAACGGTCATTTAGGGGCCAGTCCTTCGACTGGCTTTAACCTCTTCAAATCGGAATTGGTCAAGTGCAAGTCGTGCGATAAGTGCTCCACAATGGCAAAATGGTGGTAAATACATTTTTAATTGCCAGTTGGGCAGCAAACAGAGATGACGGCCCACTAAAGAGCCGAAATAAAAAGGCGAAAGGAAAGACCAAAGCGGCCTGACAAGCGAATTTGTTTGTGGCCACAATGCGATTGCCTGCAAATGGCTAACAAATTGGAATTGAGGCTGGGGGCTGGGCAAACTAGTGCCAAACAAAAGGAGATGACAGCGTAAATAAACAAAGCGCTAGATACAAATTACGGCTCACAGCATTTAGCCGGGCACTTAGTTCAATGAAACCCAACCATACGCACCGGCAGATGGGCAGATACTCAGATATTTTTGAGAGTCCGTAAGATGCTCGACGGAAAAGTAATCAATCCAACTGACAGCTGCCAGCTGTTGCAGATCCCCCGGAGAAAACCCTTTACCCTACTTTGTCGCCAAGTCATTTGACCGCTGTCAGTGACAAAATATTTGCCACTTGCCTTTGTTCGCTAACCATGTTATTATTTCCCCTGCTCACGCTATACTTTTGGCCGGTAATAAACGTGTGTGTGACTCTATATATAGGCCTTTGATTGCTGTGCATCTCAATGGGCATTATAATTCAATGTCAATATTTGGCCACATGTGAAAGACAATTGTTCCATGGCAAGTGGGCTTCAATTCGCTTAGGCTTAACCGCTGAAGGGCGGAAAATTTCTACTCAAATAAAGGGAATATTTGTTTTTGTTTTGGATTTTTCCTGCAATTCTTGTTGTATACCATGTCAGATATAGGTATCCTATAATTAAATCACATTATTTGTTTGGAAACTACCTTAAATTTTGTCTAATGGAGAAAACCTCTTAGGAAATTCTAATGCCATAAAAACTAGTAGTAAAAGTCGTAATTAAATTGTATTTTTACCAGCTATTTGATGACTAATTCGCAGCACTTTATTCTAAAAATGTGTGTATAATTTGGAATCATTATAAACTCATCCCAAAATGTTATTTGTTCCTTTCGGTGAACGACTTCAATTGTTGGTTGAGACTGGTATTAGCCTCATTAACATTGCCTTAGGAACATGGCTATGGCAACCACCCAAGCACCCACGAAAGTAATAAAAAGTACTCGACCTGCTCCAATTTTAATTACTTCCCACAGGTTGTAAGTGAGTTACATAAAATCGATGATGGTTTGGGATAAAGGTCTAGATAATTGTGCTTAAATCAACTGACCTTGGTGGGCGGAATGGCAAGCGATGCAAAAAGCGCTCCGGTTGTCCGTAGTCTCTAATTAACGATATAATCGGCGACGCTGATCATCATCATTATGCTCCTCCGGGGCAAGCTATTAAGTCACTTAGCCGAACGATTTGTCAACGTATAAATAACGAGGGGAATGGGAGGGAATAGGACTACATTCATTTGCCATTTGTCATAATTTACAAAGTGTGGGCTGAAGCCCCAGTTAAATATATAACATATACTCGCGATCTTTTTTTATAAACTTTTTGGAGCATGATTTGCATGTTTTGCTTTTGCATTGCCTTTTTATTTTCGGTGTTTGTGGTAAAAGTAAATTTACACTTGCTTTGGAGTGTAATAAAATTATTTAATTTGGTAGTCAGGCATTTCTGGGAATTCAGTAAATAATTTTATGTGGAAGTCAAATTATTTGAGCTTAGGTTAATTTGAGGTCTGAAAGGAGAAAAAATTTCGAGTGATTTTTTTGTGAATTCAATTTGGTGTTAATCGATGTAAGTCAAACATTTTAATAATAACTTAATGTTATAATTAACACTAAATTATGTGAGTGTTCAAAAAGACTATGCAGGTATTTTGATTATTTTTTCGAAACTTTAATTGGGTTCGAGTTCCTAAAATGTATTTTTAATACGCAAATATTCTTTATTTGATTAATAACTTATCATGCTGCAATTCGGCTCTATTTTTACCAATTTTGGGTAAGGCAAATATTTTACAGTATCCGTATCATTATGTCCACTTTAACCACAAGGTTCCATACTTCTCTGACTCCGTGTTAAAATCCATATGACCTACGCATTCTTCGGCGATGGAATGTGCCTCTCCACTGCTTTTGGCCAACTAATCGACTTGTGGGTTCACATCTCAATGACAAAGCCCCAAAGCTTCTGCCCCTTCGTGTTGGCCGTTGTGCTTCTTCTATGGCTTTTGCTGTTCGTGGCACTTGAGTGCAACAAGTGGCAATCAAGTGGCGCATCCCCGGCCGCTCCGTCTATTTTAAGCCCCAATGGAAAATCCCCCCGAAGAGGGACGGACCTCCCCGGCAATGTCAATGGAACCGGGCGAAGGGCACCAAAAAAAAAAGACATAGCCAATGCCAAGAGGAGAAGGGCAGGAGATCGGGGCAAATCAATAATTCGTGGATGGATGTGCTACTGCACTGTTGACCTTATTTTCACGAGTTTCGACTCGTCGATGACACAATCTGCGGCAGGCTCCTTTTGGTCTTTCTCACTCTTTCTCTTTGTCAGGGATGGAAAAATATAATTTGTTGTATTTAGGCGAATAAATCAGCCATAAAGTAAATTGTTGTCGCTTCCGATTAATGCTTCTCTTCTTTAGCTAAAAGAATTTATGCTTATATCATTAAACAATAAACCATATTTCGGATTTCTTATAGTAGCTAAGCCAAACCGATGGTTATGTACAGCAGACGACCTTAGTTATATATATCGGCTGATTTAGAATTATAATTTGGTTAGCCATTTTTTTTCATTAATTTTTGCAAAAATTTAAAAATTAAGAGTTTTCTGGTTTGGATATCAATAGGAACTTATTAAAGGTGTAACATTTTATATTTGGTCTCTTACTTGCATTGTTATGCTAAAAATTCTTTTTTCCTATTTAAAGTAATTTTCGTTGTAACTTTACCAACTTTATTAATATCCCAGCAGTTCACTGTTTTTTAAATGCGATTGTTTGCTGTATTTTAAATTTATATAATAATTGGTTAAGCATGATGTTAATACTTTTTTTATTATGTAAGTTGCAAGTGTCTTTGCATCCCTGCTTTTTTAAAGTCGAGCCCTTCCTCCCGCTGTCATCGCCTGACTCGTTGGGCTTCTTCATCGGTGGCCAAGTGCACCAATTTCCAATCGGTTCGATCGGTGACGTAAAGACCAAAACCTTGTTGCCATTACGTACGCCCCCCAGCTTCTTGCGCGCCTTGTAGATACAAGATACATGTGTCCGTACAGGCACTCGACTTTTCTCCACCTTTCTGCGTCAAGATGCGTCGGCTGCAATTACGATTAATGGTTTCTGTGTGTGGACAGCAAGTGGACAAGTGTCTCGATTCAGTTTACTTCAGTTACTGCGGGTCTATTTGCTTTCAATCCCTCGTTGTGTGCACCAAATCCAATTAAACGCCGCTCGCTATTCACTTTATTTGGGTAGCTGCTGTTTTGTTTTATTACTTATTGTTTCGATTTCGTTTTGACGGTTAATGTTTGGCTTCAATTTGAAAATTGATTTTGATTTTGTTACGATTGTGTCGTAATTGTTGTCGTAGGTGTTGAAAGTGTTGACCGTCGACGGTTGACAGTTGGGGGAAATTATGAACTGGCCTTGAAAGGCCCTTCGTAATTATGTTTCTTTTGGTCTGATGACTTGTTTTTTTTTCATAATAACTTTATGAGGGAATTTGTTAGGGCCAAGAATAGGTTGAGTGTAAACCTTAAAATAATGCATTGTATTATGAGCAATGACTGCAAGCTTTCAAAACAAACTTAAGAAATTTATAGTCATTTATTATTTGTGGAATTTATAATTTTAATGAATGGCTTTGATGGAACTTAAGGATACTATTGCGTTAATATAAGTACTTCAGACTGAAAAGATTATTTAAAAGCATACTTGAAGTTTCAGGCCTTTGAACATTAACTTTATTTCACATTGTTATTTTCCGTTTTGCAGTTTCTCAACTAATCCTGTGATAAAACGGATTATCTCTTGGCTGTTTTGTCTGGGAATCACTTGACCCGGCCTGCGAGGAAGTCCAAACTGGACAAACAAGTTCGTCGAGGAGTCACATGAATGAACTTCATCAATGGGACTCGGTCGAGTGTGTAATCGTGGGTCACTTTCGATTTCGAGCCAGCGATTCAAGAGCGCTCCAATTGTGAAAATAACACTTGGCGCACTCGGCCGAAGGTTGCGGCTGCTGCATCTCACAGATGAGAGGTACCAGATACAAGATATGAGATACTTGGATGAGAGTGTTACACAAAACGATTCGGATGATTTGGCGGGGGCCCAGGGCGTTGATTTTGGACTATGGGGTTGCCCCCTCCTGGGAGATTGGATTTGTTGCCGGGTTTGCTCCAATTACTCGCTTGTGTCCATCGAAAGACACGTGTCGCAGACTACTCTCTGCATCCGTATCTGTGTCTTCGGTCTGCGCCGCCATCTCCTCGCTTTTGGCCAAGTTTAAACGCCGCTCTTCGAGTCTCTTTTGATGCTTAATTAAATTCATTTTTTCGTTTACCTTTTGTAATGAGATTTTGAGCACTCAGCGCCGGACATCGAATCATATAAATTCGGTCTGCGGCGACCAACTCAGCATCAGTCGAGCATCGAGCTTCTCCACCGAAGCATCCAATCGAGCCAAAGGATTACGGGTTTACTAAGCAGCCAAGGATTTTCTATTACCAGGAGCAATAGCCATGCGTGTCTCGTCGCTGTTCGTTGTGTGTGTGGCCTCCCTAGTGGCCACCACTTTGGCTCGTCCTGAGCCCCCATCCCCCTACGCCTACCACGGATTACCCCAGCAGCAGAGCCAGCGGGCTTTGCCACTAAATGGTGAGTGCTCAGCTAAGGATTGCCGCCTAAATTTGAGATAATTAAAATCATATCAGTCTGAATAATATGACAATATGTCAAAACATAGTTTAAAGGACGGAATCATATATTTTTGATTTGTTTAAAGCCTAATATCAAATTGACAACTTTAAATATTTAATTTGAATGATTAATTTAAATTAATTCCTTATTTTTGCAATTGTAAATTTTATTTTTCAACAATTCAGTCTTAATTTATTACAAGTGTTTTAAATTTATATTATGAGCAATTTTATATTTCTTTCAACCAAAACTGACTTGGTTTTCCCTTTCAAATATTAATTAAAGACAAATATTATTAGCAGCCAAGAGTATTAATACTAACATTTTCTACTGTGATTTCATATTTTAAAAAGAGTTTTTCTAAACCATTATGTAAATCTTCCCCCTCTTGTGATCAGTTCACCCCGTGGCCCCGCAGATCTACCAATCTCTGCCCCAGGAGCAGTCCTTTGCCAACTTTGCGGCTCCTCAGCAGACCTACCTGCCACCCCAAATGCAGCTGGAACCCCTCGAGCAAGTGCCTCCCACTGCCGCCGCTGCTGAGCCCCTGAACGCCTACGATGACAGCTACAACATGGCCCACCGCCTGTCCGGAGTGCAGCATGCCAGCGGATACAACAACGCGCCCCAGGAGACCAAGGTACACAAGCACATCTACGTCCATGTGCCGCCCAAGGACTTCGAGGAGGAGGATGCCATCCAGACGCGTGTGCACCACCAGCAGGGACCCAAGCAGAAGCACTACAAGATCGTGTTCATCAAGGCGCCATCTGCCCCGGCCATCCGTCAGCCAGTGGTGCCACCACCACCCCAGAACGAGGAGAAGACCCTGATCTATGTGCTGCACAAGAAGCCGGAGCAGGAGCAGGACATCGTGATCCCAACGCCACCACCCACCAAGCCCTCGAAGCCGGAGGTCTACTTCATCAAGTACAAGACCAAGAAGGAGGAGGCCCCCGTCTATGGACCCCCGCCTGCGGAAATGGAGCCCCGTCAGGCCACCGCCGAGGATTTCGCCCCTTTGGCTGAGGTCGCCGATGTCCTGCCACCCACTACTTTGGCTCCCGAGCCGGAGTTGGAACAGCCCGCCGTTCCCGCATCCGTTTATGGCCCACCCACCGCAGCTGCCTACACCGGGGAGGAGATCCAGACCACCTTGTCCGCCCCTGCCAACCAGTACCTGCCCCCTGCCACCGCTCCCGCCGCCCTGGCCATCGAGGAGCCCTCGATGGCGCCCATCGTGGTGGAGGAGCAGCCCGAGCAGCGTCTGGCCCCCATTCCATCCCATGTGCCCGCCACCAGCTACGGTCCTCCCAACCGCTTCTTCCTCAAGAAGCTGAAGTGAAGCACCGGACGCTGACGGAGATGCCTTAGCCAATTTCCCAGTTTGTCGTAGTCTAATGCCCATTGGATGCACCTCTACCCAATCCCCTGCTCCCAATTCACACATGCACACGTGCCACACTTCCCAACACATGCACATATCGTTGTTTGTTCGTTTGTAAAACTTGTTACTTTTGTTTAATTAAAATGTAGATAATAAAAATTCGAATTTATAAAAAAATTAAACCTATATTTATTTGGTAAACAAATTCAGAGTCGCCAGTATACAGAGGTTGAAATAAATACGAACATGTTGGGGATCAAACATTTCATAGTTACGACTAGTTTTGTTCAGAGGACGGTTTTTAATTTTTACTTTTTATTTGGTTGATATATTTATAAATATTTTAAAAACACTTAAAAATGCCTGAAACAGTATAAAAATTGTTATCAGCTCTTATTCTATACCCTTTTAAATTATTTTATTTTACAGTCAATACATTTAAACAACTTTCAGTACTTTCTTTCATCTATGGCAAAAAGCCCCATGCCATTAATATTTTAAGAGAAATACAATAATGAACACCTCGTTTCAGTGATTTAATGACGGCATTAGTCCGTCGAAAATGATAATTGACCTTGTGTGAAGACTTGACCTTGGTGAATTTACAGCCTGCTTAATTGCGTTACGTTTTGTTAATTTCTGCGGTAGGCCCAATGCTGATGGCTTTCCTCATTGCCCTGCAGCCAATAATCGTAATAGTAATGGCCAACATGGTTAGAAGGCTGGTTGTGGCTACGGCAACATGTTGCCAAGATTTCCCGCCAAATCAAACAGTTGGTTTTGGTTACCGGTACTTGCGCAGACCAATGAGGCAACATGTGGGTGGCATTGGCGCCGGCAAAGGAGCAGGAGTGCGCCCGATGTCGGTCGATGTTCGTGGCCGAGTTTCGTGGCCGCCTGATCAGTCAGTCCGTTGAAAAGTCGGATGAAAAATCAGGCAGCACATTCAGTTCGCTTTTTGTGCTCGCTCGAATCGCATCGTTGGTGGGCTTGCTCCTTCACCTTTGTACAAGCGTTCCTCACCCCGTTTGCAAAATTCTATCTAATAAACTCATAAAAAAAAGCATTCAATTAAATTTGGTGATTGGCAATAAACAGCTAAAAAGCAAACAATAAACAATAAACAATTTATAAAAGAGGACTATTCCACGCGGCCAACGGTGCGTGTACGCAATACGGAAAATGAGTGAGTGCAAGTGAAACTGTGACCATTGTTTCAGGTGATTATATCTGGCAGTGACATTGACATTGCCAGTGTCGATTGGCCCACCCTGGAGAGCTCCAGTTCACCCCGCGGCACAGCGCCAGGTGAGTTGTAATGAGCTTTATTTACCTGTTAATTAGCTTGGCCTTTCCGCCGGCATCTGTTGTTTCCGCTCGTTAGCATTTAGCTGAGTTTCACACATCTGGTCGGTCGTTTGGTTCTAGATGGGATTAGGTCGGACACGCGCGTTACAGATTCAATACTTAAATGCATTTTTGAAAAGTATTAAACACTTTTTGTTGGAGCAGAACGGATTAACAATTTTTTAGTTATTTTTTTTCTTTTGGGAATTCCAAGAAAATCTTTCTAAGTTTTTTTTAGTTAAGATATTAGAAAATATATCATTAAAAATATAACCTGTACAAGCAGTTTCTATATTAAAGATCTAATTTAAAGAAAATAATGCATTTTGTTAAAACTAAATAATTTTGTGGTTATTATTTTTACTTCAACTGTTTTGCAAAACAAAGTTGTTGCTTGAATGTCCTTTAAAAATGTGAGGAAATAAAATTGTATCATAAATTTGTATATTACATTACCCTTAGCCTTTACCGGAAATATCATAAATCAGTATTTTCTTGTGCTGTAGCAGCGTAGAGGTTTAGTTGTACGTATAAAATATAAAGCATACGCAACGTTGTCGCTGCTGTCTGTGTAAATATTGCAGGAAACGGACTTTAGCCGGTCTTATCCTCTTAGTTAACCACTAATTTGCTTTTGTTGACAATGGACACCAAAACGTGGCTAGTTAAGTATAAATTATGCACCACGCTATCGAAATGGAGTGGCTTCTACGCCTTAGTGCCTTCATAAGCTTGCTTCTTGTGCGAATTATTTTTTTCAGGTGAACGCATATTTTATTATCAATTTGCAATGTCCGCAATCAATATTAATACAGCGAACACTTTGGCTGTATTAATATACTCAACCAAACGGCGGAGGCGGCACGTCATGTCCATGAGCATCATAAATAATAATAAATTCAATTCCAGACATCCGTTCACATTCGTTTTTTTTTTTTTTTTTTTTAACATTTGCATATTATTTATTGGATCTTCTCTGAATTGAGACTAACAATAAGTATATAGAATCTTAAATTAAAAAGCTATCTGACAGTCAAGGTGACTGGCGCGAAAATTTAGGGGCTCTAATGACTATTGCTGAGCTGGAAGGTCATTGCGTTGCAATCGGGTCCGGATGGAAGCCCTGGCTAGGCCCCTGGCGAGCTGGTTTGGATGAGAAGTTAGCTTGGTGTGGTAGGACGCTTTTTGTTTTGATATTTCATCTTTTACGGGTAGAATGCCAAGATCTCTGTGGATGTTGTCGTTCCGAACATACCAAGGTGCCCCAGTGATAGTTCTCAGGATTTTTGATTGTGCTCGCTGAATAATGTCGATGTTGCTGCTGCTCGCGTTTCCCCACAATTGGGAGCCGTAGGTCCAGACTGGCTTAAGCGTTGAATTGTAGAGCAGGACCTTGAAGTCCAGGCAGAGGGGGGAGCGCGCTTAAAAGCCAATGGAGACTGTTTGATTTTAGTTTTAGGTGAATTTTCTTAGCTTCGATATGTCTCCGCCATGTAAGTCTCCTGTCTAGGTGGATGCCAAGGTACGTTACATCGTCAGCTTGTGGAAGTGGCGTGTTATTCAGGGTTAGCGGGGGACACGTTTGTCTGTTAAGAGTAAACGTTATGTGTTTACACTTTTGCGCATTTATTTTTATACGCCAGTCTGATAACCACCTCTCCACTACAACGAGATGATCAGCTAGTAGTGCTGTTGCTTGAGTTGGGCATTTGGACCGACTTATGATCGCGGTATCGTCTGCGAATGTAGAAGTAGTTAGCCGCTCGTTCGTGGGAATATCTGCGGTGTAGAGGAGAAATAGAGTTGGACCAAGGGCGCTACCTTGGGGAACTCCAGCCTCTATAGCGTAGTCATCGGATGTTGTGGTGTTGCATCTCACGGCGAAGGCTCTGTTGTAAAGGTACGATTCCAGAATCCTGTGAGTGTTTCCTGGCAGGATCGTTCTGATTTTATGGATAAGGCCATCAAGCCAGACTCGGTCGAAAGCCTGTGCAACGTCAAGGAATACCGCACTGCAGTATTCCCGAAGCTCGAATGCAGTCCTTATTTCTGTTGTTAATCTGTTGACTTGCTCTATTGTTCCATGGCTTTCTCGAAAGCCAAATTGATGTGCTGGAATAACGTTGTGCTCTTTCAGATATGGAATGATGCGCGTCAGAAGGCATTTTTCGAGCAGTTTTGACAGACACGAGAGTAAACTTATCGGTCTATACGAAGCTGGTATTGTGTGATCTTTCCCTGGCTTTGGGATCATTATGATTACCGATTTTTTCCATTTTTTTGGGAAATAGCCAAGTCGTGTAATCCCGTTGAAGAGTTTACAAATAACCTCAACTGCACAGTTTGGAAGTTCGATTAACATTTTGGGAGTTATTTGATCACCGCCTGGGGCCTTTTTTTGGTTTCAATTGCTCGCTGATTACTTTTGCAATTTCATTTGGTTGAAACAGAATTGGCTCCGTCTCAGATTCAATTCGAATTGACGGCGACGGTAGTGCGAATGAATTAGTTGCAGGGTTTGGCTGAAAAACATTTCGAAGGTGTAAAGCAAATGTACAAGCTCTGTCTTTGTCGCTTCTGGCCCAGCTGCCTGAAGAGTCTCTTATGGGGATTACTGTTTCGGCCGGCGCACTTAGTTTTGGGTGGGCCCTCCACAAGGGATGCTTAGTGCTGGTGGGTGAAAGTTTCTCAATGTACTGGCGTTGTGCTTTTTCTTCTTCTTGCCTTAGAGCCCTGGTAAGTCTGCGACCAGCTTCTTTAAGACTTTGTTTTGGGGATGGCGATCTGCTGGTTTGCCAAGTAAGTCTCAAACGTCTTTTCTCCAGAACAAGCTGTTCGATTTCATGGTTAGTCTTGTGTTGGTGTGTGTGCCCATCCCTCCCTTGCGGTGTTGAGACTTTGGCTGCTGCGACGAGTACAGACTCCAGGGCATCGGCGTAGCAGTCGATGTCCTCCTTGATGTTGAGCTGTGGAGTCGTTCGTTTTTTTTAAAGAGAGTTTCGGACACGAATTCACAATTGACCGCCCCCACTTGTTACGCCTTTATGAATTTTTTACAGCTTGCAGTTTTGCAGCAGGAAAATGAATTTTTAAATTTGAATCACCGAGATTTTTCTTAAACTGGTAAACGGTGAAAATTAAAGGTGACAAATAAATCTTTGGCGATTTGAAAATGTGTGCAAACTTAATTTTGCCTTAACCGCAGAAATTTGCAAATAATATGTCAGTCAATATTAATTATTATAGTTTTATTCTCCTAAATGCCAATTGTTTGTCCAACAATTCTGCATCAATAAACTGATAACAGCCACTGACAGTTTATTTTGTTGCGAATCGGACATGTTGGAAAAAGCATCAACATAAACAACTCCTTTGTCAAATATTTATTCGTTTCCGATATCTTGTTATCACACGACATATGTCAACTGATTTAATTTCTCAGGTACATGTTTAACATTGCGACAACACAAAACAAATAACTCTCAACTTTTATAGTAATTCTTGAAAAAATAGGTTTTGTTTTTTTTTTACTTTTCAAAACAGTAAATTGAACAAAATTAAGTAAGATGGCAAAGCAAATAATTCGACACATCGATGTAAATTTTCTGTGGAGTTATTTTTGTTTTTACCAGGACTTAAATGCGTCTTTAAAGCACTTAGAATGCTGTCAAGAATGTTGCGAACATGTATACTTGTATAACAAAAAAAACGATATGACGGCAACAAATTGAGTTTGTTTACTTTTAAAACACAAAAAAACACCTGGGCGAAAGTTTCAAACAGT